GGTTAGATCCTGAAACGGCAAGGGCAATTATATGCATGAAAAATTGGATATCAGAAAAAGAAAGAATGGAAAATTGAATCAATACTTGCAATATGTCTTTTTTTTTTCCTTTTTTTTTACATTATGTGAAATTTTGTTGGTAATTTTTTTTCTTATAATAAAAAATTTTTTGACGATATATGATATATTTAAATTCATGATCTGCATTACACAATTTTGTATAAAATACTATAAATATCCGGTCTAAACTTCGGTCTAAACTTCGGTCTAAACTTCGGTTCAAACTCTGGTTCTAAACCTATAACGGTTTGGTTTTGTACTCAAACCACCAGTTTTTGGACCAAAAACTGGATGGACTGAACCGTTAACATCCCTATATAAATCATACAATAAATCTGCAATTTGATAGATAAATGTCATCACCAGTTGACCTGATAATTATGTTAAATTATAAGATCATTTTACTTTCTAAATTAAAAGATGCTTAAAAATAAAAAAAATCTAATTGAGAATAGCACATGTAATACTAATCTGGTTGTATTTTAAATTTAAATATTCTTTTTATACAAGTTAAGAGGAATATAATATGACTAATTCTATTTAATTATATTAGATTTAATTTCAAAAGTCAGTTCTAACTCAAATAATATGATATTTAACCAATCAAATATATTAAATATCTTTTATATAACTAAATATTTTAAATTCTAGTTTATTGGTTATTTGTATATTATTATAAAATAAATATAATGTTTTTGTTTTCAAATTAGTACCTTTTATAAAAAGAAATTAATTTTAAAATATAAAATTTTTTTGCATTTTTAGTAGAAAAAAGTTTATTATTAGTAATTTTTAAAAAAAACTTTTTTAATTATTCTTAAAAATTTGTGTAAATATTTTTTTAAAAAAATTAAAATTATTTAAATATAGTAATTAAAAATTTTCCAAATTCTTTTTTATTTCTATATAACTAATAATATAAAGTAAAATTAATTCATTATGAAATTTTTAAGATTTAGTAATAATTAAATTTTTAATGATTTTTATATTATTTAATTTATTTTATTATAACAAATTAAATAATAGTAAAATCATTTATTGTATATAATTGAAAAAAATTTATAAATCTCTTTAAATTTTATAATAAAATTTAATAATTTTTAATAAATTTCAATAACTTTTTATTATTAAATTATAATAACTATTAATATAATTGAATTATCATTATTGATAATTTAAAGTATATAAAATAAAAAAATTGTTTGATGTAATAATCATAACATAATTTTATTTATTGAATTTTTACATATAAGTCACAGTTTTCATTTTAAAAAGAATGATTCTTAGAAGTAAAAAATTTAATTTAGGATTGTGTAAAATTCCTAAGAATTAGAAAATTTTTTTAGGAAAAATACAAGATTATTATTAAATTTTACCTTTTTTTTTATTTACCTATATAGGGATCAATATTTTATTATGGTACAGTCAACTCTCTTTATAATCACACATTCCAGTTCATATTTGGTGATTATAAAGAGATGTGACTATATAAAAAATTTCTTATATTTGTATATCATAATTTCAGCCAAAAATTAACATAATTTTGGCCAGAATTATACTTAAAACTTTATTGTATTGTAATTCTGATAATATTAATTGTAGAGAGATGATCTTATTACTACCATTCAATTTATCTTAATGAGACAGTTCTAAATTACTACCATTCGATTTGTCTCAGTAAGACAATTCTAATAAGCTATGGTACATCTTTGTACGATTATTAGATGCTAAGTTATTTAATATATCCTTTATATAACTGTGATTATAAATGGTTCTTTTTAATATAAGATTTTTAAAAATAGGTGTGATAGTGATTATAGATAAATTGTAACTATATAGGATATATAGATTTTAATAATAAAATATATTCATAAACATAAACTTCTAAAATACTTCACTCAACTAGCAAATGTTCCCGATAAGCTAGAAAGTTGTGAGAATTATGAAACTTATATATGGCATAAAATAGTAGAATAGAAAAAAAAGGGTAACAAAATAAAAATATAAAGAAATAAAATTTAAATTAAGAATAAAAATTGAAATAAAATAAAATAAAATTAAATAAAAATTAACAAAAATTCCAACTATTAACTAATTTAAATATGATAAAACTAAAAATATAAATAACCTAATCCAACCAAATTAAATGCCTATATAGGACCCTGAATAATACTAATACTAATATAACTCACAAGTAAACTTTAAGTACTGAAGTAAAAATACATTTTATGACATAAGGTTGCTTGTCTAAACCTCTTCAAAATCCTACGATTAGTTTCGTCAAAATTTTACTATAGATTTATTATAGTTTCGGCAGAGTTTTGGCAGTTTCGGCATTTATAATAAGTTTCGGCAGTTTCGCCTTTCTCCAAAGTTTCGCCAGTTTTTTAATATAACTTTAATATAGTTTCGGCAGAATTTCGCTTTTTGGCGAAACGCCATCTTGCCTAAACCCCTAGGTTTCGGCAAGCAACCTTATTATGACATAACTCTGTCAATATTGAAACTAGGAATTCGATTTTATTATCATTAGAATCCTCTCATCAAGACAAATATAAATTTTATTAAAATTGAATTACTGGTTATATTAAAAATAGGAGGTACATAGGATAACAAAATTTTGAAAATATCCCTGTAATACACAACTTTTGAAAAATTTTTATATAAACTCTACACAAACTCAAATATGAGTTGTATCAGTATTATTCAGAGTCCTGCCTATATTAAAATAATAATTCAAAAATAAAGATTTATAAACTTAAAGTAGTATAAAGTATTTATCAATATATAAATTAAGTTGAAAATACATTAAATTTAATGAATCTTAAAAGTATTGCTTAAGTGTGTCTAGCAGTGAAATATACTCAAAGGTGTATATAGATTAGAACCATTTAAGATGATAATTGAATCTTCATTATCATCTTCATTAGATACTTTTATATGTTTGTCAGTTATATTAGCCACAGATCTATGATTACGAGTGAGAGAATATTTATCCTGAATGGTAATATTGCATGATTATTTCTATTTGATAATACGGTTATATCTATCTTTTCATAAATTATTTTTAAAAAGAATGATAGCATGCATGAGAAGTTTAGCACTTAATCGCATACTTCTAATTCATGAGAGTTGAAGATTTTTTTGCAGATGTAAAACTACAGCAAAATTTTACCTTTTAATTAATTTTAAAAACATTAAATAATAATTAAATTCAGAAAATTTATCTAATAATTAGATTATAATAATTTTTATACTATTTGATCTATTTTTTTTTTTTTAAAAAAAAAAAATTAATTTAAATGCATTACTTAATATAATTTAATATATATATTAATATATAAAAATAATATATATGAAAGCTTAAATGCATGAAAATGCATGAAACTAATTAAATTATTAGAAAGGTCAATAAATATAATTATAGTAAATAAAGTTATAATACTTTTCTATATATAGTATTTCTTTAAAAAAGAAATTACATTTTTTATTGATCTTATTATTTAAATAATCCAATAAATATTTTAAGTATGATATATAATAATATTCAAATATCCTTTATTGATAGTAAAAATTCACATATATAATAAGGGAATACAGGGTCAAACTTCCAAAATTTGCAAAATATCCGAAATATTATAATTTATGTCTTATAATATATGATATATTTAATTAGTTATTATTAATAGAATAAATATTATTTATGGATTTTTTTTATATTTTATATAATATAGTAATGAACTATTTATTTATTATGCTAGATAATTGTAAAAAAAAATTATGAATTTGAAAAATTTTAATTACTTTTTATTAAAATGGATTTCATATTCTATTTTTGAGTTATTATATTTACAGTTTAATAATAAAATAAAAACCAATAATTATATTAATTTAAGAAAATTGAATAGGATAATATTCAAATATTAGTTTAATGAGATTTGTTTAAATATTGAATTTAAAAGGTTTATACAATTTATATTTAAATGGTTATATTATAAATAATTCCACTTTTAAGAAGAGAAATTACAAGATTTAGTATAGTTAAACTTATATAAAAAAAAAATTAATGCATTATTATGGTTTTTTACTACTAAACATATTTTAGGTCTATAGGTAGTTGAATTTTTAGTTATATATTAAGAAATTTTATAAAATATGCATAAGTATAAATGAGATTTTTTTTTTTATTGCTACCCCACAATTTCATATGGCTGGTGTGGCTGATAAAAATTTAATGTTTGTGTAATACAAATTTTAGTAGGATTTGAAAATTTCAAATTTTTTAATTCCCCCTTTCACATAAACTTTCCTAAAGCTTGGTGTTCATTCGGAACGGACCATAGCACCAAAATGCCAGGCGAAACTTTGAATAACCAGTCAAACTTCAATAAGCAGGAAGTTTCTCTGTACGCTCACTTATACGAAAAATATGTTGAAATCAAAAATGTCGTAAGTATTTGTTACTTTTTAAGTAGAACATTTGTAGTTTCTTGTTGCTATACTTTTATAGTGAAAATCTATTTTATTAGGATGGTACGGTCGAAATAACTCCAGACAAATATAATTGGCATAACGGTAAGTTATTAATGAAGAAATTTGAATATTTCCTCGCTTCAGGTTTTGAATTTAAGACTATTTTTAGGCGGTGTCGTACTCGAGTACGTCGATTGTCGTCCTCGGCCCACTTGTACAGGCAAAAGAATCTTATTAAGACAAAATACAGCCTCTCTCTGGGACGATGTATTAAGAATTAACCAGGACGCAGGAGGCACCTTAACGCAAGAAATGGCGATCCAAGTTGAGTCACAATTGCTGGTAAAATTCCTTAATATAATTATTGTGAATATTATATGTTCATGGTAAAGAATATGGCAATTATATTTTTATTATAGCTAGCCATGCATCCCACAATCGACTTGGATCCAAATTCGACGTTACAGGACATGAAGAGGTATGATCCTGCGGACGGACCAGTGGAGCCGGTACATCGCGAACTTAGAACGAGGAAGCGTAAGTTAAACTCATACGAGCTCGAACAAGAAGCGGCCAAAAAAGCTAAAAAGGAACAGATGATGTTCATGATGGATGAGGTAAATTTTTATCTCATGTATGATTGCGTGTTACATAAATCATAAACTTACTTATTCTGTTTTAGCGACATGGAAGAGAATTTAAGCCTACGTTTAAACTTCTCCCTTACTTCAAGAGAAATAGGAATAAAGTTTCTACTGTCGGTAAAGGCAAACAACGTGCTGACACTGAGGCCGAACAAGGTATATACACAATTATTTGTTTGTAAACTTCATAATGATGTGAACTTCATAATAATGAATAGCATGATCATACCTTGTTGTATTTTAATGTTCATATAGGCCGAGGTTCGTCCAAAAAGTCGGGTCGAAAACTCGTCCGACTATTAAGGTTTGAACGAAGCTTTACTGACGAGAATGGTTGGTTTCTTATTAATTTTTTCTTTTTTATAAATAATATTGGCAATTAAATAAAATAATATTTTCTTAGATAAGACATATAAGCTTTTCACATTGCTTAATATATATCAAGATGTTAATGGACAACATGAAGCAATATGCCACTCGATTAGCGAAAAGGACCTTCGCAGTGAAGGTAAGTATAATAGTTTCATGCAAACGATAAATGCGATGAGCGAAAGCAAAGAATATAAAGTAGACGATAGTCGGGCTACATTTAGGTATTTAAGGGTTTTTTTATTATAAATAATTTGTTATTTACGTATATTTATAAATAATTTGTTATTTACGTATATTTATAAATAATTTGTTATTTTTAAAATTCAGAAACGAACTCGGGAATGCTGAGGCTTACAAAGCTTTTATAAAGTCATTTGTCGTTCTTTACTCGATCGATAATAATTTAAAATTTGATTCTGAGAGGGTTGATAAAGTTCCGGTCGAGATGCTGACTGAAGTAACGACTGAATTGACAAGCCCGCAAACGGAAATGAAATTTGATAACATGTCACCCTACGAAATCATCGAATATTTATGTCAGCAATCAGATACTGGGATGACAACAAATTCTAATGAAGGAGCCAAGGATTTATCCGTCGCTGACTTATATAACGCTGCAGCAAAAAAAGCTTTGCAAGCCAAGCCATCCGTGAGTGCACCGGTAAACCAGGATCAGAGCCTTATGTCACCACCGCAAAGACGACGGAATTCTCAGCGTTCAAGACAGACGACGACAACTCAAGCACAAGCTTCAACTCCTAATCCACAATTCCTGATGCAAACAGGAAATCAAACACCCACGCAACAACAAATCTCGCAGGCACAGATTCAACCACAAGTAATGACGACTTCACAATCTCCAAGTCAAAGGCCAATACAAAGTCCAGCTCTCATTCAGCCAAATTTCTCGAGTCAAGTGCCACAATCATCGGCCGAAGGAACTCGTCCAATTCAACAAATTCCTATTGCGGGAGTTCCTATCCAACTTTCGAATGGCCAGATGTCGTTACAACAAGTTCCATTAATGCAAGGACAACCCAACGTCCGGCAACAAGGACGACCAATAGGTCCTGTACGCATAGTACAAAGCATTTCAAACCTTACGCATGCTACTCAAGTAAATGCAAGACCTGTTACCAATCAGAGTGTCGCTCAAGGAACAACAATTCAAAATACGATTACAAGTCCATCAATGCAAAAAGTTCTTCCAGTTAGAAGAACAACGCAAGGGCAATCACAGCAAGTGAATGTTCCGGCACAACAAACTGCGCAAATGAACATTTCACCTCAGGCAAATTCTACTCAAATGAATCAAGTACCACAAATCAATATTCCAACACAGCAAACTGATCCTAGAGTCTCTCAGTTGAATATACAAAACCAGATTAATCAAGTGCAGTCGGCTGCACAAATAAGTATTCCTACACAAGTTGATCAGATCAATATACAGACAACACCGAGGATTAATCCTGGACGAGTTACTCAGATAAATTCGCATCAGACGCGGTCTACACCTCAAATTAATATTCCCGCGCAAGTATCTGACCAAATGCAGACTACCCCACGCATTAATCCAGCACAGGTCCCACAGGTGAATGCTGCTGATCAAATGAACGTCCATATTCTTCAGATGAACCGAGTGAATCCTCGAATGATGCAGCCAACTGACCAAAACATTTCTCCACAACGAAATAATATTGTTAATCGGCCACCACTAAACATTCAACAGCAGCAATATCTTCAGCATCTCGCAGCTATGCGAATACCAGCACAACAAATTCGTGCTAACGGATTTATCAGACACCCAGCAGTAATGAATATGCAAGGTTCGATGCAACAACCATTTATGCAAGTGGGAATCCCGATACAAGGTCAATTGTTGCCAGGACAGCAGCAAAATGGTATTAGACCGCAAGCGCGTTCGCAATTCAATATACGACCTATATACATACGGCAAAATGTGGCAAATATGGGAAATGTTCCAATGATTCCACAACAAGTAGCGGCACAACAATTAATGAATGGAGGAGGTCAATGGATTTTTCAGCAAAACCAAAACCAACCACTTCAGCAACCACCAAATCCTCAAAATTCTTGGAATAATAATGGCAACGTAAGTGGTAAACAATAAAATTTTTTTTTCTCGTTTAAAAAACGAGAACAATTTTGAGATAAACGAAATTATAATTTTAGTGTTAGGAATTAATTATATAATATAATTTATTGAAGAGATATGCGCTATTGTATAACAATCGTTAAAGGCGGTATATTTCTTCTGGATTCTGTAAATATTTTTGTATTATGTTGAGTGTATGTATATAAAAACAGAAATCAAATTCTTTTGAGTGTATACGAATGGCATACACAATCATATATGTTAATAATTTTAATATATTTTGGGGGAGTATTGTTGCGCTTCAGTGTCTCCATTAGTAATATGAACCTTTTCTTAGATTTATTTAAATGGCAACTAAATTAAGTACAAAGTGTTATTAAAATTTATCATAAATGGAAAGATATTTGCTATCTCAATAGAAAAATAAAATGTTTTCAGTTATATCTTATTTAATTATAATTTCTAGATTCATTTATTGTCTTCTTCGGCATCCTGAAACATTTCATCATCATAATTATTCTGTAGATGTGATTGTTGTTGAGTAGCTGTATTACTAGTATTATTAGTATTGTTAGTATTGTTAGTTGGAGGGCTATCAATAATAGATTCTAAATATGCTAACGAGGCCTAGTTAAATTCAAAGCGAATTAGGTTTTTGAATGTTACATAAACGATAAGAAAGAAAATAATTAAAATGATAATCACTCTGCCAATTTCACTTAATTCTTGTTCATCACTTGGAGCAGCTGCAAACCATTGACTATTATCATCGTCATTACCATTACCATAATAAAATTCATCATCAGGATCTTCTTCATCCATAAACTCTTTATCTGGATGTAATGCCGCGCATTCAGATAGCGCTTCAAATATTGCGTCAACTTTTCGGGAATTAAGTCATTTAATTAGTAACTATCATTCATTGCATAAGCCAATTTAATTATAACAACATACGGGCACCGATATCATCAGGAATAAATTTCAGTTCTGTTGTGATATCGTCTTCCTCTTCATCAACTTCTCGTGATGTTAATGATGCTAAAGGTTGTTGAGTTGGGGTTCCAGTAGAAACGTTAAATCTTTCGTTTAATTGTGTATAAATACATGGTCCAGTACTGTCCGGCGCTTGTTGTCTTGATATAGCGTGTATTATTATAGTAGGATAATCAATTGCCAGTCCTGTATTTGTGTCCCAGGAATAAAAATATAACTTACTTTTCAAATTCGAATATTATATTAATATGGAAAGTTTTAAAAAGAAATAATAACGAAACATTCAAGATTATACCATTTACCTTTCCGTTACCCATAATGTTCCTTTACCTAAAATAGTATCGGGAACTGGGGGAGTAAATCGTACATAAACATTCTGTTGTATATGACGAGCGATTGGCTCTATTATAGCATCAGGAGAATTCTGTTGTAAATGTCGCGCTTCTTCACGTGTAATCACAGCTGGCGGTGTTGTAAGTAAGATAATTGCCATAATTTTACTTTTGATTTCAACTTATAGGTTAACTTATAGCTTGAATATGAACACTTGTCTGTCCATTGCAGTGTCCATTGCAACCTTTTTAAATAATAATTCAATGAAGTAAAATGATTGGCCAAAAAATTATTAATCATTTGATTATCTTAAAATTTCTGTCAGAATATTAGATATGGCTACTAAAGGACCGCCAAGAAAAAAAATAAAGAAACATAATACTCTTTTAACTGAAGAAAATAATAAAAAACAACAAGAAGAAATTTTAGGAACTGTTATTGCTCAGTTAAAATCTATCGAAGGTGAAATTATTGGTGCTCCTTTAAGTTTACCTGCCAATGTTACTCCTGAACAACTTGAATTATTAGTCAATCAATTGCTATCAAATGTAAGTAAAGTTATTTATTCAGTTAAAAAATTTGAATTAAATTAATTGATAATTTTTTTACAGGACGAACCGCTTCCTTACTCATTTTCTGTTGATGATAAAGAGATAACTAGTACACTTTATAAAGATATTATCCAAGGATTAAAAAAATCAACAGAAGATGTTTTGACTATTGTCTATCAACCACAAGCTATATTTCGTGTTCGAGCTGTGACCCGTTGTACTTCTACACTAAATGGTAATTACGCTTTTTGAACCTAATTTATATTCTTATACTGAATTTCTTCAATTAACAGGACATAATGATGCTATCCTGTCGGTTAGCTTTAGTCCTGATGGCACTCAACTTGCCACAGGTTCAGGTACGTGAGAAAATAAATTGTTTTTGGACTATTACGGCAAAGTTTCTCTTATCCATCTTAAATTAGGCGACACGACTGTAAGAATATGGGATCTCAACACGGAAACACCTCATTTTACGTGCAAAGGTTATTTATTTAATAATTTTTATGATTTAACTAATTAGCTATCACTTATATTTTTTAACTTATTTAAGAGTTGAACTCTTATTTAAAGATTTCTCTTTCGTTTAAAAAATAATTGCTGATAGCCATTTTGATCCATATTACAGGTCACACAAATTGGGTCTTGTACATCTCATGGTCTCCAAATGGTAAATTATTAGCTTCTGGAAGTATGGATAAAACAGTTAGATTATGGATCCCGTCAACAGGAAAGTCACTAGGAGATCCATTAAAAGGGCATACACAATGTATAACTTGTCTAGCATGGGAACCACAGCATCTGTACATATACAATTAATCTCCTTTTATCATTCAAAGCGCAATTCATTCCATATTATTGATTTCTTTTACATTTTCTTTAAGGAATCCTAAATGCAATCGATTGGCGTCATCATCAAAAGATGGCACGATTAGGGTATGGGATACAACATTACGACGTGTTGTAATGACAATGTCGCAACATACTGCAGCTGTTACATGTATAAAATGGGGAGGGGATGGGTTACTTTATTCTTCTAGTCGGGATAAAACAATTAAGGTTTGGGATGCAATTCAAGGAAAGCTTGTTAGGACTTTAGAAGGTCATGGTCATTGGGTTAATACTATGGCATTAAGCACTGATTTTGTATTAAGGACTGGTGCTTTTGATCATACCGGTAAAATTTCGAAAGATGAAAAGGAAGGTAAAAAAATTTCTTATATCTATGAATATGTTTATAAGTAACATAATGACAATTTATTTGTTCTTATGTAGCACAAGAGTGGGCTTTATCTAGGTATAAAGCTGCAGTGGGAAACAAACCAGAACGTTTAGTTTCTGGTAGTGACGATTTTACAATGCTTTTTTGGGAACCAAGCACGAGTAAAAAACCAATTGCTAGATTAACAGGTCATCAAAAATTAGTTAATCATGTTAGTTTTTCACCGGATGGACACTTATTTGCTAGTGCAAGTTTTGATAATTCTGTAAAACTTTGGGATGGTTTAACTGGAAAGTGAGTAAATAGTAAAATCATGTACACACGATATACTTATTTACAATTTGCTTATTATATATATAGGTTTATTGCTTCATTAAGAGGTCATGTTTGTCCTGTTTATCAAGTTTGTTGGTCTTCTGATAGTAGATTGCTTATAAGTGCTAGTAAAGATAGCACCATAAAGATTTGGGATTTAAAATCTAATAAGATTAAATTAGATTTGCCAGGACATTTAGATGAAGTTCGTATATTATTATATGGGTTTATTTTATTAAGTTGCGAAGCTTAATACTTATTTTTTGTTCTTACAGGTATTCAGTGTGGATTGGAGCCCAAGTGGTGAAAAAGTTGCAAGTGGTGGTAAAGATAGACAATTGAAGATGTAAGTTCTCAAATTTTAAATTGACCAAGTATATAATGATATTAACTTTATCTTTCTTTAACTTTATAGATGGAGAAATTAATATTATAATAGAAATACTATTATTTTTCAGAGTTACAATTTATTATCATTTTCAACCAATTCAGATCTAAAAATACATATAGCAAAAAAAAGGTGACGAAATAAGATTTTGTATTAAATAAAAAAAGACAGATGATTATCTATCATACTGAATGGAAAAAAAGTTACCTCTCGTACAATTTTTTAAATGAAGGTCCTATCTCGTTAATCATATCAGAAGTTTGTACTGAACGTCCAAATTTCTTAAAAGCAGAACGTGAACATTCTCTTGTAAGGGTACATGCAGCATAACTAGCCAACATTGGAACTTCTGAAGGTGAAATTAAATTATCATGTCTTCAATTATGAGTCGAATCGAAAATCATAATGTAAAGAGTTAATGGTATATACTAGAGATTTTATCGAATTTACTTATAAATACTCACTGCCAAAGTTTATTATGATAAGCCGAACCCCAAGCCATAAAAGTGGCAATAAGCCCAGTAAGAATATCTCCTTGTCCACCACACCGTTTAAGTCCTCCTTCATTATCAACCTTAAATACTTTTCAAAATAACTTGTAAGTTAATGCAAATATTAAAAAACGCTAATTTCACACATGAATACCTTCATTTCCATTGGAAATTAAATCATATTGCCCCTTCTGGACGATTGTTACTCCATCAAACGCTTGGCTTAATAACCCAGCCATTTTATCCTTGTGGTTGTCTTCGAAATTAATCTTCTAAGGATTTAAAAGATATATTCATTAAATTTTAATTTATGATTTCAAACACGTAAATTTTAACATTTACCATTTCTTCACAAAGTCGTTTAAATTCAGCGACATTAGGTGTCAAGATTGCATTAGGATAACCCTTAATAATTTCTGGATGATTTTGAATAAGGTACAAACCGTCCTAAAGAAATAATTAACGTAAATAAGCATAATATGTAACACGACATAAATAAAATGATTGCATACTGCGTCAATGACAAGTGGTAAGTCCTTTTCTTTCGCCTTTGCAATAATACCCTTGGCGCACTCCAACATCATATTATCCCTTGATAATCCAGGACCTATAACCATAACGTGTAATCTTGGTAACAGTTTTGCCACATTATTTATTATTTCTTCTGAAGTCTTGTCCGTATCACTGTTAATAAATGAATAAGTAAATTAATTATCAAAAATATATAGAATAAAGGAATTATAATACCAACTCGGATCTACGTAGATAAGGATGTACCATTAAGTCTACATCAATAATCATTTCGTTAGAAGAGATGGACTCGTACAATATAAAGTGGATTCATAAATCAATCACGATATGTCTAGCCCGAATAATTTGGATATTAATTCAGTCTGAATTTAAAACTAATTATCGTGATTGAATTATGAATACATATTCACTTAAACGCGTCAAAAAAATATAGAAAATATATTAATACCAGGAGTATAGCTCTGAAAAGATATTTAAAAAATTAATTTATAATATATATAAATTATAACAATAATGAATTAAATAAGTTAAATTACCTTAATTGCCACCGCTGCTGTTGGTTGACATACCACGAAAGCCATATCAGCTCCCTTTTTGAATATTGTCGAAACGAAGACGAATTAATTATACCAAAAAGAATTAAAATTTATGAATTAACTACTGAATGGAACATATTTGACTTACAAGTTTCAAAGCTGAAAAAGAACTAAAATAGGGAGCACCCGTATATCTAAATTTTAAACTGTCAGTTAATTGAAATAATCGAACAGGCGCATGTAAACGTAATATTTACTCATCAGAGCCACCGACAACGCAGACTCTACCTATAGGCAAATCGTTAATTTAGAATTTAAAATCAGCTCAAAAAGATGACTTTAAAAACAGACTTTAAAATGGGACCTGCTTGGCCTTTATGATATCCTGACGAAAGCGGGGGAATTAATTGACGAATTTTATCAATTACTGCCATTGTGACCATCGTTTGGGTCATTTTGATAATCGATATTTATATATTACAAGTCACATGTTAAATACAAAGTCGTAATAATTCCTTACAGCTTATACTAAACTAAAACCCAAAAAATGCCTAAAAAATTTGCATATTTTTTTCGTAAAGGTGATGTAACGTAACAATCTAAAGTTCTTTTTAAGGTTATATGATTTCGAAACGAGAATTTTTCTAAATAAGAGTTTCCTTCTATAATGAGTAGAATGAGACTTATTTTACGATGTGAGCCTATACGGACGGAAATTTATGCAAAATTTTTCTCTCTTTCAAATTGTGCAAAAATCAAATCGTAATCCTCAAATTCATAAAGGATTCGATCTTTTCTAGAGTATCCATTAATATCATCAACAGATACAACCAATAATTTCTTATTGTCATTGTCTTCTCGTGTCTTGAAAACAGTTACGCTAAACTTTTCCGGCTTAAAAATAGCAATAACTTTATGAATAACATCCGCAATAGTTCCGTGACCTACTGGAATGTTAGTCTCAAATGAAGCATAGGAACAATTACGTTCAGGAGTAACGTGAATATTGAAATAGTTATCCCTAAGTAATCCATTAGCAGAATATCCACATGGCTCATAGAGATAAGAATCTAGTTGTGCTTCAGGATAAATATCGCACAACCCGGTTTTTCTATCGATTCTCGCGCCACCCTGAGTTCCTGATTCACCTTCTGAAGGATTATGATAAAATTTATTTAATGTTTCTGAGCTAAGTTCTGTCATTAAAATTTCGATCGTTATATCCTGAAAATCAGAACCAGTTTCATCTAAAGGATGAGCAGATTCTAGTTCTGTAAGCAGAATATCATTTTGAGGAGAGTTTAACCACAAGAACCAACAATGGTCTCCGTTAGATTTTCCCACTGTGTATGCTGCACCATTATCTATTTTAGGCCGGTGAAATTTGAGTTAATTTATTTCTATTGTAATCTTAATATATCAAAAAACTTACCAAGAAGTTGGTCTAAAAATTTTACTTCTTCGTTCCAATCCTTATGTGGACCCAATTGAGCCTCAGGAAATACAAAACTTTTACGAGAATAAAATACTCTCCATACTTTATTAAGTTGACAATATTCGGAAGCGATTTCAAGAAGACGATGTATAGCAATCAAAAGAGTGGTTGTGCCACAAGTTTTTAAAATAATTTTATGAGGATAGATAAACATCGAAGATTCACTATTCAAATCATATTTGAAGCGAAGTTTTAATAAAGTCAACTTTTCAGTCAGATTCAGAGAACAATTTTACCTTAATAAATAAGCATCAAAATAATCATTATGAACTACATTCAACACCTGGCATTTAACGATGTCCAACATTTCATCCCATACGTCTCTTTCAACTAAACGTAGACCATTTCTTAAAGGGCGGTTATTATCAAATTCAGAGGAAATGTCTGGAATAGAGCCTGATGTTGGACCAAACCAAATTTCTAAGAGTTTTTCTGCACCCTCGAAAATACGTTCTGAAGTATAAAATGAATTGTTCTCACTCATTATTAAAAAAAAAAAAAAAAAAAAAAAAAAATTTCAAAGAAATCTTTCTGAAATAGGAAAGGTGGGTGCACTTTAAAGAAATGGCTTGTATAACGATTAATATATTTAAAAGGAAACTTGACAGACTTTTATCAATTTGTACCCTTTATATATGTATTACGCGACTTCTACTATATAAATATATACCGTACATATAAATATTTTTTACTGTATAACAGATATCTTATAAACAGTTCGTGTAATATCGTAGTTTGTTAATTTATTATTCCTCATCGAACTCTTGTATCGATGGTATTTCGTTGGTGGAATTGTCAACATTTACCGAAGATTGTATTTCATGAGCACTCTCAGAATAAAGTTGCTGTTTATCAGTATTTGTAGTTTGATTTTGAATTACCCCATTTCCTTCTCCAACACCACTGTTCATTTCACTTAATACGTTTCTTATCACTTTGTTTCTTTCCAATTCCTGGGTTTCTACGTCCTGAACGTTTCTTATCACTTTGTTTCCTTCCAATTCCTGGGTTTCTACGTCCTGAACGTTTCTTATCACTTTGTTTCCTTCCAATTCCTGGGTTTCTACGTCCTGAACTATATCTTGTTTTCCCGATATCAATACATAATCATCATGTTTATTTTGATTGTTTCGTGGTTCAGGCTGCTCCGTATCCGACTCTTTTTTTTGATCAGATTCTAACGACCTGTTTTCTTCAACTAACTCACTATTATCTCTTGTTTCATTCGGTTTCTTCTCTTCATGTTTTTTCCCTTTTAACTATTAAAAGCATACAAAGTTAAATGTATGATTGACTGATGTTAATTTTCAATACACTTATCATACCTCTTCTACCTCTTCAATAAGTTTAGCTTTCATATTTTTATAATCATCCAGCTGATACAAACATTGATGAAAAAATTCGGCGATATGCGAAGTAGATTGAAATGACCCATTGGAAAGTGCTGCTTTTTCTAAGATATTTTCACGTGACTCAATAAAAAATTTCGACATATAAACGCGTAAATATTTTAAAAATACCTTGATCATAATCTTGCACTCTATCCTTTAATAATTCATCAAACTATCATATTTCCATATAATTAGTAATTTACAATCAAAGAACATTTTTATAAGAAAACATCTAACCTTATCAAATTGGTCTCGCATTATTTCCATGAAATTTGTGACTGGTTTCGTGTTAATTCGCAAATTATAATAAACAGTTATTTGGTCCTCAAAATCCACATACAAAAAACAATTAACATTATGACCAGGTGTAATGGCATATTGACCTAATATGAAAATTTAAATAAGTTCCGTAATATCAAATACATTTTATAGATTATAAAGTATTGTTTACCTGCAGCAAATGCACAAACTCTTCCTTCAAATTCAAATTTGACAACATTAAAATCATGGTCAATCACATATGTACATCCATTCCATGCACATACAACAAAAACATTGTTATATTTTTTAGTAGATTTTTCGGAATCATTAAGAATTTTTTTATCAAGACTCTCGTCATTTATACAAAGGTCTATAGATGCCATTCCGAAAAGTTTATGTGTGCCTTGTAATTCATGATGTGACATACTTGAATTTTGGAGATCGTATAATGTAAATTTACCTGGAAGGAAACAAACGTTATTATAAGATTGAAATATCATTTGATTTTTACAAGAAAGGCAATCCTACCATCCATAGTAATAAGTGCCAAAACATCTACGCATTTGCCTGAAAATCAGATTTATTAAATTTATGAGAATCCATTTTACAATAGTTTTCAAGTCCTTTTCCACTCTCACCATTTTTAAACTTCGTTCCTTTAACAATTTCAGTAGAAACTTCGGTAAATTCTTCTCCACTTTGATCACCAGATACTTGGGTAGGAGAAGAAATTTCTTTATCATTCTTTTCAATTATTATAAAATGTCCTCCAGGTTGACCGATAATCAATAACGATGAAGAAGTAGTAGGATCCTTCGCTGTGGACAAAGAAGTTATCTATTTGAATTTTAAAAAATTAACGTGTTTCATGTTCTCCGCGACATGATCAAGTCTTGGTTTAATGTATATAATTTTACCTGTCCATCAAAGTACCATTTCTTTTTCTCTTCCAAGTATGGCTGCTCTTCTATTAAGGAGGCTTTAATGCTTGCTGTGGAATCAATAGGTGGTGATGGAATTTGGAAATTAAACACTTGTAATACGCGATCGGTACGTGCAAGAATTATTTCGTTAATTCCATCATCATCTGAAATATAAATAAAAATGTAATAATATTCTAAATTCATCAAATTCTATCCAGAACCAATTACATAATTATACCGATGTCTGCAATCAGAATTCGGTTACAATTAACAGGTACGGACAATGTTAATGTAGGTTGTTCGATAACTTTTGGGCCTTCAATGATAAGGGGTCGCATTGCAGGAGTCTGTGCATCGTTGCTTTTCTTTGACGATGTTGGTATATTTTCATCATGTGTTGTAGGAGCTGATTCATTGCTTGATAATAAGTCAAATATATGGCACTGCCCTTCCGCGTTTATGCATACAATCGAATTCTATTTATTGATATAAATAATCAATCGAAATGATAAAATAATTTAAATATAAATATATCATCAGATGTACCTTTCCTGAATTCTTGATATCACCGACGGCCACACAAGTTATCTGAATAAATTAGTCACGCGAACGAATTTAATTTACACTCAATTTCATTTTGCTCAAGTTTATGATGACAAATACCTACTGTTCCTAACCCACTACAAGTCACGTAAGGTTGTCCGTCGTTTGCGGAGGATATACCTTTGAACACTGATAGTTCACCTTTTAAATTTCCAATCACAAATTCATTATCCTAACAAAAATTGGAATTTAAATTTACTAAGGAAAAAAGTTTTTAAAGTAAAATATTTTAATACCTTATCATTATCGACATCCCCAAAATCAAAAGCATGCGGATTCATATTTCCTGCAAATTTCCATTTTACTCGGTCTACTAAGCAAATTGATTTCATATTGTTGTCCAACAATTTCGCGTTTCCAGAAATTATTTAGTGATAATTCAGCCAATAAGATTCATTGTACGTCACATGTGTCACCATTCATCATAAAAAAATTTCGAAATCTTTTTTTTATTCGGCCTCTTTTGATCCTTATAAAGGAAAACTACAATGGCTGATAAAAAGATAGCAAAACGTCAAGGCGTAATTTATACCGAGACTGCAAATTCAATTGCACAAGCCCTCTATGATCTTGAAAACAATGTTCCAGAATTAAAAAAAGATTTGAAGCCTTTACAAATTTCTGACGCAAAAGAGGTGTGTACATGTGGAGTTAAAATTTAAAGTATTTTGTGGTTCATTGAACGTTCTAAAAATTAATTTATTAAATTTTTTTTTGAGGATGGAATTCTTGATTAATCGATATTGTTATTAATCAATTCTGTTATTAATCAATTCGATTTGATTTCATTTAAAGTATGAATTAGGTGGAGGTAAAAAGGCCATTGCAATTTTCGTCCCAGTCCCATTATTGAAGCAATTCCATAAGGTTCAACAAAGGTTCGTTCAATTTTATGCTAATTATCAAAGAAAAATTTTTATAGACTAATGAATTATCTGTAATAGATCTGAGATTTCTATATTCAATATATTAATTTAATAATTTTTCATATAATAATAGGCTTACTCGTGAACTAGAAAAGAAATTCTCTGACCGCCACATTGTTTTTATTGCACAACGAAATATTATGCGCAAACCCGGCCGTAAGTCCCGAGCCAAGCAGGCTCGTCCGCGATCGCGGACTCTTACCTCTGTACATGAAAAGTTTCTAGAAGACTTGGTATATCCCACTGAAATTGTGGGAAAGAGGACACGTGTTAAAGTTGATGGTAGCAAGATCATTAAAGTGTATGAATAATTGATATTTCTCTTAAATTCATTTCTCGTTTTATAAAATTTATTAATTTTTTTTTTCTAACGGTTAGGTATCTTGATAGCAAGGACGCTACATCTTTAGAATATAAACTTGACACTTTTAAATCTGTCTACAAGTATCTTACTAGCAAGGATGTCGAGTTTCAATTCAATCAACTTGATTGAGGATCAAAAAAAATTATAAAATAATAAATTTAAATTAATTATTAATTATGGATGTTCTTTTGCTTGATAGATCAGATAAAAAAAATCAATGAATATTTTTTGAATTTTATTTTCGAGCGAACTTTTTTATTGTGTAAAAATTAATTTTGTAATTTTGACGGTCAGCTATTATATTTCCTAAAGGTACTAACTAGATAAAAAAAAACCTAGACCTAATTAATAAAAAAATTTGTAATAATCATTGAGAACTCCAAAGCAACGATGTACAAATTTACGAAGGAAAACCCAATTAAACAAAATAAAATCAATTAAACAAAATAAAATTATTATAAATTATTTATCGGTCATTATGTTCAATCAATCAATGTCTTCGACAATCTTTGTATAGATAAAATATTCAACCCCGTCCATAAAGCTCATCTTCAGCCCAGTCCAGTCAATTTGGTCCAGTTCTCCATACAAGTAAATTATTCTACAGTCTGTTGAATTTCATCACAATAAAAATTTCATCACAATAAATTACCAAATCTACCGCGCTAATAAATACGTAGAAAGCAAAGTTTCAAATAAAGTTTGACCTCTAATTATAAATTCTTTATTAAACTTATAAAATTCATAAAATACAAATTTGGTGATATTAGATGAAAAAGTTCTGATTTATGCAAATTTATAAGATCCTCATCATAACTGATATTCCTTTTTAAGTTAATATGTTGTGCGCATTTTTTTAGAAAATGTCCAAAAATTTTATCTTGATTAATTATATTTTCACTAATAATGATTAAATCAGTCTTAATTTTCAACAATCACGGAAAACCTCGAATTACTAAATTTTATCAACAAATAGTAAGTTCATTTATTATTGTTTTTTCTTCTAAGAAATATGTTATAACTATCTTTTTTGATGTAATTATAGGATATTGGTACACAACAAGCATTGATTCAAGAAATATTTTCATTAGTATCAAAAAGACCTGATACAGTATGCAATTTTCTTGAAGGGAGTCAGATGCTCGGAGGTAAAGACACACGAATAATTTATAGACATTATGCTACTTTATATTTTGTTTTTGTTGTTGATGAATGTGAAAGCGAATTAGGAATTTTGGATTTAATTCAGGTCGGTAGGAATTTTGGATAGGAACGATAAATAATAATCGCTAAAAAAAAAAGAGATGAGAGCAATTAAAATATATATATATATTCATTTATATAGGTATTTGTGGAGAGTTTGGATAAATGTTTTGAGAATGTTTGCGAACTTGATTTGGTAAGAGAAATAATTTTATTAATTATAGTATTTTTTTTTATCAGATTTTATACAATCATTTTATTTTGCAGATCTTTCACTTTGAAGAGGTTCATCACATTCTTGCAGAGGTTATCTCAGGAGGAATGGTATGTCTATCAAATATTTTATATGAAAAGATTTAAATAATTATTGCTTACGAACTGGCTTAATTTTAGGTTTTGGAAACTAATATTACTGAGATTGTTCATTCATTCAGTGAATCAAACAAATTCAAAAAACGTTCAGGCGCAATGGCTACAATTGCAGGAAGTGGAGCGGGAGCTGTTGCAAGAGATTTAGGTGCAAATTTGGCAAATACAGTTACAACTACTTTACAATCTACTTTGCAAAATACAGTGAGCGCTACTTTCCCTACTTTTCGGAGAACAGGTTTTAATTCTTGATAATATGAAGAGAATGTGACTAGGGTTAAGAGAGTATTGACAATAAAAAATGGATAAAAAAGATGGGATGTAATTTGATGAGTCCTTTCTTTTTTGATTGTAAAGTAAGTGGGCAAATGAAACATTAGTGATAAACTTTTTTTGTCTTATCCTATTTTATATTAAGTTTTAACTTTCAATTATGATATATTAATTATAAAAAAAAAATTATTTATGTATGTAGAAATTCAGATAATAATATAAATTGAATCAAAGAATGATATGAATTATTGTGACTCACATATACAGTAATGAAATATATGCAATTTTTAAATTATTTAATAATAAAAATAATTATAAAAAATATATGTCTTTTTCTTATTTATATATTATGATTTATAAAAATTATTTTATTAATTTATTGTTTATTAAATTTTATTAAACCATATTACTAGTATTTAATATTGATTTTACTAAAACATACTACTAGTACTCAACACCATAATATAGTATTAGGCAATTGAACAATTGGATGTTTTGGACATTTGTTCAAAACCTGTCCAAAACTTGTTTAAAACCAAAATCTTTTTTCATTGAACAGCCTTAAATAGGCTTGCAAACAAAAAATTTAATTTAAACCAGAATTATGATTAATATTTTAATTTTAATTTACTGTATTTTGCATACTTCCCAAAAATAATACTTCTATATTTTAAATAATACCAAAAATAAGTATCTATCAGAAATCAGCCAAATTTAATTACAAATAATGGGTACACAAATTATTTATTAATAGTAATTTAGTTATGAAATTTACATCACAATTATTTATTTCCAATCATTTTTATTAAAATCAACAAATTTACTTATGAATAGCAAAATTTAACTTAATTTTGAAAAAAAAGTCATTTTTTAAGGTAATTGATTAAAATCTTTAAAATATGATAAAAGCTGCAATTAATACTATAATTTAAGAAAAAATCTAATTTAAAATACTTGACTTATAGCCTTAGTATTAGGGTTGCATTGCAAGTAATATACTTAATTTTATCCATTTTTATACTATTCTTTTCAAATAATTTGTGAATTTTTTGGCTCTAAAAATTTTAATTCATAAGATAATTAGCGTAATACCAGTTAGATGTTCTAATATTTTCTTATATATTTGTATTTTTGCATATGGGCTGATTTGTTTACTCTGCATTAAAAAGAGTTATTGATTGATTTTCACAATTTTTGTTACTCAAAATTGTTTTGTAATACCAAAAAATCATCTGATTGATGATCACTTGACTAAATAATAAGTTGAACAAAAATTTACATTTGCAAAACTTAAACTATTAAATGTAAAAGAGCTGTAAAAAAACCCATTTCACTAATAAAAAACCCATTTCTCATATATATAGAATTTTTAACATATATTATTAAAAAGTAAGTATATTTTAATAAAATATAAAGTAAAATAAAAATTTATATAGCCTTAGTAGCTATAAATGTTTATAAAAGTATAATAAAAATATTATATAAAAGATGGTATCATAATAGATATTTTCAAACAATAAAAATAATTATTTTATGTCAGAGTTTGTATTACCATCTTTAAACGCAAATATATCAAGATTCACTGATCCATTTTCTATAATTTTAGGCTCGTTGGAAAGCCCTTGTTCTGGACTTATAAGCGAAAAAAGAGCTTGCCGATTGAATTATTAGATTCAGAGATATTTACATTTAAAGTTGAGGTACAAACTTATTAACATGCTTAAATGCAAATATCTTGGGATCCACTGATCTATTTTGTATAAATTTAGGCTCTTTGGAAAGCCCTTGATTTGGTCTATATGAACGAAAAAAAAGCTTGCCAATTGGATCACTGGATCTGAAGATATTTACGTTTTAAGTTGAGATATAAATTTTTAACATATATAGTAAGTGCTAAGAATTATATTAATTTAAAAGAAATATTACCAAACTATAGTATAATAACATTAAATAAAAATTTTTTAATACTTATTCCCAATTTACTGTATATTATATAGTATTTTGTATAATAAAAATGTAATAAAATTAATATTTTAATTAAAGGTAGACAAATCAGCCTATATGGCAGTTTTATCAGTAACTTCTGTACTACAACAACAACTTGAAAGATCACCAAATAGATGTATAAAAAAGGCATTTTTAACACCTTAATTGGTAATTAAAAATGCCTAAAAGTATATAAATAAATAAGAAAATTGCTACATATCACCTGCAGTAATCATCACCGATATTATATAATTAAATTTTAACTTTATTTACCAGTAATCATTACCGGTAATTACTTTTGCATAATCTTACTACTAAAGATATAGTTTGCTTTATCATGTGACTTATTTTATCATTGTTTGTTTCGTTAAATTACTCTTTTCCCACAAAACTTTTCACAAACATATTTTCCATAAACACTTCTTTCTTAGATACATCTTTTCTTTAAGCTTTATAGTTAGCATCTAAAAAAAAATTTGAAGTTAGGATATCAAAAGTTTAACAAGTTAATACATTTTATAGAACTAATACTTACTTTATTTTACAAAGAGTAACTAACTTGATTTTTCTTACAAATACTCTTTCCAATTTTTTAGGATTTTAAGCTTCTTCTTCAGTTGTCTTCACAACTAGTCTTATAAATAACTTTAAAGTTAGATATCAGTTACCATAATATTAATAAATTATGAATATTAATTATGAATAACGAATATCAAAACTGACCATTTAACCTTCAACTTATGGATTATAAATATCAAGACCAAAACCAACCATCATCCGATCATCAACTGATGGATTACAAATATCAAAATCAAGATCAATTATCATCTGGTCTTCAGTTGATGGATTATGAATATCAAAACTAAGGCCAATTGTCGTCTTATTTTCAATTAATGGACTACAAATATTATTAATATCAAGGCCAACCATCTGACTAATTTTATCCAAAAAATAAAGAGAAGCAAGTAGCGGTATCTTTAGATATAATTACTGAACCTGATTGTGAATAAAATAATACGAATAGTAATAATCATACAACTGATGATATTAATGATACGACAATTACGACTGAAATATTAAATGTTAATGATATCTTCAAAGATTAGGATGCAGTTGAAACTGCTGTTAATATGTTTGCCAAACACAATGGTTTTGTTGCTATTAAATTTCGTAAAGATCTTAATATTATTGATAAAACTATTACTCATCGTCATGTTTATCAATATTGGAAAACTGGAATTAATAATCCAAAAAAAGTAGAGGATATTACATTACATCATGAGAGTAGTTCAATTAAAACAAACTGTCCTTGGCAAGCTAACTTCTATTTTGGCAAATGTGCTGCTGATATACACCTTACGAAGTTTAACAATAGCCATAATCATCAATGTGATCCTGTTTCAATAGAATTAGCTCCTAAAAACTTACGCTTTTTACAATTAATTTTAGATAAAATTGAACATTATACTATAAAGGGTAATTAAGTGCAGAACAACAATATGATCTTCTTGTTTATGAATTTCTACAGTACTATATTAAAAAAAAATCTCTATAATGCAATCCAAAAAATTTTGAGGTATTCGGGTTCATGATGAATCTGATGCTGCTACAATATTTCTATATCTTTTAAAACAACATAAAGAAGATTCTAATTATATAGTAATATCACGCTTAGAAGAACTATCTAATGAACTTACTGGTCTTTTCTAGATAACAAGTAAACAGTGTAATGAACTTTGGCCTAAATTTCATGATGTTGTTATTCATGATAACACAGCAAAAATGAATAGATACGAAATGGCACTAAGCTTGTTTGTTGGAATTGACAATAATTTTAAAACAAGAGTTCTTGCTCAAGCTCTTACAAAATATGAGACACAAGCTGATTATATTTGGATATTACAATGCACTTTAAAAGTAACAAATAATCTTTCACCTTATGTATTATATACAGATAGTGATCCAGTAATGTTAGCTGCTGTTCAAGTTGTTTATTCACAAACTCATCATTTGTTATGTATGTATTTACCACATTGCAGAAAATATAAAAAAAAAGCCAAAGCTTTATTACGTAATGATATGGTTCAGAATTTTATTGAAGATTTTTATCACATGTATAATAGTTATACTGAGTATCAATTTGAATTAAGATACACTGAAATGCTTACAAAGTATTAGCTGTATTGATCTTATCTTGAAAAAAAACTTTATCCTAGCCGTGAATCATGGGTAAGATACGCGATTTTAAAGTATTTACAGCAGGTGTTGAGTCAACTCAACGAGTTGAATCCATTAATGGTGTTCTTAAAAAACATTTAGATCGAGGAACTTTATTAAAGGAGTTAGTAAAAGTCATTGAAATGAACTGGACAAAAAAGCACAATATAATCGAATTAAGGAATATTATAGGTCAAATCCATCAACTGGTCTTCCGTCAACATATAATATGATTTTCAAAAATATTGACTCTATTTTAAAGGATCATTTAGCATCTATTCTATTATCACTTCAACAAGCTCAAATAAAACAGTCATTATTATATCAGGGAATATTAATTTTAATTGATCAAGTTAAAGAATCTGATAATGAGCAATCTAATGGTATAATTGAATATATTTATAATAAACTACAAATTAGATTACAAGATCTCTTATCAGATATAAACAGTGACGAAATCCAAGAAATATGAGAGATTTATTATATTACTGTAACATCATCAACATTTACACTACATTATATAGTAATTCTCAAAGATTCAACCTTATTTTGTACATGTATGTATATTATCAATCAAAGAATGCCATGTCGACATTAGTATTGGGTTCTTCTTCAGTTTAATAAAACTATTTTTTATATGAGATTTATTTATCCACGTTGGTATGAATCAATACCAACTGAAACAACTAATTATATTATAGTTGCTTAAGGAAATAAAGATTATACCACCAAAGCTTTATATTATATTGATCAAATTCGGTCTGCAAATGTTTATACATCAAATATTAAAGAAAGAGTTAATAAAAAGATTGAGTTTGATTCTATAATATCAGTAGTAAAGACAAGTGTTCAAGTTGCTGTAGCAGAAGGTGTTGCATCAGAATTGATTAGACTTCTTACTCAATTCATTATGAAATATCGTCATAATACTAGATTAAATATAGAAGAAGTTCATTTTATATCACATTTTAATAATGAGATTCAAGAATCCTTCTATAATTACCAACGACAGCCATTAGTTGTAGTGGAAGAACGTAATATTCCAGAAATATCAAATCCAGAATATCACAAGCCAAAAGGTCGTTTTCCAAAATGATATAAATCATCAACTGAAGAGAATAATTATCAATATGTATCTTTGTCTTCTAAAACCTGTAGTTATTGTCTGGAAAAAGGGCATAATATTAGAAGATGTAGGCAACATAAAGCTGACTTAATTGATAAAGAAAATAATAACTAAACCTTAGTTGATATGGTAGATTTAGTAGGCAATATTTTAAGTGGGGTTTAAAGTTCAGTTTAATGTAAGATATTTGTTAGTTGCGTATTCTTAATTTCTTGTATAATCTGAAAAAAAACTTTGTAATTAATGATTACTATTGAACGCAATTATGCAATGATTTACAGCTATTTGCTGCAGTTACGCAATAAAAAATTTTACAATAAAATGTTAATTGATCTTAAATCATGTTTCACGTGAAATATAAAAAAATTGTAATACTGATGATAATCACCACCAGTGATAAATAGCAAACTCCAATAAATAAATAACTCTTTATTAATAAAAAGATTATAGAGTATTAATAACAAATAGATAGCTAAAAGGAAATAAAAAAATGGCAAAATAATAAAAATATATGGATAGTTATAAGGTAATAGTACAGAAGAATAAAAATAAATAGATACCAATTTGATCATAAAAAAATTACAGAATACTAGAAATAGTAACTAAATAACATTATACTAGGACCCCGAAATATATATGTAGAGGTCAGGTCCAGAAGTGGTCCAAAATACGCATTCTTTCAGGGCCAGAATTACGATAATTTTAGCCATTATCTAAATTAGGAAATATTATTTTGGCTGGGATTATCCATAAAAGAAATGATCTACATGATTTTTTTGACTCATTATACGCAAACTCTGACCTACCCTTTTATGTATATTTCGGGGTCCTATTATACTCATAATTAAATAATAATATATTTACAATTAAATAAAAATATACTGTAATTGAAAACAACTGGATTATAGATAAAATTATTATAATAGTTTTATAAACTAAAAATTTCTTTTTAATTTTTTTTCATTTATATAAATAAATGCAATCTTATTATTTATAATTTTTTTTTTTTTTTTTTTTGCTGTAGCACATATAGATATTTATTAAGATTTAAAGAATAAGTTTATACAATACATGTAAAACTAATATAAATTCTAATTTAGTAAAGAACTACATCATCCACTAACTTCAGCAAAGTAATCATATGTGTACTGTCAGTGAAGGATTTAGGCTAGAGGAGTAATAAGTTCACCTTATAGATGTCCTTTCTTAGAGGGATTCTCCCTCCTTCCAGTCTACGCCATGAGTGCCCCAAAGACTCACTGCTATTGCAGACGAAACCCATTCGAACCAAAATGAAATAAAGGAGGTAATAACAAAAGTTTGGGTAAAAAAAAAAAATTAAAAAAGAAGTAATTAAAAAAAATATTAGTATTTTACAGATACGAAGGCTACTATAGTGTCTACTACAATTCTACCTATAGTCACCAAGGCCAAGCAGTCATCCTGTCAGTTCTCAAGCTTTTTTAATAATGATCTAATTTTTATTAATAAAGTTAGTTTTTCAGATTCACTACATCCAAACCTTTCTTCATATTCCTAAGAGTTGCGAATACGTGTTTCTTTCTGAGAGGTTTGCTCATCTTAATCTTGTTATCTGTAGTATTTGGTCTAATCTTGTGAGCTGTGTCTTAGTTCTGCTTTTGATTACAGCCACTTCTTGGTAGTCAGTTACGATTTTTAGATAATTGAGGTGAAAAGTATTTAATCTAAACATCTTCATATTTTTGCAAGTTTAACTTAGTATTTGTAATCTTATTCAAATCAGTCCAATTGTTGTAATACGTGATAATAAGCTTGCAAACCCCATATATAGTAATGTTAAAATATATATAGATCATCATATATCAATATATAAATTATTATATTCTATTGGTTAGTTGACATTTGAAACAAAATACAATATGTATAAATTATATTAGTAAAAAATATTATATATATCATAGTATACTAATTAATTTATAAATAATGATTATATAATATATTATATTATAATAAATATTAATATATTAATATAATTTTTATATTGTAATTAAAAAATATATGATTTAATATTATATAATTATATATTTTTAATATTATTAATTTACTATTAATTAAGTATTATTCTCAGTTTAATTATTGTTTTTTTAAAAAAAAAATAAAAAAAAACCTTTTTTTAAATAATATCCTTTTTCTTTATATCTGATATATTCATTTTTAATTTATATTCATTATTTTGATTTATACTTTCAATGGTTTAGTATACTTTCATTTTTCATTATTCTCTCATTTTTTTTTTTTGATGGCATATTTTTCCAATTTAAGGTTTAGCAATTTGAGTAAAGGGTAAAAATATAAATAATCCACATCTTATTGAATAAAGACTCTTCATATTGAATTTATAAATTGTTTTTTTTACAACTATAAAAAAGGTCATTACTCATTGGTGCCAAGTATTATTAAATTTGATCTTTCAAATCTTGACAATAATCTTATTTTTTTTTTAATTCTCTCGAAAAAATAACAAAAAAAGAAATAATTTGATCTCTGCATTTTTTTTTGATATAAAAAAATGCGGAATCCTTTTTTTTTATTGTATTTTCAAAATTAAATTCTAATTATCTTTCATATGAAATCCTTTCTCGATTAATTTTATAAGAAAAAAAACGAAAGAAAAAGAATTAGAATAAAAATTAAAAAAATACAAAAACCACCAAAAATTAAGCCTTACCATTCTACGCAAAAAAAAACCTAAAAATAAAATCATAATTAACTCAAAACTCAGAAAAACTATCTAAAAATAAATAGATTTTCTAAAAAAATCGAACAGGTAAAAAATTATATGTTATGTGTATTAAGTTTCAGTCTCCTTTTTTTTTTCCTTTCTAAGGAAATTATTAAGAAAAAAAAAATATGTTGATTATTTGTAAATGATACGAATTGATACGCAATAAAATTTTTTTGCTTGTCAATCATACATATCATATATCATATCAAATGATTTTTTCTTTGGGGGCTTAACCCCTTTTTGAGTTGCCGCAATTTTGAAAAAAATCTACATTTTTCCGTTCTTTCGTTATCTCGGTAATCCTTCTAAAAAAAATTTTGGAAACTTTTGGAATTTCCATGCATCCCAAAAATCTAGCCCATTCTTTGTTTAAATGTTCCCACGGATAAGCCTGAAACTCTTTCTATGCAAAAACAAAGGGTTGGACAAACAGGTTGATCCAGTGATAAACCCTGATTTTTGATTCGTGCTCATTTTTTTTTCCAAATAGCATTTTTCATTTTTATTTTCTTTTTTCAGTTAAATAATAAAATAAATAATTGTTCATGGTAATAATAGAAAAATGTGCCCAGATAAGAAGTACCCTGAATCCAGCCATTACCAAACTTAAAATCCCTTATTAGAAATTCATTAAAATTTCTTTTTGACGTATTATCATGCACAAATAAAGTTTTAATTTCAAATCAACTTCCATTTTTTTCAAATTGAATGAAATCAAAATATAATGAATGACCAAAAAAATAATTAATTTCTTCTAATTATATCTTCTTTTTTCTGCAAGCTGTCGTCTTCTTGCAACTGACAGGTAAAAACTTTAAAAAAAAATCAGGAAATTTCTAAAAAAAAAAATATTTCAATATTCTTTTTTTTCCGAGAATTCTCCGTTTTGATAAAAAAAATCTTTCTGTGATACACCATAAACATTTCCTTACCGTTCTTTTTCTCGAACATGAATGATTTTTTGTGATACTCTTGTAATACTATGTGAAACTTTTTAAGATTTTTTGCACTGCGTAACTGGGCAGAATTAAACTCCAAAAAGATTCATTCATAAACTTATTGTTGATATTTATTTGTTGACGCCGTTCAAGATAACAAATAGTAAACGATGATGATCGTATCAAAAAAATTTCGTCATATCTTGGTAGGTTCTTGATTTTTCGTGTTACTTCGTTTAAAGAGAAGAATAATTTCAAAGATAATTTTAAAAAATTTCTCACGAAATAAGGAGATGTTTATTATTCAAAGGATTTTTACTTATCCATATAGTGTCCATAATAACATCTAATATCTTTGATTGATTGATCGGCTAATAAAAAATTAGAAATCCATTTCTTGGATTTAGACCAAAAATTAATTAGTCAATCGGGATTTCTTGCCAAGTAAATAACGCCACATAATTTTTTTTTGGAAAGTCATATGAATATGGCAGATATTTTTTTTTCTTTCACCAATGAAATCGATAAACATTTCTAAAAAATTCTATGCCAAAGGTCCTAGAAAAAAGCAGGCGCATATTAAATAATAACTTGAAATAAAACCTGTTAAAAAACAAGAATCTTGCATGATCAAAAAAAGGCGGTGGAATCTAGAAACACTTGAGCAAAAATGTCTCGGAAAACCCGTTGTTATTGTCTTAACTATAAAGTAAAACTTTTCTCAAATGTTTTACTTTATGTATGCACTTCAAATACAAGGTTTTTCTTCATAGATGATAGATATAAGAGATAACGATGGACAAGGAGAGGGTTAACTTTTTTTCATTCACCAAGAACCTTTTTTTTTTCGTTAAGAAAAAAGGAAAAAAAGAAAGAGAATGAATAGTTTATTATTTATAAGATTTTAGAAAGATTTAAAGAACGATAGATTTATTATAATGGTATTATTGTACTATTATATTCATGAAAGAATATTCTGAAACATTTGAAGAAAGACTTAACATTTTTGAACTTATTGTTGACAATGGTAAATGGATTTTCAAACGTTACAATCGTTAAACATGTAAGAAATTATACTCATAAAGAAATCACATGAGTATATGCGGTCCTTTTCGTTTTATAGTTAGTGATACGGCTTTTTTCATTGGATTTTATTCTTGGAATTTTTTATAAGGACTAATACCTTTGTAATTATGCATTATTTTTTTGTATTGTATAAACTATAATTTTTAAGGGTAATTACAACAATGAAACCAAAAATTTCACAGATGGCGTACATTTTTGTCTCGTTACTTTAAAAAATTGTTACTTTTGTGCACTCTTCAGGTTTCGGATCTTGACTTTTTGATCTCTATACGATTTGTCGGATGATTATCTTTTCTTACTTGTTCCTGCATATTTAGATATTTATATAAATGGGTAAGCAATCTCTTTTCAAAAATAATCACGCATACACTTTTTTTTCTCTCTAAAAAAAAAAATTTTTATATATATAAAAAAAAACCTTTTTTTTTCTTTTCAAAAGGAAAGAAAAAAAAATATCTATATAAATATATAAATAAATATATACATATATATATATATCCTCGTGACGAATAAATCTCTCACGCTTTATAAATAATAATAAAAAAAAAAAATTATATATATACATATTATTTTTCTCTTTAACGAAAACAAAAATAAAAAACGATGACTTATCAATTTTCAAGACCTCACTCAGTATACGCACAATCAAATTATCAAACACAATTATCATCAGGACAACGACCATATTCAGTAGTTGGATATGAAGGATATGAAGGATTATCCTCTTTACAACAACCATCATCATTTCGAGTGATTCGACGTCGTCATCAACGAAAAAATGTTCGTAATAATAGTAATGTATTAAATCCTACCTTGGATAATTTCTATAATACTTTACGTCGTGCAGGAGCCGATCTTAACGTAACTTCTGCAAAGAGTTGGGTAAAAGAATATGAAGGTTATAGACGACAAGTTCTTAGTGCCGAGAAATCTAGTATTGAAAACACTCGACCGGTATCATGTTATACTTCTTCCCTTGTTTCATCTCCATCAACAATGGAATATCAACGTTATTCTATGCAATTTTAAAATGTATTTTTCATTTTGGTGGAAGACTATGGACAGTTTTTTTTATTTATTTGATTTTTTTTATTTTTTTTTTTTTATTATTATTTTTATTTAAGTGTATGTAAGTATATATCATTCATCCAACATTGTAGTAAAAAAATCAACAAAAAAATGGGTAAAAAGAATTCTTTTGGCGATTGAGGCGGGAGGAATAAAAATTTCAGAGAAATTTTGGAAAGTTTTTCGCTTTCGATTCGCATTTCGGGATTTTCTTTGTATCACATATTTATAACTTTCCTTAACCCCTTTTTTTTTCTTTTCCTCTTTATAATAATAATGGGCTAGTACCGTGTTATAGTGAAGGTGGAACGAGGAAAAAAAACCTTGTAAATTATTTTTTTCTTTGCATATCTTTATTATCTCAATTATTTTTTTCCATTATCTATCTCCATATATATCTATCTCCACATATATCTATCTCCATATATATCTTATCCCTTCATATATATCCTCCCCCTTTAAAAAAAAACCCTTAATTTGAAAGAATGTAAAGATACAATAGGCACATTTTATGTTCTTAAATTCGTATCTTTCGTTCTCGTATCTTTTTCATTCTCGTATTTTTTTTTTTTTTTCTTTTTTTGATTTAAAATTTAAGAAAAATCGTTTCTTTATTTTTCTTTCTTCATATGTAGCTATTGTTTAAATCTGAAAAGAAGAAAAAAAAGATTATTTTATTAATGGTATCTATAGCTCTTTATAAATACAGGAACTAATACAAATAACAAAATTTAAAAGTATTTTAAAAAAATCTTTTCTTTTTTTTTTTTTTTAAAGTAGAAGACAAACCAAATAATTTTGGTTACGTAAGAAATGTAAATAATATATGATTTAATTAAAAAAAAAAATAAAAAAATAAAAAAACATTAAGAAAAATTAGAGGAATATTATTATTATTACATGATGTTACGTTTCTCGTAAAAAAAAAATTTTAAAGTGCCGAACTTCATTGAATATATTCGTCACGCTAATGCATAATATAGATAAGTTCTAAAGTTAATTGAAGTGCGATGATTAATGCAGTGAACTTGCAGATATACTAATCAAAATGGATCCATTGGCCCAAAAATTATTTACTTTGTACTACCAAAAAAAAATACCTGAAAAAATCTTGTTAATAACGAAACTTTAATTTAAAATTTACTTCTTTCAAACATTATTATTATTCATTTAAAGATTCTCAGTACACATTATTTTCTTCTCCTTGTCTTTTAGCGGTTGGTTAATACTCTTATCAAGTAAACATATAATATGAGAGTATCCTGTGGCCAAGTGGCCAAAGCAACGAAAGTAATTCTAATTTGATGGACGCAAAAAAATAACACCACTTTGATATGTCGGATATTGAAAAATAAACTTTTTAAACTTTTAATCACCAATAATAAACAACGAAAGTTCAGTTGAGATTTTCTATTCGCATAACCCCTTAAATTTGAATGGTTATATATTATAAACCCATTTAAAGAAAGCCCCTTGTAAACGGTTGTGTAAATGGAAACATTTTACAAAAAATTTTCCATTTCTTTTAAATTAACAAATTTAGAATACAGTAGATTTTTAAAGTTTGATTATAATTCTTATTAACTGTTTAAAATAATCTCAAACACTTATCCAGGTATAAACGATGGATTTGAAACTTTTGTGACTGGTAATCATTCTTTTTATGTATAAATTGTATTCATATCATAAGTTCGTACAATCGGTTTCTTTTAATAGAACAATTTAAAAAGATGCTGCGTCGAAAGTTGAAACGCGTCTTATGGCGCAGTATCCAATACAAACATTTAAAGAATTGACTCAATTGAGATAATATTAATCATTATTTTACGCTTGATAAAAGAAGGAAGTATTACTTACTAACTGGTCCCAATTTACCCAAATTCATAAGGTTGAATGGTACCAATATATCTTCATGCATCACTATAATTAGATATAGATTGATAAACAATGATTGATTATCTTAGCTGAAAGGTAATTTAGAGTTTATTTAATGGCATGATTCATGAATATGATAAATTCATTTGATGCATGTAACCATTAATTTATTAATAAAGCGAGATTTGACGGAAAAAAAAATTACTTTGATCGAAATTTTCTTTGAAACAACGAACTTTTTAAACGCCGAATTTTTAATGGTTTGATATAATGTAAGAAACCCTTTTTTATTATTCAAAATGACGCTTTTTTAGGATAAATGTAATCTTCAAAAGAATATCTATTTTATCTATTGTAGTACAAGGAGAATTGAAGCAACTTACATATATATATATGTATAATGTATGGATGGATTTAATAGAATTAGAAATAGAAAAGCCGATAAATGAGCTCGCAAATATTAGAAACAATAATATGAACCTTTCATACAATTTCTTCTAAATCCTTTAAAAAGTGAAACAATTTATTTCAAAAAAAAAAAATAAAAATTCTTTTTTCTCTCCTTTAACAAATAATAATTGTTAATAAATTTTAATTAATAAAAAATTTTGTTAATAACTATTGTACCCAAATATTATTACGTATTTCGGAAATTAAATTCCTATTAGCCGGAATTAATGGAACTAATTTGTCCATTTACCGCAGTATTCACTTTTTTGTATATAAATACCAGTTTCTCCGACCCAATCAATTGAATAAATACAAAAAATCAAGTGTATCAGTAAATAAATTTTTAAGTGTAATACGTAATGTTGTAGATTGTGTTTGATATAAATAGTTTAAATTAATAAATCAAAAAAAAGTTTGTAGATCAATCTTTTTTGTTTATTTTTATTTTTATTAATTAAAAAAAAAAAAGTTCGTGATTTTTATTTTTGGAATACCTTGATTACCTTCTCTTTTTTAACCTTCTTTAAAAAATCCTTTTTTTCTTGTTGTGTTGTACAAAATAATAAAGCCAAGACTTTATTGCTGAATACAATCCATTCACGTGATCCGGATTTGTATTATTATCATCATTATTTTATTTATTTTTGTTATTTTAATTATTTTTATTGGTTATTATTAATATTATTATCATTTTATTTTAACTTAAAAAAAAATTTCTCTTTCTTCTAAAAATAATGCAAGTACAAAGAAGAAAATCATTTAAAACCAATCGATTATTTGACTTTGATCAGTTATTTCAAAATCGTCAAAGACGAAATGTTGAAATTAGACGTCAATTACGTGAAGAAATAATATCAAAACATCGAAATTTATCACCTTTAAAAGAAAAATCTTTCTCAAATGAACCAAAATTAATTGTTAGAAATTTAAAAATTGAAAATCTTTCCGAAATTGCTCAAGGAATTTATTCAAATCATGTTGAGAAACAATTGATTTCCATGAGAAAATTTAGAAAATTATTGGCTGAAGAACGTGTCCCACCAATACAACAAATCATTGATACTGGTGTTATACCTAAATTTGTGGAATTTTTACAATCAAATAGTCAATTACTTAAAATTGAATCTTCTTGGGCTTTAACAAATATTTTGGCAGGAAATATTGAACATATCAAAGTTGTTATCGATTCTGGTGCTTTACCAATTTTTGTTCAATTATTACAAAATGAAAATTCTAATGAAATTAAGGAACATGCTATTTGGGCTATAGGGAATATTTCTAGTGATGAAATGTTTTGTGATATGGTTTTTTGTTCTGGTGCTTTAGAATCTTTATTAAATATTTTAAATCAAATTGATGAAAATTCTTCTTTAATTCCTACTTTGGCAAGGACAATATGTAACCTTTGTAGGGTTAAAGTATCTGAAGATGAATGGTATTGGTTATCTCTTGCTTTATCTAGAATGATTTATTCTGATGATGATGATGTTCTTTATTCTACTTGTTGGGCTTTATCTTATCTTTCTGATCGTGAAATAGATTGTAATCAACAAAAACATTCAATCATTAATACTGGAATATGTCCTAGATTAGTTGAACTTATGATTCACAAAAATTTTAATGTACAATTTCCCGCTTTAAAGTGTGTCAAAAACATTTCTGCTGGTTCTCATGATCAAACTCAAGCTATCTTACATTGTCAAGCTTTAAAAATTTTAAGAGATTTACTCGTTAGTACGAAATGTAGTATTCGTAAAGAAGCTTGTTTAATCGTATCAACGATTGCGAAAAGAGCTGTAAATCAAATTCAAGCTATTGTAGATGCCGGAATAATTCCTTTATTAATTAATTTAATAAGAAATTCGGATTTCAAAACGAAAAAGGAAGCTATATGGGCTATTTGTAATATTATAAAATATAGTTATAGTCAACCAAATTCATTTCGTCAAATAATAAATTTGGGATGTATTCAACCTATGATTGATATGTTAGATTGCAAGGACACTGAAATTATTTTAACAATATTGGAAGTAATTCAAATAATTTTAAAATTTGGTGAATTCGCTAAAACTCCAAATAATAGAGATAATGAATATTCGTTATATATTGAAGAAATTGGTGGGAAAGAAAAGATTTATGATTTACAATATCATAAAAAAGATGAAATTTATCATATAGCTTATGATATTATTGATAAATATTTTGGTGATGGTTTTGAAGAAGGATTCGAAGAGGTTAATAATTTTACATTTCGACATAACAATAACAATAATAATAATCCTTTTACAGGATTTCAATTTTTTAAAACAACCTATTCCTTTTGATAGATGTCATTTTTAATGAATCTGATTCATATTACAAAATGGTGAAACTAGTCAAACTCCTAGTGGCATTTCTGTTGTTCCGAATCAATTTAATCAATAGGATTTTAGTTTTTATAAAGATTTTTTTTTTTTTTTAATTTTCTAATTGAAAAAAAACAAGCAAAAAAGGTATCTTCAACCTTAATGGGCTTAATCAAAATATCATTTCTGGCGTCTATATTGTTCTAATTTAGTTAGTTTTGATTATGAAATATTCATATGTTCATTACCTATAAGAAGAAATAAATAATTACTGTAATAAAATAATATTTGGCGATAATCTTCTAAATTATTTATGGCGATGAACGTGTCACAATTCAATTGATATTTATACTCTTTCTTCGTTATATTTTAATTTCATTTATCATAACATTAGCAATAATGAGCGATGTAATATCACTTACTAAAAGCCCTTCAAGTAAAAAAGGGTTTGTTTCTTTACTCGAGAAAACTAATTTAAGCGTGATACAGCCTAAAATGAAGAAGGATTTGTATTATGCTGCAATTAAAGTTGGAGGAAATTTTGAATTTTCGCGGTAAGAAACAACATAATTTTTTTTAAATTATTTGTAATTATTGTATTTTCATTTAATATTTGATATAAATTACGAGTCCATTAAGATAATATTATGGACTATTTTTTTTTTAATTTAGGAATTTAAAGGGTCATTTCTCATGTGTTAATGCGATAAAGTGAGATTAATTCGGTCGAATGATTTCTCGTATTGACTTATTATTTCTAACTTTCTAACTTTTATATATCTTATTTATATAATAGTTTTAGTAATGGTGACGCGCGATTATTAGTGTCTGGTGGCGACGGTAAATATTCTTCAAAATCATCTACGATTCCTTCGTGAAAATCGCGTTTTTATTAATTTAAACAGAGAAAATTGTTCATTGATCTTACAGATAGACGAGTATTGATTTGGGACGTACATGGTGATATTGAAAATACTAAACCTAAGAAGTGCTTCAAAGGTCATCACGTATGTAATATAACAAAAAAAAATGAATCTATTTTTATCATTTATTATATTAAAATCTAAATATTAATAAATTCTTTAGGGTAATATATTTGGTACAGTTTTTGATTCTACGAATCGTCATGTTTTATCGTGAGTTATATACATTTCTTTTGTTTAATATTAATATGAATTTTTTTTCTACTTATTGAATCTCCTCTGTTTTTTTTTTAAAAAAAAAAAAAAGTTGTGGAAATGATAAGTTAATAATTTATCATGATTTGGAACATGGTATGGTAAAATTTCTCGAATTTTAAGCAATTAAGTAATATGCTTTATATCGTAACTATTTTTTTTTTTTTAAAAAAAAAAGAAAGCGTTTCGAAGACATTTTTGGGACATGAAGATGCTGTGCATTCAATTGCCTTTGATCCATTTAATGATAATTTATTCTTGTCCGCAAGGTAAGGCACGAAATAACTATAATTTTATTTATTTCATTTACTAATATACATATGTTTTTTATATCAATTTGAATGTAGTCAAGATGGTGAGCACAGATTTTGTTAATTAAATGATGATTATCCAATGTCCGCTCAATTTTTTTTTATACGTTTATAGGTACAGTGAAGTTATGGGACATACGTTGTAATTTTCAGTGTCAAGGAGAAATTAAAGGTTTTGCACAAATGACGCATGCTCAATTCAGTCCCACCGTTGAGAAACAATTTGTTACTAGTAATGATGGTGGTGATATAATGTAAGTTATCTGTTATAAGGTTATCTTTTTTTTATTTTAATTTTATTTATTGATTAAATTAATAACAGATTTTCTATAGTAATAAATGGCGTGAGATTTGCCTAACATCTCTAATTTATTTTTGTGTCTTTCATATAATAAATTTTTAGACTACGAGATACTAGAACGGCTTTTAAGTCTGGTGAACCTCTTTTGACTACTTCCTCATCTTCAAAAGACTTTTTATTAAAGGTAAAATGGCCTTTAATCTTTATTTTTTTAAAAAAATTCTTTCTCATTAACATTTATATTTTTTTATTATATAGTATGTTACTACTTTAACGCGTAATTCTAGAAATGTTAAACCTGACATATCTTCAGTAGCATTTAATCCATCCGGAACTTTATTATGTGCTATTATAAACCATTATCGTCCAACATTATATAATGTTTTTGACGAGAAACCTTTATGTACTTTTTCATCAGATTATGATTTCGAAACACAAATTGGATACAAAAATGACTGTACTTTTAAGGTATATTTATTTAATATGAGAAATATTTCCCTTAATAAGAATTAACTTATATTGTTATAGCAAGGTTATTTTGGTGGTCCGGATGGAGATTATTTCCTTTGTGGAAGGTAAGATACGGAAAGAAATATATATATATATGTATTTTTTATCTAACTAATTTTCCTTTTTATATATTTAGTGATGATTTTAGAGTTTATATATGGAAAGTTCCAGATATAGAAACTATGATTAATGAGCGATCGTTCACAAAAAATCTAGATGATTTAGATGATGAAATATGTGAGCTTTTGAATATTTATAGATGTGACATTTAAATATTTATGTTGACAAATAGATTTTCTTTCCTTTTTTAGATTTTATTGATGACGATATGGTAATTGATCCATTGAATAATTCAACCCCACAATATGTGCTTAATGGTTTGTATGTTACTCAACATTTAAAAATGTTTTAATTATTATTATAATTCTCTAATTATATAAATCATTAAATAGGTCATCGTTCAATCGTCAATTCGGCAATTTGGCATCCTCATGTTCCTTTGATATTTTCATCAGGTAAGTTTATAATAATTAAAATAAAAATAGCTTACAGTCTGATCTATAATATATCATGAATTTTTTTAGGTGTTGAAAAAATAATAAAGGTTCATTCCGCTTTTCCATTTTCAAATAAAGGTATGAAAGGTTTAATTGACAAAGTACTATGTATAAGGATTTTAAATTCATTCAAGTACTTCTATTTATAGATTGTGAATCTAAAATTCCGCAACCGCCTAGGTCGAGGTTTAGACGTGGGGAGATTAGTTTTCGTGCAAATGAATATGAAGAAAATATGGAAGAAGATTTGTCAACATTGAAATTTTTTGATTTAATGGTTTGTTATAAGAATTTAATAAAATGAATTGTAATATTTTTTTTTTAATTATATTTATTTTATAGCTTATGACCGAAGAGCATGAAGATTTTTATTGGGGAAATGATTCATTTGATGACTCTGATAATTCAACACTTTCATTATCTTCATATTTTTTTATGCGTGACGATGATGATGATAACGACGACGACGATGATGATAAAGAGGACGAAGATGATGGAGAATCTGATGGTGAAGAAACTGATGATGATAGTGAAGGGTTACCATCTATGGGTGATTATGAAAATTATGCATATTCGAGGTAAAAAGTTTTAAACAAAATTCTTTTAATTCTTTTAAATTATTAACAATTTTCATATATACAGTTCAGATTATGAAGAGACAACTGATAGAAATGATGTTTCTTTTGAATCAGATATGGATACTAGTGATACGGATAATAATATATACCAGTTATATAGGTCGTTTGCAATGTGTAGTGATGAATTAACTGATGATGATGATGATTATGACGATGACGAGATGAATATTGAAATTTTAATTTAATTTATAAAACTATATATATATTAGTTTCTGTAAATATTTTTTTGGGAGGAAAGAAAGGAGGTGCAAGAGTTTTTTTTTTTTAGTAATTACGAGGTTGTTCAATTAGGTGCATCATTTTTAATAATAAAATTAAATTGTAAAAATTAAATTTAGCTAAATAATAATGTTAATTACAGTTCACCCTCGCTATAGTGAAGCTCATAGGCTGAAGGTTAAGATTCACTATAGTAAGGGATTCACTATAGCGAAGGTGAACTGTATTAAGAATTATTATTTATATAGAAAATCCGTACCTGAGCTTTTCTTTACTATAGCAAATTATTCACTATATAAAAATTCACTATAGCGAGGGTGAACTGTATTTGTTTAAAATAATTTAACAAAGATTTTAGTCAATGTTATGTGACTGTAAAATCACATGCAAGCTTACATATGCACATCCTAAATTTTGTTAAGATGCGGCGCAGATTCTTATAAATCTCTTGATGAGGGGAAGGGTCTCTCCATTACAATCTATACACAGCAAATAAAACATTTGTGTCAATACATTTTCAGGTTTTTATGAAACACTTTATTAAAAATTTAAAAATCTCTTTTAATAACATAATCATTACAAAAATTACAAATGATACCAGCATTCTCGTTAAATGAAATATTTAAAAAATTATTCATTTATGTTTCCCTTTTTTTGATAATGTAATGTATATATATACAATATTATAAATATATTATTTCATTAAAAAAAAGGAACCAAAATAATTATATAAAATAAATAAATAATATATATATATAAATTTTTATACAGAAGAAAAAAAAAGATATAAGATAACCACCCAACAATCCAAACACCCACCAAGAACCCACCAAAAATCCAAAAATTGTAAAAAAAATATCAAAAGTAAAAAATAAAAAAAACAATAAATTACATACATATATATATATATATAGCGGAGCGCTAATTTTTCTTTTGTTGGAAAAAAGGAATGTGCGTAAAAAAAATATATATACAAACAATTATATATATCCTTCTTTATAAGAAGATTCTTTTTCGTAACCGATTTGATCATTCTTAACATCTTCTTCATTATACTCTTCTTCGTTATACTGTTCGTTATATTCTTCTTCATTATACTGTTCGTTATATTCTTCTTCATTATACTGTTCGTTATATTCTTCTTCGTTATACTGTTCTTTATACTCTTCTTCGTTATACTGTTCGTTATATTCTTCTTCGTTATACTGTTCGTTATATTCTTCTTCGTTATATTGTTCATTATATCCTTCTTCTTTTATATATTCGTTTTTTGCTTTATCTTCATCTACATTCTCATCATAATTATTAACAGTCTCATTATATCCTTCATTACCTTCGTACCCATCATATTCTTCATTATATGCATTTCCTTCAGCATATTCATCACCATATTCATCACCATATTCATCGCCATATTCGTCACCACCATAACCTTCAGCATAATCTTCATAATCTTCATCATACTCAGCAACAGTTTCATATTGCGTAGGCAAAATGTTTGATAAATGAGCGAGCCTATTATTATCAAAATTATAACCTGATTCCACCATTCCATTCTCTGAATCGTATACTGTTAATCTCTTTGCCATTTCTTCTGTATAATCTATTGGTATAGGAGCACTAATGTCTTTTGTGGATATACGTTTACGTCTTGTATTATGGTTATGATCACCTTCTAAATCACTATTATCAAAAGATTCAGAACGACGAGGTAAATTAGAATGTCTGTGCTTACTTTCAGCTTTACTTTCCCTTTTATTATTATTTGATTTTGCTCTCAACCAAGGTAAACTAAAAGTACTAAAAGTGCTAGATTTTCTTCTTAATTTACGACCTCGTACTTGTTTATCATCCCAAATTTTTATGGTTTGTTCTTTCTCTTCAATCATTATCCATTCACATTCATTATTTAATAAGTCTTGTCTAGGCTCAATAAAAACCCATTCACCCCAACGATTCGTAGCTTCATCAGCAGTGGTTTCAATCCAGATATAAGGAAATATTTCATCAATCATTTGAATAGCCAAATGTGTTGTAACAGTAAAATCTTGTGCAGGATCTATAACATACCAATCTTCCCAATCTTCTTCCTCTTGCTCATTTTCTTCAATTTTTCTAGCAATGGCATTAATAGAATCAGAAGACCTTTTCTTTAATGAACGTAAATTTATTACTCGCTTTTTATGACTTTTCTTTCCTCCCCCGTTAGTATTCACATTTTGATTATTGTTTTCTTCCTTTTTATGTAAAAATGTCTGAATTGAAGAATCCAAAGTAAGAACATCAGAAATATTATCTATTGAACCTCTAAAACCTTTAGTAGTAAAATCATCCCAAGCAACAGTTTTTGGTCTCATAGCAATACCGGAATCATTTCTACCCAATACTTCTTGTTTATCATCTTCATTTTTCTTAATATTTTGATCATTTTGATCATTATTCTTTTCTTCATTCTTTACTTTTTTGGGTGTTATAGGAGGCTCCAAATAAAAACTTTTAAAGCCTTTTCTAGAAAAATCTTTCCAATTTTTTTCAATTGGAGTACGAGGTATTTCTTCATTGTGTAATGTTTCAATATATTTTTCATCAAGAGAAAAAAACAATTTAATATATTCATCAGATAATGATGCTATACCGTTCCTTTGAAATTCTTCCCACATTTTTTCCGCTAATTGTTGTTCTTCTGATGTCATCATAGTACTCGTACGTACTATAGTACGTCTATTCAAATTATCCAACATTTCAGGTAATAATATACTAGCACATCTTGATTTACGTTCATTATTATTATTAGAAAAACTATCAGTAGTAATATTTGGTGGTATAGTTCTAGTAACTCTTAGTATACTTATAGGTCTTTCAGGTATAGAAAAATGTACCATCGATCTTCTTTTTCCCGTTAAAGAACTTTTTCTACTTAGAATTGATTTTGTAGGTGATTCAAGACCATCCGCTGATTGAAAAATTTCACGTTCTTCTTGTTGAGATTTATCAACAACATTATTATCAACTTGTTGTTTATGTTGAAATTGATGATATACTGAAGGATCATTGATTGCTTTTTTTCTTAATTCAACATAATTGTCCAGCAATACAGTTAAATGAGGAGGTAATTCAATTTCAATAGATAATTCTCTTAAATAAGCCAAAAATAAATGCAAACAAGCATTAGAACATTTAATCCATTCTTTATAAGCATCATCAAAATTATTAAAAATTTTTCTCTTTTCATCGTCATCATTACTATTATTACTACCTATTAAACAGAATGCTAAAGATTTGATGATTTTTTGAGCGTTCATAGTATTAATATCAGAATGTGTTGTTAAAGTAGGAGAGGATGAAGATGAAGATGATATAGATGATGATAATGTTGTTGTGGTAGTTATTTGTATACAAACATCAAATAATTCTTTAACAATATCTCTATTTAAATTTGGTATAGAATTTAAAAAATAATTAGAAAATAGTCCTTTATGAACATCAAAATTAATCCCTTGCTCAAGTCTATCAAAAGATTCATAATTACTATAAGGTATAATTGTTTTATTACAATGTCGTAATGTCCATTTCATCGCAGAAACTATATTATTTAAATCTTGATTTTTGATTTCATCTTCAAATTCTGATATATTTTCATTTAATAAACAATTTAATAAATATTTTACTTCATCACCTCCATCACCAATGCGCGTTGGTTTAAATATATTAACTGAACTTAATCCTAATTAAGTTTAAAAAACAAAACAATTTTAACTAAACTGGTAATAATATACAAAAAAAAAAAAATTTTCCCTTACCTCTTAAACGGATCTGTTCAGCACTTTTTTTAACAATCCAGTGAGTTTCTTCTATAGTAACATTATTACCAAACTCTTTTATTTCCGTAGTAGTTTTCTTGATTGAAACTTTATTACCATTATTATTTAAATGTGTTTTCTTTTTTAGTATATGTTTCGCTCCGCGTAACATTATGTTTTTAATAAAATGGAAGTAAAATCACGAGAGTGAGGAAAAAAAACTTTTGAACGAAATTTTGATTTTTATTTCATAAAAAAAAGAAAAGGAAGGAATAATGAATATATATATACTATATAAAGAATATATATATATCAATGTAAACTAAAAACCGACATTGAACTTTAAAAAAGAAGGTTAAAATAATTAATATTTTGTTCTTCGGAAAAAAATAAGAATAATAATATTTATTAAATATAAATACTAACTTAAAAAAAAAATTTAAAAAATAAAAAAAATAATTACTATTTAATACTATGGTTACTCTTTATTTGTTTCTTGTTTACCTATCCCTATCTACTAATTTAATAACAATTTTAATTATGGAAACATTGAATATTTTTTTTTTTTTTGTTTTTTTTTAAAAAAAAAAATGCGTTTCTTTTATATCGTACGAAAAAAAAACATTCCTGTACAACATATTTAATTTCGTATGGGCATATAAATGTATGCTTCTATAGGTTAAAAAATTTTTTAAAATTAAAAGTATTGTCAGTGCTGTACATTTTATACAATGAAGTGATACAAAAGTACTAATATACGCACAATTCTTTAACATTGTATAAATGCTAGGCCAAAAAAATCAAGGATCGATCACGAACATGATTATTTTAGTTGCTAAATCTGGTTTTGAAAGTTGCTTTATTTCAGCGAAAGGCATTATGTAAATGTAAAAATATAGGATGATTATTATTTTTAAAGATATGGAAAATCATTAAATCATTATGTTAACTGTTAACTATAATTTTAAAAATGAAAATTTTGATAAATGAAACATAGGACAAATTTAATTTTAATAAAAACAATCGATTAAAAAACTTACCCAGAAAATCTTTCATAAATTCCAAATAAAGTCAATTACGTAATATGTAACAATAATCCATTATAATTTCCGGATTAATAAATAAGGTTCCCCTTATAGGTTGATTGTCGCTATTACACTTAATCTGTTAATCTACTTCTTCGTTCTCACTTGATGAAGTATCATAATCAATTTCACGACGGTTAGTATTTACAAAAAGATCATCAGAGTTCGTTGTATTTTCATTCCTGAAATAAATTTTTTGAATATTAAAATCAAATAATAAATTAAATAAATAAATTTTTTTTTTTACCTCGAATCCACTATTTTATTATTATCATCATCTTGGATTTCAAATTCTTGAGGCCTTTGGATTAATTAATTTATAATATTTGAATTTTATTTCAATGAAACGGAATTATTGATATTTAACTCACCATATTCCCTCAGACTTAAAATTTTTGACATGTTCAGGAAATAAAACGTGTTCGATTTCTCCCCCAATTTTATTTACTCGTTCAGTTTCATTTATTGGATTTATTATAACATAACTTCCTATAAATAAATATAAATAAATATATATTTATTATATAAATATATTCTTTTAAAGTGGTCCATCCTATTTACCTCGTTTTACCCATATTAGATTACGAAATTTCGGTGGCAAAGTACATAAGGTTGTATTACCGTCGGAAAATTGTATTTCAAAAAGGTTTTTGCCACGCCAGTTTAATACTTTGGATATTTTCTGTGTTTCAGTTGGTAAAGGAACTGATTTTAACAGATTATTTGTAGTTTTCTGTTTCCGCCCCATTTTTATTCTAAGCGGTATTAACAAAAGATAAGGTTAAAAAAAAAAATTTGCCAAATAGATAAACACTAAGTGTAACATAAATCATCTGATGATTGGCATAGATTATATTTGAAGCTATACCTTACAAGACCGAATTATTGTTAATTTACATCATGTTGAACGTTTTATGTACGATATTTTCAAAATGGTAGCCATAAAAAAACAAGATCAACCGCAACGAGAGGAGAAAACAAGTGTCAAAGTATTTAAAACAACCATCATTTAAGACTGTAAGCATAAATCAATTGATCATTGAGGATGGAATATAATCCGACACATTTCTATTTATTATTTACTGTAATATGATTTCATGGAATCATCATATATATTCAGCCAGTCAGCCATAATCACATGATTTGGTATTCTTAAAATGGTTTAGTTAATCATTTAGTCTATCATAACTTTTAAATATAAATAGACGAAGTTTTCCACCACAGTAAAAAAATCGGTTAAAATATATATATATAACAATGTCTGGAATAAATCCTTCTATCGATAATGTTTCTTCATTCAATAATACATCAGCGCCAGATATGCCAGTTGGTCCAAATGGCGGAGATAAATATGAAAATTCAAGACACTTAAATTATGGTCAAACTGATCAAAAGAAACCTAATAATGAATCAAGGTATGTTTTTTTCTCCCGTTAGAATTAAAATAAAGCAAGCAAGATTTTTAATTTTTTATTTTTAAAAAAGACGAAGTGTTCGTCGTTATTCTGCTTCGTCAGACACGAAACCTGTATTGGTACATACATTTCAAGAAGAAATTCTTGGTGGATTGACTGGTGATGATCTCATTAAAATGGAAGAAGAAAAAGAGAAAGTAAGAAAAAAGAAAGATCTAGATCAAAGGAAGAAATCAGTGTAAATTAGTTCAATATATTATGGGGACATTTTTTTATTTATATAGTATTTTTCATTCTGTTGTAATAAATAATTTTTTTTTTATAACTATTATGTAAAATGACGTAAGTAAATATTCATTTTTATTGTCTATCATATTTCGTTGAGATCTATATATTTGTATACAGTATAACATAATTTTATATAAATAAATAAAATAAATGCACTGAAAAGAAAGCTAACATAGTAAATTGCTTGAATTATATATATACAGTACGTAAGCATTCGATTAACCATTACGTAAGCAAAATGATATCATTGATAAAAAATGTAGTATCATTAGTAATCGAAACTATCAGGCTATATTTATGACATCAGGAAGAAATATTCAGCATGTTCATTCCGTGTTCAACTAATTCGAGGAGTTAGGATCATTATTCAATTTTAATAACAAATATAATGACAATATATATTTTTTAATTGCAGTGCATTTACGAATTTATTAAAAAAAAAATAGGATGAATACATTAAGTAAAGAACTATTTATACAACTTAATATTATTAATTTGTAAAGCATCTTTCATTCCAAAGAATCCTATATGTGCACTGTCAAATGGTTAGTTATACTGAACAAATAGGTACATTTAAAATGGTCCATCTTAGCTAATAGCCCTGTTTTTCAAAAATAATAACCAAAATACTCCAAATGATAGCAATTAGAGGCACAAAATTTAACTCATTTTTTAAATTATATCCATATGTTTTTATATGTCTTAACTAGTTATGATAAATGACATCTAATTGCATTACAGTTATGTTTAATAAGTTTTCATCTCTAACAACAATTAATCCACTGTTTACCATCCATCTTATATACCTTTTCTTAGTTTTGAAAACATCATTAATTTTCTCTAACAACATATTTATTAATTTTGTATATGCTTTTAATGATATTTCATTCCATATTTTTGTAATATATTTCCATAATGCATTATTACTCTAATTTTCATATCCAGTTGTCTAAGATAGTAGTTTACATCATTTCAAATAGTATTTCATACAAAATGATTTATAATATAATGTAGCTCTGATTGATTCCATGAATAACTTTTGATCTAGTAGTTTGATTTCAATGATTTTTTTTTATTTTAATCAGAGTAACAAAAGCTATTGATTAAAAAAAAAATCATTAAAATCAGATTATTAGATCACAAAAGGATCCTACCTACTTATAAAATAAATTACTTTCAAGCTTAACTGCTTAAAGTAAGGTTTATATATAAATTTGTTAAAAATCCTACTATAAAAAAAAATTTTATGTTACATTATTATGATTTTTTTCCTTTTTAACTAATTAACCAATAGAATTTAAGCAAATTTTAGGGTAAGGTTCATATAAAAGTTAAGATAATATTTTTGAAGTTTAAATCAAATTTAAATTAAGTTTAAATTGAAATAGTATTGAATCAAATTTTAAAGAAAAAGTTGGATTTATATAAAATATTAATTTCAAAGATGCTTTAATCAGATTTAAATCTGAAAATTAAAATAGCCAACTAAGTAATTAAATATTATTATTTTTAAATTACTCTAAAATGCATTTGGTATAAATATAGAAATCACCCTTTCATTATAAAATTTGCCATATAATTTACTTTAATCTTTACTATTTTATATTTGATTTTTCTTTCTTTTATATAAAGAATTTTTCTTATAGCATTTTAACTGAAAAATATTTCTCAAAATTATATTATTATACATTTCAATTTTTTTTTGTAATTTTTTTTAAAAAATAATTTCTTCATCAAAATTAAAATTTATAATTTCAAATACTTATATATATTTTGCAAAAGTTTTTCAGGATCCTGAAAAATATATAAATAGGTAAGATCTCAAGTTGCTTAGAATTTGCCAAAAAAATTGTGTAAATCTTTTCTTTTTAAATAATACTAGACAGAAATTTAATTTTCTAACTGGCTAGTATTATTATAGTTTTGGTCCTGAAAAAATGCTTAGAGCTCATAGTAAAATTTTTTTAGCTGGACTCTACCTATTTATGTATTTTCTAGGGTTCTAGTTTTCCCCTATAAAATTGATTTATAAATACTTGTTAAAAATAAAAAGATTATTACCAAAATAGTAAAAATCATTTTGGCATTTTTAATATGATGAAATAAAAATTGATCAAAATGCAAATGATAAAATAAAAAATAATTTTAACAATTTTGATATGATAAAATTCACTAATTTCAATAAGCAACTTTAAATATAAAATTAATGTGATATATTTTATATCTATTTATATTGTTTTGTTTATATGATCTTTTATTTTACAAATCTTTTTATTAAAGTTCATTTGACTGCAATATACTTAAAATATTATCTTATTAAAAATAATATTTTTATGATTTAAATTATAATATTCTAACATATTTAAAAAATCTTCATTGAGAATACTTTAATACAATTTAACATTAACTTTTATTTAAATAAATAAAACACCATTATATGGAAATACTCCTATTACTAAAGATTTTATATCAGTATTAGACTATTAGTTATTAAGAGATTTATTAGATTTTTTTCAATAATAAATACAATTAACTAATCATATCTATATTCCAATTATTTACAATCCATTTCTAATATTTTAGGCAAATTTTAATTATTTTTTTTTGGTAAATTTTTAATAAAAATGGCATCTTACATTTTATGCAAATAAACAATTTATTTCTATTTAATATTTTATATATAATACTTTAATTTACTTCAATTTTATTAATAACTTTTAAGATTTTTAAATACTTATCACTATAAAATACTTATCTATCATTATATATCTAACCATAATCTACACAGGTCGAAAAGTGAAAAATGAGGCATCAATCAGTCACCAATCGGTCACCAATCAGGTACCTGATTGGTGACCGATTGGTGACTGATTGATGCCTGATTTTTCACTTTTCGACCTGTGCTATTATTATAATTAATTGTCTCTTATATAGTTTTTCAGTTTTTGGTTTATTATTTATACTATTAATTTTTTTATATTTTTTATACTTGAATAGTAATATTTTTACCCTATGAAAAGTTTTTATACTTAAAATATACTTAAAATTTTATTAAAATATACATATGGGCTGATTTGTCTACCTTTAATTAAAATATTGATTTTGTTACATTTTTATTATACAAAATACTATATAATATACAGTAAATTGGGGGTGAGTATTAAAAAACTTTTATTTAATGTTATTATACTTTAAATTGGTAAATATTTCTTTTAAATTAATATAATTCTTAGAATTTACTATATATATTAAAAATTTGTATCTCAACTTTAAACGTAAATATCTCCAGATCTAATGATCCAATCGGCAAGCTCTTTTTCCGCTCATATAGACCAGATCAAGGCTTTCTGAAGAGCCTAAATTTATAAAAAACGGATCAGTGGATCCCAAGATATTTGCATTTAAGTATGTTAAAAAGTTCGTACCTCAACTTTAAACGTAAATATCTCTGGATCTAATAATTCAATCAGCGAGCTCTTTTTTCGCCTATAAAGTCCAGAACAAGGGCTTTCCAACGAGCCTAAAATTATAGAAAACGGATCAGTGAATCTTGATATATTTGCATCTAAAGATGGTAATATAAATTCCAATATAAAATAATTATTTTTATTGTTTGAAAATATCTATTATGATACCATCTTTTATATGATATTTTTATTATACTTTTATAAATATTTATAGCTACTAAGACTATATAAATTTTTATTTTACTTTATATTTTATTAAAATATACTTACTTTTTAATAATATATGTTAAAAATTCCATATATATGAGAAATAGGTTTTTTATTAGTGAAATGGGTTTTTTCACACCTCTTTTACATTTAATAATTTAAGTTTTGCAAATGTAAATTTTTGTTCAACTTATTATTTAGTCAAGTGATCATCAATCAGATGATTTTTTGGTATTACAAAACAATTTTGAGTAATGAAAATTATGAAAATCAATTCAATAACTTTTTTTAATGCAAAGTAGACAAATCAGTCCATATGACTTAAAATAAGTATCAATTTTAATTCGCGATATACTTATAATATACCTAAAATGTACTGTACCTAAAATACTCTTAAAATATACTTTTAATGTACTTGTTTTTTGCTCAAGTACTTAAATTATATTTAAAATATACTTAAACTAAAATTTAAGTACAATATAAGTGTATTTACATGTTTAAAATATTCTTAAAATATGCTTAAATTAAAATTTAAGTACAATATAAGTGTATTTTCTATATACTTAAAATATACTTAAATTGAATTTTAAGCACATTTTAAGAATATTTTAAACATGTAAAAAATACACTTATATTGTCTTTAAATTCTAGTTTAAGTATATTTTAAATATAATTTAAGTACTTGGGCAAAAAACAAGTAGATTAAAAGTATATTTTAAAAGTATTTTAGATACATTTTAGGTATACTACAAGTTATACATGCCACCCAAATTATTTTGGGCTGCCGTAATTATAAGTAAAATCCCAAATTCAATTATGGCATCCCAAATTATTTTGGCACTTTACATAGTAAATTATATATAAACTGAATGAATTACGGCATCCCAAATTATAATTATGACATCCCAAAATAATTTGGGCAGCATGTATACTACAAGTATACATGCCACCCAAATTATTTTGGACTGCTGTAATTATAAGTAAAATCCCAAATTCAATTATGGCATCCCAAATTATTTTGGCACTTTACATAGTAAATTATATATAAACCGAATGAATTATGGCATCCCAAATTATAATTATGACATCCCAAAATAATTTGGGCAACATGTATAACTATAAGTATATCACGAATTAAAATTGATACTTATTTTAAGTATATTTTAATAAAATTTTAAGTATATTTTAAGTATAAAAACTTTTCATAGGGTTACTAATTTTTGCAGCTATTTTTTTTAAATTAAAACCTAATTCTAATAATTAAATTATTTGAATTCTTTGTTTTATTATTAGTTAATTTAATATATTTAAAATAAAAAAGTAAAGAAAAGTAATAAAAAAGATAATTAAACCTTTATATTTTAAAAACCTTTTATAAATTTTTTAAAAAATATGATTATTTTGCTATAATGTAAACTGTTAAAAGAAATATAATACTAAAAAGAGATAAAGTAAAAATTAAATTTAACCAAAATTTCAGTAGAATTAGTTCTAATTAAAATTATTAATATTTTATAAGTAATATTAGTATAATGGATTTCATTAATAATAATATGAAATATAAAAAATTTATTAGTACAGTTTGATTTTTATGTAATCATATCTTATATAATCACATCTCTTTATAAGCATTCATTTTTGTAAAACAAATTTTAGTATTATTAAATTATCTTCATATTAGTTATAATCACTATTACACAAAATTCTTAATATACAGTCAGCCCCTTTATAGTCACACCACTTGGGATCAAAAAAAAAAGGGTGTGATTATAAAAAAAGTCATATGTTGTGACTATAGAGAAGGTTTTTCTAATATATTTATTAGTACATTGGGCCAAAATATGGTGTGCTTATAAAAGGGGAATTTTATATGTTGTGATTATATGGGGGTGACTATATAGGGGGTCGACTGTATATGGGGTCTTTGCAATAGAAAAGTACGAAACTCAAAAAAAATTTTAATTTTACTTTATATGCTAATTATGTTTTTTTTACTGAAATAAATGCAAATTTAATATTAATTCAATTTTTGATATTTTTTGAGTTTCGTACCTTTCTATTGCAAAGACCCTATATATTATTTATATTAATAAAAAAACTTATTGCAATCTATAAATTATAATTCTAACTATGTATTATAATCTTTGGCTAAAATTATAAAATTGTATAATAATTTTGTAAGTTATAATTTTCATATTAGAAAATTTTGTAATTCCAACTAAAGATGACGCCGCAAATAGGCAATTGCAGAATAATTGCGATTTGCGATATTGCGGAACATTGCGGATTTTGAAGTCTAAATATCCGCAAATTCGCAATTCGCAATTGTTCGCAATTCTGCAAATATTCCGCAATTCTGCAAATGATCTAAAGTACCGCAATTCAATTGCGGTACAATTGCGGTACTTTACGAAATTGCAGAACATTTGCGGATTTGCGGATTTGCCAATTATAGTCCGCCAGTCTGACACAGATTATCAGATGAATTGCGTAGTACAAATCATCTGATGATCTCTTTTTCTTTTTTATTGAAGTTTCTGGACAAAAATTATGACTGAACTTTTTAAAATGGAGTCATGTAGATAAGGAGAAACTGGACAGCAAGTTGTTTTTTTTAATAAATTTATTTTTTTTTTGATTTTGTAGAGTTGCCGGACGAAAAGTATAGCCGGACTTTTGAAATTGAGGTAAGAGAAGGACCGGGAAGGATTTTTGTTATTTTTTTTTTAATTTATTTTTTTTNCGGACAAAAATTATGACTGAACTTTTTAAAATGGAGTCATGTAGATAAGGAGAAACCGAACAGCAAGTTTTTTTTTCATTTTTGTAGTGTTGCCAGATGAAAAGCTCAAGATAAGGGAAGACCGGGAAGGGTTTTCGTTATTTTTTTAATAACTAATTTATTTTTTTTTTGTTTTTGTTGAAGCATGACCGGACTTTTGAAATTAAGGTAAGGAAGGACCAGGAAGGGTTTTTGTTGCTTTTTTTTTTAATATTTTCAAACTAATTTATTTTTTTTTCATTTTTGTAGAGTTGCCAAACGAAAAGCACGACCAAACTTCTGGAATTGAGGTAAGGGAGGACCGGGAAGGGATTTTGTTACTTTTTTTTAATAATTTTCACTAATTTATTTTTTTTTTCGTTTTTGTAGAGTTGCCAGATGAAAAGTATGACCAGAATTCTGGATTGAGGTAAGGGAGGACCGGAAAATTTTCGTTATTTTTTTTTGATAAATTTAATTAATTTATTTTTTTTTTCTTTTCGTAGGGTTTTAATAATTAAAGACACGACCAGAATTTTGAAATTGAGGTAAGGGAGAGCTGAAGGAAAAGATGTTTGTTGCTAATTTTCTTTAAAAAGAAACGTCACTAACATTTCTTTTCTTTTTATATGGTTGCTGGATGAAAATATATATAGCTGGGAGACTTATTTTAAAAATGGACAAAATTGTCCAGAATTTTTTCTAAGAAACGGCACAGTTATGCAATTTAGAAAAATATCGGTCTATGCTTAAGACGAATGATAAATAAACAAATAAATAAATAAATAAATTTATTATATTGATTTAAAAAACATTTTTATTTATTTATCGTTATAAACGTTTAAAAAATAATTTATTATTTAAAAACATTAGCCAATCAGAATTGTGGAATTGCGGATTACTAACCGCAATTTGACTCCAAAATCCGCAATATTGCGAATTTGAAAAATCATTTGAGGGCCCATCCTTAATTCCAACCAACACTATATTTGGCTAAAATATTAATATGTTTATAATTTTGGCCAGAATTTAATTTTGGTTAAATTTAAAATTTTCTATATAATCACTTTTTTATATAATCATTAATTTTAAAGAAAGGTCAGACTATATATGTAATTATTAATATATAGAATATTTTTAACCAAGATAGTGTAATTTGTGAGTTTATTAATTATATGTAAGAATATAAAAACATCTGTTAATTAATATATAGAATATTAATACAATTAGATTACTATATTTACCTAATTGGATAAAAAACAATAATTATATAGAGTTGATGTGATTATACAGACTAACAGGAGTCAATTTATTAATGTAAATTAAGCAAAATAGGTATTTATAAAGAGGTATTCTTATATAGAAATTAGGAAGTGATTATATACAGTCAAAGCTCGTTATAGTAAATTTCGTTATAGTGAACATTAAGTAAAATCACGTTATAGTGACCTATTGATTTTTTTCCTTATAATTAATTTCTCTCGATATAGTGAATTTTCTTAATAAATCTCGTTATAGTGAAAAAAAGGGAAAAAATTACATAGTGGAACGGAAAGTTTACTATAACGAGCTTTGATTGTAGAGGTCTAACTGTACTTTAAAATTTAACTGTATATACAGTAAAATTTAATAAACCAGATCTATCAGTTTCACTAAAAATATCTGGTTTATTGGGATATCCAGTATAACGAAAAAATTTTGATAGAATTTTCAAAAAATTCATGAAAATGAATATAAAATATTTTTAATTGAAGATATAAGTGATACATAACTTCAGCCGGAATTAAGATTTTTATAATTCTGGCCAAAATTAAGATTTACCGCATCACGTTACTTAAATTTTATTGGTTAGTGATTACGTGATCCGGTTTATTGAATCATTTTTACTATACAACTATTTTAATATATATGATTTGGGTTCCAGCAAAAAAAATCCGGTTTAGGCCCAAATCCGATTTATCGAAGATCCGGTTTATCGAATTTCACTGTGTATATAAAAAAAAAAAGCTTTTTAAAATGCCAGTTACAGTCTAAAAATTAAAGATCTTAATATAGTCCCGAAAATAAGCATCCCTTTTTTGCACATAATGCCGGCCAAAATCATCATAATTCTGGCCAAATCGTCATAACATGCTGATATAAAGTATAATTTTTTTAATTCTACATTTGTGAAAAGAATATATCACAATTTAACTATTTAACTATCACTGTTTCCCCAAATTTCCAAAGCCTTAAGAGCTTTCTTTAATGGAACGCAGCCTCTATTAATGTTAATAATCTTCGCTGCGGGCAAAAGGTGCTTATTTTCGGGGGATGCTTATTTTCGGGACTACAGTATATGGATATTAAAGCCTTAAAGGCATTTATTATTTTCAGAGTATCCATGTTCCGTACGATATTAACATACGCACTGGCCGGAGTTAAGTTAAACGTTATCACGTGCAAGTGCATAACTCCTAAACTATGGTAGGATGTACGTACGCACGGTGCGTACGTTAAGGAACCTCTTATTTTCAATATATTTTTTTATAAAAATTAAAAACACAAGAAAAGAAAAGAGAATTAAAAAATCCGTGGACTGTAAAAAATTGAGTGAAAATATTGTAATGATAATAATAAAAATAATTATTGAGACATATTTGCATAAATAGATCAAAGTAAAATATCAATCATACAAACTTTTAAAGACGTTCAATAATTATTGAAGAAGCAGCACCACCACCATTACAAATAGTAGCTGCTCCTAACTGACGTGGTTTAAGTAAATGTAATAAGGTAACAAGAATACGAGAACCTGAACTTCCAATAGGATGACCCAAAGATACAGCACCACCAGCAATATTAACTTTAGAAGGATCTAAACCCAAAATTTGTTCATTTGCACGAGCTACGACACTGAATGCTTCATTGAACTCAAATAAACTAATATCTGAAATTGATAATCTAGCTTTTTTCAATGCTACTGGAAGTGCTTGTGATGGAGCAATTGTGAAATCAATTGGATCAACTGCAGCATCGCCGTATGCTATATAATTGGAAAAATTTTTAAAATTTTCATTATTTAATAAATTGGCAAGTAAATATAAATAAAGGTTTAACATACAAATTATCCTAGCCAAAGGTTTTAAACCAATTTCGTCAGCTTTCAATTTAGTTGCAAGTACTAAAGCACTTGCACCATCATTAAGTGTTGATGAGTTAGCAGCAGTAACCGTGCCTTTTTATACGTTAATATATAGCCAATCAGAAAAGTATAAATTTATATCAATAAAATACATCAACTATATACCATCTTTTTGAAAGGCCGGCTTTAAGGATTTGACCCTATCAAATTTGACTTTCTTATATTCTTCATCCTCGTCAATGACGACATCTTTCCCTCGTTCATTAATAACAACAGGTATAACTTCTTCTTTGAAAACACCATTCTAATTTATTGATTTATTAATTAAAGAAAAAAATCATTTAAATAGATAACTTTCTTCGTATTATAAAAATTGGATTGCATACCTTCCAAGCTTCAGCAGCACGTTTATAAGATTCAATAGCATGTTCATCTTGAACTTCTCTTGAAATATTGTACTTCTTAGCTGTGTTTTCAGCACAATTTCCCTATTATGAAATAATTTAATTATTCTAATAAAAGTAATTCTTTTTTACTAAAAGATACTTTACCATGCTATATAAAAACAAATTTGTTAACATAGGCCTTATACATATTGAAAATCTAATAATGCACAGAGATTACATACTGTATCTGATTATATACATCCCATAAACCGTCTTTGATAATTCCATCCGTCATGGTTTGATTTCCATATATGGCATTTCTTGACACGTAATATCTATTTATATTTAATTACATTAACTAATGTAAACATTTAGAAGATCGTAAAGATTAAAGATTTTAAATATACTTACGGAGCATTAGACATACTCTCCATACCACCGGCAACCATTATAGATCGATCTCCAAGTGACAAATTTTGTGCAGCTAACATAACAGCTTTCATGCCGGAAGCACATACCTTATTAATTGTTGTTGCCTCAGTTGAAGTTGGTAAACCTAACTCCGAGAATTGGATTAACAAATTTGCAAAATCCGTAATTATCTTTCTTCTGATTTTAAAGTTGTACGTTTACCTGCTTTTATTGCTACCTGACGGGCTGGTGATTGACCAATGTTCGCCTGCAAAACATTACCAAAATATACTTCTTCGATTTGTTCCGGTTTTAAATCTAAATTGACATTAAAATTAAGCTTATTCCTGAATATCATTTAATCAAGTTCGTTTTCATACTTGATTTCTCGAGCGCTCCTTTTGTCGCAATAGCACCAAGCTCTGGAGCACTAAGTTTTTTCAATGAGCCATTAAAGCAACCAACTGGCGTTCTCACAGCCGAAACTATAACAACTTGCTAAAAATTGACTAAGTAGTTCAGTTATGATTTTTCCAAAGCAAAATTTTTTTTAAAAAAACCCAGAAATTTACGTTAATACCACTGATCGTAGAATATCCACGTGACAACTATGATGAAAAATTTAATCAATTACAAAAATTAAGAAATTTATCATATTTTGTTGTAGTAAACCTACATTCTTTGCGATATGAAAGACCTTAAAACGAAACATTTTTTTTCTTTCAAGGCGATTAGACGATTGAGTCAAATCAGTGTTATTTAGCCGTACGTTATATACAAATCAATTATCAATCAATGCTTAATCACGTGACTTAATTTGTGCGACGTAAAATATGATGCTTAGTCACGTGACATAATTTGTGCGACGTAAAAAAAATTATTAAGAAACAAACCATCAGCTTTCTTCTTGCATAAAGAAAAAATGCCACGTAGTCCTAGTCCATCCCGTACAGACTATTCACGTAGACATCATTCACGTTCAGATTATAGGGATAGAGAGTCGCATTATCGTGATAGAGATTACCATCTGGATGGATATCGTGACCTTGATAGACCTCCGGAAGATTATCACGATCGTCGCAGATCCCGGTCGCCGTTGGGAAGAGACAGAGACAGAGACAGAGACAAGTACGATCGTCGAGAAAGGAGATCCAGATCACCATATGGGAGGGATAGGGATAGGATCAGAGATCGTGATCGAAGAGATCGCCGTAGAACGCCAGAAAGAAGTGCTCGACACCGTTCTAGATCACGTTCTCCTATAAGCAAAAGAGGTAAGTTTTGTTGATTCACTAACATATGACCTATAAATAAAATCCTCAATATAGGGTTGACTCCCAGTTTATATAGATGAAATAAAATGGTGAGTTACTATAATTCTGGGGGGCAACTCTATATTGTAACAAGAAGCAGCTACGAAGTATATAAACATTGAATCGGATCAGGTACGCGTCCAGAGTTATTTTGTGCAAGATGATAATTTAATTCGTGGTATTTCACGTTTATTTCCTTATTCCCTGTACTAATATAGATCGTGGTGTAAGTCCCCGTAATTCTGAACGAAAAGGTAAATATTTTTAATATTTATAAGTATCTTCAAATTCTCTAACTCATTTGTGAATTATTATCTAGATGATAGACATGATCGGGATCGAAAGGTTAGATCACGTTCGCGTTCGCCAAGGTATGTTCAATTGTAATTTAATTTCTTTTGAATTGTTTTAGTCTATTCTCTCACATTATATTAATTCAATATAGGAAAGAGGATTTAAGTAACGTACCAGGTCCGTATTTAACTCTCGGTTTTCTTTTGGTTAGAGATTTTAGGGTTGAGAATTAATTATTGATTACGTAATTTAGAATCGACAAATAGCTCTATAATGAATATAGACCCAGACGAAGATCCCGAACAAGCATTAATGAAAGCTATGGGAATAGCAGGATTTAACACTACTAAAGTAACTATTTCGAAATTTGATTTATTGAATTTATATTATTTATATTACAATTCACTAATTTAAATTTCTATTTTAATTAGGGCAAAAAAGTTGTGGGTAATGACGCTGCTGCGGTTAGCATTAAAAAACAAAGACAATATCGTCAATACATGAATCGACGTGGAGGATTTAATAGGTGAGTAGTATTTTTTTTATTTTATGATTTTATTTGAGAATTTTTGATACATTAAAATATCCCTTTCCTCTAGACCTTTGGACAAGATTCAATAAATAAAGTTTGGTTTAATTGTATTTTTTATTCGTTTGAAAGAATGATTCGTACTTAAGTTCATTATAAAATTAAGATACGTTATTGCTTTTTATTTAATTAATTAAAATATTTACAGTTATTATAATAATAAGTCATGTTAGTGGGAATAAATAAAGTAATAAACAAATAATGAATATAAAAAGTTTATAATAAAATGATGAATCATTCTCTTTTTACGGTAATTCTTCTTTCTCTCGTACTTTTTCAACGATCTGTCTTAATAACGTCGTTACTTTAACAATGTTTTTCTTATATTTTGCAGACACCGGTACAATAACAATTTCTTGTTCTTTTTCTTTAAGTATTGTTTCAAAAATTGGAAGATTTTTTTTAGCTTTCTCAGTTATATCTGCCTTATTTGCAACAATTAAAGATGGTCGCTTTGTAAGTCCTGAACGATATTTTTCCAATTCGTTTTGTAAACTATTCCAATCTTCCCATGGTTTATTTTTTGATAAATCAATGACATAAACCAAAACTTTAGAACGTTCTATATGCCTCAGAAAGGAATGCCCTAATCCAACATTTTTATGAGCACCTTGGATTAATCCTGGAATATCGGCAATAGTTAGTTGAAATCTATCTGAATAATCTACTGTGCCAATATAAGGATTGAGAGTTGTAAAAGGGTAAGGTGCAATCTTTGGATGAGCATTAGAAACAGCTGTAAGGAAAGTACTTTTTCCTGCATTCGGCAGACCAACTAACCCAGCATCAGCTATCGTTTTTAATTCTAGTTCAAGGTATCTTATTCGTCCCTCTTCTCCCTTTGTTGCATATTTTGGAGAACGATTTGCATTTGTTAAAAAATGTGGATTCCCTTTTCCACCCGAGCCTCCTTGTGCGACTACGTATTGAGCATCTGGTATAGAAAGATCCAAATTAAGTTTTTCTTCTGTTTTAAAAGGTCTATTATATCTTTCTTCTTCCTCCATCATTTTCTCAGCTTCGAGAAAGAATGAATTTAGAGTATTTTTTTCATCATATCGAGGATAATGAACCCAAGTTTTAGCTCTTTTTTTTGCAAGTTTTGTTTCTTCGTCAAGATTTTCATTATTGTTCATTCGTCCTTCATAATCAACTTTCTCTAATTGATTTTTATTTGGTTGTGGAACAAATTCTCTAACGATGGTTCCTAAAGGAACTGGTATTATTAAATTCTTACCAGCTGAACCGTGTTGCATATGTCCCTTCCCATTTTGACCTCTACTTGCATTAATAGTCCTGAGAACTGAATGCAAAGAAGAATGATTTGGTGACGCAACAAATATGACGTTTCCTCCTCGCCCTCCATTACCACCCGAAGGCGGTACTTTTGATTCAAATTTTCCTCGATTAAATGCAACACACCCATCACCACCAGTACCTCCTTTAACCACAACACGTATAAAGTCGGTAAATTGCCGTGTCTTAGATAGAAAGAAATGCGGGTTACAACAAAGTACATTAAATAATGAAATTGAGATATTGACTACAAAACCTTATCTCTCAATTTGTACTGTATACTTTGATCTCTCACTCTTTCATCATTATTTAAGTCATTGTCTTTTTCACACTCTTTTATTATTGCTATGTCATGTTGACCAACTAGAAAAATCGGCTTCTCATCAGCATTATCGTTGATCGAAAAATTTCTAGAGTTATGAAATTGTATACGTAAAAAAAGGTTGACAAAACAAACGCGCTTTCTTAAAATATTCTGAACATGAGATTCCATTTTCCTTTGACAGTTCAACATTGGTGATACAACATATTTAAAAAAGTTCAATGGTAAAAAACAATGATCTTCTCAACCAATCAGAATTGAATACATTTCCAACAGCCACCGAGCTATCCGAAAATTTTTTTTTTTCAAAAGATTTGAATGATTTCATCCAGATACGTGAGATTATTGGTGTAGATCGTGACCGGCTGTTTGATTAAGTTAGTCAGTAATAAATAACCAACTTCAAGCCAGAAATCTAACGCAAAATGCAAATGTTAACAAAGGTAAATATTCGAATAGGACTTTTCCCGATCTGTGATTTGTTCCATAATTTCGTTTAAATTCCTCTAATTTCATATTCCATTAGTTCGAATCAAAAAGTAATCGTGTCAAAGGGATTGCATTTCACCCTAAACGTCCCTGGATTCTTGCTTCCCTTCACAACGGCTGTATACAATTATGGGATTATCGTATGGGCACCCTTTTGGAACGTTTTGATGAACATGATGGTACGTTTAAGTGCCTGATTAGGTTATTATCGTGTCAATTTGATTAATTAATTTTTATCATTAGGCCCTGTTCGCGGAATTGCGTTCCATCCAACACAGCCACTATTTGTATCAGGCGGTGATGATTATAAGATTAAAGTTTGGAATTACAAAACTCGTAAATGCTTATTTACTTTAAACGGACATTTGGATTATGTTCGAACGGTTTTCTTTCATCACGAGTACCCTTGGATTCTTAGTGCTTCCGATGATCAAACAATTCGAATTTGGAATTGGCAGTCAAGAAATTGCATTGCGATTTTGACCGGTCATAATCATTATGTTATGTGTGCGCAATTTCATCCAAAAGAAGACTTAGTAGTATCTGCATCTTTGGATCAAACTGTGAGAATATGGGATATTTCAGGTATTACTTCTTTTTGATTTTTAATATTCCAACGTAAACTTGAGTTATACTAATGGACAATTGGGGCTTCAGGTCTCAGGAAAAAGAATGCTGCACCTAGTTCTATGACTCTCGAAGATAGCTTGCATAGATCAGCTGCAACCCAAGCTGATATTTTTGGTAGCACAGACGCAATTGTTAAATATGTTTTAGAAGGGCACGACCGTGGTGTCAATTGGGCGACTTTCCATCCCACCCTTCCCTTAATTGTGTCAGCTGGAGATGATCGGCAAATAAAATTATGGCGAATGAATGGTATTGTAATTTTGTTATTATATCCTCATCTACGAGATTATTAACAATACATCAATATATTAGAATCTAAGGCATGGGAAGTGGATACATGCCGTGGGCATTTTAATAACGTATCTGCTGCTCTTTTTCATCCAAGACAAGAGTTAATTATTTCTGATGCTGAAGATAAAACAATTCGAGTTTGGGACATGTCAAAGAGAACACTCGTTCAAACTTTTAGGCGCGAACATGATAGATTCTGGGTTTTGACAGCTCATCCTGAATTAAATCTTTTTGCAGCTGGTGAGAACACATTATCTGATTTATTTTATATTTATAATGATTATAAAATATTTAATTTATATATTTCATATAAAGGTCACGACAATGGTCTTATTGTGTTCAAGCTTGAGAGGGAACGTCCAGCATATGCAGTTCATCAAAATAATTTATTTTATATTAAAGACAAGTACTTGCGTGTTTTCGATTTCGCCAACGCTTCAGATGTATCGGTGCTTTCAGTACGAAAAATTGGTGGTCAATATGTTCATCCACGATCTTTATCGTATAATCCTGCCGAACGTGCTGTTATAATAACAACGGTCAGTTGTGAGTCATCTTAATGAATTTGAATTCGAAAGATTAACAAAATAAACTACTTCGTATTTCAGCCTACGGACGGTGGTACGTTCGATTTATTTCATTTGCCCAAAGATTTTAGCGGCGAACCACGAGAAGTTTCAACGGACGGTAAACGTGGTGCTGGTAATTCGGCAATATTCATAGCTAGAAATCGATTTGCAGTACTTGATAAGACACGTCAAGTATTTATTTTACATATTTTTAATAATAATGGCGTATTTTAATTTCAATTTATTAATCTTTTATTTTTAATTATTTAGCAAATTGAAATTCGTGACTTATCAAATGCTACGACCAAATCAGTTAAACCTCCAGCAACTGTTAATGAGATATTTAGTGCTGGTAGTAGTAACCTTTTACTTCTTAGCACACCTACTTCAGTCATTCTATATGATATTCAACAACGTCAAACCGTTGCTGAAATTAATACACCTCCTGTCAAATATATTGTATGGTCTTCCGATCATAGTCAAGTGGCTCTTCTAAGCAAGCATAGTATGTTTTTTAAAATGCGGGTTTTGATATTTTATTTATTGCAATCATTCACTTTTCCTTTTTCAAAACTATAAATAGCGATAACCATTGCTAATAAGACATTAGAACAAAGCTGCTTAATTCATGAGACAATTAGAATCAAAAGCGGTGCATGGGATGATGCGGGTATATTTGTATATTCTACTCTTAACCATATCAAATACGCTCTTCCACAAGGGTAAGAATAATTCGAAATTATACATGAATTATGAACGAGATATTTACATTTAATCTTATTTTAGTGATAATGGTATTATCCGTACGCTTGATCAGCCAGTATATTTAACCAAAGTTAAAGGCAAAAATGTTCATTGTCTTGATAGAGATAGTAAGACACGTATAATTAGCATAGATCCAACAGAATATCGCTTCAAACTTTCACTAATAAAGCGCAATTACGACGAAGTACTGCAAATTATCCGTAACTCGAATTTGGTTGGACAAGCTATTATTGCATATTTACAAAAAAAAGGATATCCGGAGGTATATTAATTATATTTGTCTTTGTATTATATGGTAAACTATGAACTCATCTCAAAATATGTCAATTAGATCGCTTTGCATTTTGTAAGAGATGATAAAACTCGATTTGATCTTGCATTAGAATGTGGTAATATCGAAGTTGCATTGGAAACAGCAAAAGCAATGGACCGAGATGATTGTTGGAATAAATTAGGTGCAGAAGCATTACGTCAGGGCAATCATATGGTAAACGACTATCCTTTTATTTTTGATTATACGGATAAATTAATTTTTTTTTTCTTTCTAGGTTGTTGAAATGGCGTATCAAAGGGTTAAAAATTTTGATCGCCTTTCATTTTTATATTTGGTAACCGGCAATGTTGAGAAACTGAGGAAGATGTTAAAGATTGCAGAGTTACGAAATGATAATATGTCAAGATTCCATAATTCACTTTTCTTAGGTGACGTTGAAGAACGTGTTCGTCTCTTGAAAGAAGTTGGTCAATGTATTAAGTCATTGTATTTACTTTAACTGTTATAACACAAAATAATAATTAATTTAGCTAATTTAACTTTTACATGTTTAGTACCATTGGCGTACCTTACCGCTCGTAGTCACGGTCTTATGGAGGAGGCTGAATCAATTTTAGCTTCTACAGGTCTCACCACCGACGATATTTCGGATTTGCCTGCAACTGGACAATTACTTAAACCTCCCATGCCAATTATTAGGCAACATGATTCTAATTGGCCATTATTAACTGTATCACGTTCATTCTTTGATAGTGCCTTCACTAATACTGATAGTAATCCGCTTGCTGCTCCTCTCGCATTAGCTGAAGGTATTGATGATATTGGAGGTGACTGGGGAGGTGATGACGATTTTGGACTTAATGTCGACGTTGAAAAAGTTGATGATCAACGAATAGGAGGAGAAGTCGTTGAAGAAGGATCTGGATGGGACATTGACGTTGATCTAAATGTTCAACTCGATAAAGAAATTGCCAAGGAACTTGCAAATGGAGCACAAGGTGAATTTATACCTCCAACTTCAGGTACTAATGAATCTGAATTATGGGTGCACAATTCTCCTTTAGCTGCTGATCATGTTGCTGCCGGATCATTCGAAACTGCCATGCAGGTAAAAGATTTATTTTAATTTTTCTAATGAAATTTATTTTTAAGGGTGTATTAATATTATTCATATATTCTATATAAATAGCTTCTTAATAGACAAGTTGGCGCGGTTAATTTTGAACCATTAAAATCACACTTTTTGAAAACTTTCCAAGCAACGCGAACATACTTGCCTTGTAATGTTTCATTACCTCCTCTTGTATATCACATTAGACGTAATCCTGAAGAAACAGAAACTCGAAGAATGTTACCTGTTCTTCCATATAATTTTCAAACAATCATCTCAGTACAGCTTCAAGAGGCGTATAGAACGACTACTGCTGCTAAATTCCAGGAAGCAACGATACAATTTAGAAACATTATTCATTCAATTTTATTAATTGCAGTATCAAAGAAATCAGAAATTGATGAGGTATTTACAATTCTTTATGAAAATAATTAGCAAGGAAATAATATAATATAATATCGCATTATAGGTACATCAACTCATTGAAGTATGTCGTGAATATATTGTTGGTCTTTCAATGGAACAAACGCGTCGTAAATTTACATTGGACAGTCCAGAAAATACGAAGCGCGCTTTAGAATTAGCTGCGTACTTTACTCACTGCAGGCTGCAGCCAGCTCATTTGCAACTAAGTTTGCGATCGGCAATGACATTAAGTTTCAAGGCCAAAAACTGTTTAACAGCTTCGATGTTTGCTAGGCGGCTATTGGAATTGGCACCACCGCCACAAGTTGCCACTTCGGTACGTTCAAATTTACAAATTATTTGATTAACGTGTTTGACTGCTAATATTTATGTCACTTTACGTCTAGGCTCGTCAAATTCAGACAATCGCAGATAATACTCCAAGAGACGAAATTACTTTAGATTATGATCAATACAACCCATTTGTAGTATGTGCTATATCATATGCACCCATCTATAAGGGTAGTTCTTCGGTAGAATGTCCTTATTGTCATGCATCATATTTAACTGAATATAAAGGAAAACTTTGTACCGTTTGTGATGTATCACAAATCGGCGCCAATTCCACCGGTTTAAAGGTTTATGTGTAGACTTGACTTGTAGTAATGCAAATAGTGCACTTCTCTAATATTTATACATTTATTACACTAAATTAAGTATACCTCAATATTTTTAGTTTTAATATATACATGAGAAGAGGTTGGACTTTGATTTTATTTAAAAACCTCATATTTAATTACTTTTTAAAAAATGATCTTAAAATAATTCTTAATTTGAATAGAAAAAATTACTTATGATTATAAAAATAAAACATTATGAATTTATACAATTAGTGGTGTGCTTATGTGCCTGTTTATGTAATCATGCGATTTTTATATAGTTTAAATAGTTTGTATAATTTTCTATTATTACTATTTATTAAAAAGCGATATTCAAGTTATAGTTCCGGCCAGCATTATAGATTTGGCCTAAATTACCTTATCACATGTGATTATGGTGGCTGAAGAAAGGGAGTGACTAAATTAATATTTATTTCATGGGAGTTGGGAATAATCAATTTAATTTCCATATTGCTTTATAATATATATAATATTATCGTAACTCCTTTTTTTTTATTTTTCTATTTTCAATTCGTAAGCACAAAATTAATAATCGTAAGGCTCGATTTCCAGTTGTGGGAAAGGAAAGGAGTAATGTTCGACAGCATCCACGGCTACTCCCACATCCACGTGCCACTATCCTCTAGACGGCCTTACGTTTTGTTGCTGTGCTGATTATTGCGCTGTTTTTCGCGCCGATTTTCTTCGCAGGTTGATTTAGACTTTCTTTATATCGTTCTAGTTCTTGTTGTTGTTGTTTTTGTTCCTTTTTTTTCTTTTCTTGTTCAAACTTCTTTGCACGTGATCTTGTAATAGCACGTTTGTATTTTGCTCTTTCAGTAGAAACGATACCATTCTTGTTAATTTTAACGAGTTTTTTTTTTTGAAAATAAGCAAAATAAATCCTAGATTGAACTAATTTATTATTCTGAGAATCAACCGCAGTCTTTTTTCCTTATACGGACGCGTTTTATGTATACGAAATGACAAAACTAGAGTTTAATGAACTAAAAAATTTCTGAAAACATGACACGACATAGCATGACATCGTACAACAGCAAAAGTTATTTTTGAGTGCCAATAAAAAGATTTTCCGAAAAACTCTCTGTAAAAGAGTTCTCGTGACGGTCTTTAGATTGGTATCACGTGATGAAATCAAAGTTAATTTACTAAAAAGATTTATTTTAGTTTTTTAATATATAATTAGTTAAGCTATGATTCTTTGAATACAACACGAATACATCACAAAAATCACAAAAATACATTTTATCGTATGATCCCTTCTTTTAAGGTTTTAACTGTTACATCACCTTTACTAGTTTTAAATGGAATATCTTTGAAAGTTGCTACCCCTTCCTCATTAACCTTAAAATTTTCTGCTACCTTTTCAAATATTTTATTTTTAGGATTTAATATTTCACCATTGCGTTCCGCCGATCCGTATCCTTCAAAAAAGATTTTTTCTCCAGTCTCACTTCCAGCTGGTGGATCCAATAATTCAATTGTTTTATCATCCGAGGATGATGCTGCAAGAAGCATTGCAGATGACTCAATGCCCTGAAATTTGCTAGGCTTAAGATTACATATTGCAAGTACAAAACGACCTTGCATTTGCTCCAATGGAATGTAAGATGCAAGGCCAGAAACAACTGTTCTTGGATTACCAGACGCATCACCTACATCAACTGTAGAGACGTAGGATTTAGGATTACTTTGGTGAAGCTCCGCTTTTATAATTTTTGCTACTCGAATATCTAATTAAATAACTCGTTAAAACAAAACAAAAAAAAAAAAACTTCACAATGAAATTTATAATTACCTAATCTAGACACATCAATTGGTTTTCCATCATTGATACTTGGCGCTTGGTTATGTTTTTTAGATTCTTTCTTTTTAACTATTTTTTCTACTTCAGGGTATGCTTGTTTCGTTAAATTTTGGAATTCGAGATCATTTTTCCATTTTTCCCTAATTGGCTCTAGTAGGTTATTAATTGCTTCCGTGACTGCAGCCTTCAAATCACCGGGATGAACTTTTTTATCGCGAAAATCATCTTTTAGCGACTGATAACTTGTATAATTGACATTACCGCCCCATTTTTCATTACGCTTGATTAAAAAACTAGGAGTATTTCCATTAAGTGATCTAAGAGGAAACAGAACTGATTCTACAAAAGAAAGTACACCATTATCATTTACGTTTCCTTCTTCACAGAAGGCCTTTTTTAATTTACGGGATACAACATCAGCTTCATCCAAAAGATCTATCTTCGAATCTGGATCGGATGAAGACATCTTTGATCCTGCTAAACCCGGAACCATCGGGTTCATAAGATGCGCTCGCTTCTTATAACCAAGGTGTGGTAAATATTTCTCCGCGAAAACAAAAATCTTTCTTTGATCAACTCCGCCAAATTGTGCATCTACTCCCAAATATTCCTCGTCTAGTGTTTGTAAACCTGGATACAATAAGCCAGACAACAATGCGGATTCGACTTGTTTAACAACTTCGGCACCGGCTTTTTTCGCGTCGTGTTCTGTTACAGTGGCGCAAAGTCTGTAATTATCCATATTATATTTCTCCGTTAATTGATAACTAGACCCTATGATAAATTTTAATTTATCAATTGGGACTCCAATTGATTCAAGAAGAGTTTTTATGAGCACTTCATAATATTTCGTTCGAAATTTTACAAGATCAAGTGGTGCCTTCATATTGTCAAGAAAGGCGTGAATATCAGCTAAAAGAATTGTGACCTAAAATAACAAGAAAAAAGGACCAAGAAATTATTAATAGTATATTGATTGGAAAGGTTGTATGGGCAAATTGACGATTGTATATAATTAGGTTTTTTAGACACCTCAACTCCGGCAGTTAAAAAGTCTGCAATTTTTGACATGGGTACGTAATAACCAATATGAGGTTTTCCGGTAGGTGCGGTACCCCAATAGAGTTTTAAGTCTCTTTCATTAAGAATTTTCAAGATTTCTTCACCACCCAAAACTTCTTGGAGGTTCCTCGTAATAAGCTCATATTTTTGCTCGGGGCTCAAACCGTCTACAGACATCTTTATTTAAATTATTTCAATTTATATATATTTCTTATATTTCTTCAAAAGAAGAAATTTATAAATTTATGTAAAAAAAAAAAGAGATATTTATATTGGAATATGAATTGTTAAATTACGATTGAAAAAAAAAATTGGGGGAATTGTAAAAGGGATCTATTTATATTGCAAAATCAAACAACTAAAAAAGGTCTAATGATACAGAGTGCAAAAACATTTTTTGCATTACTATAAAAATGCCTGAGTCATATTTTCTTAACCAATGAAACATTGTTCCACACTTACACAGCCTCAGTGAGTCATCATTTATCAGTCAGCCGAGATGTCCCTGATCATTAACATCATTAACTAATTTTTTGTGTAACATGTGAATTTTTTTTTGTCGCTTCAAAATATTATGTACTTATAACCACTTATTTTAAAGATTCTTCTTAAATATAAAATATACAATATTATCTCTTCAAACTTTTTACAGAGTTTCATACAAAAATACATCAAAATCAAATAAAAATAATGGGTGTTAAAATGAAATCATTTTTGTGTATTCATCCAGTTGATATTATTGAAAAATAATTTAATATCTTTTTTAAAATCATGTTGAATAGCGAAATATCATCATTTAAAGCTGTGATTTTATGGTTACACAAATTTAATACCAAATCACATACTTCGTGTCGATCATGAGACATCCCATTGTGGATTGGGTTATAACTATCAAATGACCAAAAGCAAAAATGATTTTGTGGCGTTGTAAAATTTTGTGAACGGATACCGATTCTTATGTAAATATTAGAAAACGTGTCATTTGTTTGAATAAGAATTTCCGCTCAACAATTTAATGAGCTAATTTATCTTATTTCATCCTATTAAGTGTAAAAAAAAAGTTATAATTAATGGGAGCAACTGAAAGCAAACTCACCTTTCGTAAAGGTGTATTTAGGTTATTTGAAGAAAGGGTAGGTACATCTGAAAGACTTTGTACTTCATTTTTTTTCAAATTTTTAACCCGTATTTTATTATGGTTCAGAATATTCGAGCCTCTGACGAGTACTGGTCGCAAGTAATATATTTGTAAAATACTTATTTACGGTTTTAGCTTTAAGTTTATTTAATACATAATTAATTTTTGAATATAGTTTTGGCTTCTTCCTGAATCAGCAGAAGATGTTTTCTCTCTTGTAGGTGCACAGGATATTCGACGCGTGAGAGATCATGCTAGAGAGAATTTAGAAACATTGATACATAAGGTCTGTTACAGTAATAATATGTTGATCTGCATCTAAATTAATAACTTAACACTTACTGGAAATTCAGGTCATTGACCGTCTATTCCGAACTATAGAGGCACCAGACTTTCCTTCACAAAATTCCACTTTACAACTTTTAAATTGTATAAGAATACTTACTCGGTTAATACCATTTATATTTGAATCTGAGGAAATGGCTGATTGGGAGGAAAAATTTTTTTGGACACCTCAAACTAGAAAACTCAAGAAAAATCGTAAGACTGAAACAGGGGGAGAATCTCAGAACTCTTTAGAGCAAAATGAAGCAGCTAATGAGAATCTGGCAAAGGAATCAGGCCAGGTATATGTCATATATATAATATTCCAAGTATTATTGACTGTCGACTTTATTTTCCGAGTTTATCCAAATATATACAAGTTAAATAAAAGTTAATAGAGTAACATTGAATAGATACTATATAGTGAAAATTTTGACATTAAATGAATATTCAAGTATCTTATGAAGCACAAAGAAAATGGAGGTCAGAATTGCTTAGGTTTTTTTTGAGTATTAGGAATAATTTATGGAAAACACATATTACCGGATCAATCAATAATATTTTTATGCTATGTCTTCGGATTTGGAATATATTTAGTTTATTAACCCCAATTTTATTTTATTTAATACGTATAGGAATCGCAAACTCAAGATACGGATATTGAACGAATTGAAACAATCCCTCCTTTGGGTGAACGCCTACTATCGACGATCATTGATTTACTTTTTTTGGCAGGATTCACATTACCAGCAAATTTAGCAAACGATAGTAGTAGCCGTATTATATACGTCAATTGGTAAAAAAAAAAAAAATTTTCTCAGGTATCCTAAGAATCGACTCTAAAGTAAATATTTTTTTTTTTATAAAGGGAGACTGGTGTAGGCTCTACTTTACCCATTGGTTCATCAAAGGAAAACGATTCCAACAAAACTGAAACTTTAAGATTGCTGCTTGCATTTATTTCAAAATCAATGTATATGTCAGGAGGTATTGGTTAAAAATTTATTTTTAACATTAATTTGCATAAAGTTTCAACGAATCATTTTAATGCTTGTTTGATTAATTTAGCGACATATATGGGGAAAGAAAATAAGTGGATTAAACATTTGGTTCTTAAAACTGAACGCAAAGTGGTTCTTGCATTGCTCTGTAGTTTACTTAATACAGCTGTAAAATATAATCCGGCGGGATGGGGTGTGCCATATAATCATGTTGTTTTTGCGGATTCAAGAGAAGTACTTGTGACATTGTGTCTACAAGTGTTGTTGGTTTTGTTGGATTACCGTTCTCCCTCAAACCGTGTCACGACAAATGATTTTACCAGACAGCAACGAGTGAGTTCTGTAGATACCACCAGGAGTGAAAAAGAATCTATTCCTTTAAGTCCTACAACGCCAACATCTATTAATAATTTGGCATCCAATGAAGTTACCAGAGTAGATAACACTCCACAGGATAGTGCACCTGCTGTAGATGCTGCTACTACAATTACTTCATCAGCACCAAGTACACAAAAAGGACATTTGCCTTCTCATGTTGACAATGCATTTCGTTATTATACTTCGAAATTGCATCGACCTCAGGATTTTCAATTTCTTATGGATGGCATATACCGCATTTTGAGTAATCCAATGCAGGTAATTGGAAAATTATTTATCACCTGATTTAAAAATTTTGGGATATAATACGATTATAATGCTTCATTCAGACACGCCGGATTACTAGATAATTAGTGATTCAAATTCACTCGTTATTGCTTATTATTTTCAGAGGTCAATTTCTGCAAGTTATTTACATTTTGCTATACTTACTAATAACAATGCTTATTATTGCATTTAAGGCAAGTAATACATATTTACCAGGATCAACAAAGCAAATTCAATGTCATCAAGAAATGATGATGCTTTGTTGGAAATTCTTGGAAACTAACAAGGTAAAAATTGATTAATTGATTTCATTTCTAATATATAAAATCGCGTCTCAACTCTCAAAGCGTGTTATGATAATGAGTCATGACACAAAATTTTTTATACTCTGATGCTCTGAGATACTCTGACTATAGCAAACTCCGTGGGAAAAAGAACTAATTTATTTATGATAATACTAATTCGATATGCTTGCCTTTTGACTCATTCGCAGAGATTTCGTAATTACTTGTTGGATACCGATAAAGTATTAGATTTGCTTATCATTTTATTATATTATTCAATTGAAAATAAACAAGATTCAGGTTTGGATCAATATCTTTGGTGCATTTTTTAACATTTTTCCTTTAATGACGACTTTGCTATTATTTAGCACAACTAGGATTAGTGCGTATGTGTGCATTTATTTTGCAGACATTGTCAGGTGACCGCGATTTTGGTGTGAAATTAAATAAAGTGTTTGAAAATCATGGTTCTCTTCCTGGTAATGTTCGAATTCACGCGTTTCATGGAACCTACGCGGATTATATGATTAGTGTAAGAACTTAATTTATTATACTAAATTTTGATTTATGTTTTAATCTAATTTATTTAATTACTTTTTTAGTCCATATATGCTCTTATAGCAACTACACGTGGAATGTTGCATTCATTATATCCTGCATATATATTAACTATTACCAATGTATCACCTTATTTAAAGAATTTGTCTGTAGTTTCATCTACAAAATTAGTCCATCTTTTTTCACAATTTACTTCACCTGGATTTTTGTTATCTGAAGAAGGGAATCATCGATTGGTTGAACATATGTTGGAAGCGTTCAATAACATTGTTCAATACCAATTTGCTGGTTTGTTCTTACATCTTTTTTTTGAAGTAGCATTTGTAATTAAAATACAAGTCTAATGACTATTTTATTATAGATAATCCACATCTTATTTATGCTATTTTAAGGAGTCCTAAATGCTTTGAAAATTTATCAGAATTCACACTTGCAAGAGGATTGGATGAAATAAAAAAGAAAGAGAAGCGTAAAAAACAAGTTCGAATTGTAACTACGGAAAAAACATCAGAACAACCAGAAATTAAGAGTTCACAAGAAGAATCACGACCATTGATGTCAGATAGTGAAAGTAATTTAAGTACTCAAAAAGATGAAGATCGCGATAAACCCGAATTGGCTCAAGTATCTTTAAATGCTAATGTTAATGTTAGTCAGAATAGTCAAACAGAACTAACTGATCAAGATTCAGAACCATTGTCTGAAAAAGCCCGCGGCAAATTACCTGAAGGCGTTACAGTAGCAAGTCGTCGACGAAGTAATGAAAGTAATAATGTTATAACTCCGTTTGCTGTTGGAAAATCTGGATTTGTCCCAACCGAAGATTGGGTTTGTTATTTTTATTATATATTTGAGATTTCAAGCCACATAGTTAATCGTAATTTTTACTTTGTAAGGTATCTTCGTGGCATTCACATCTTCCTCTCGGAACAATTCTAATATTGCTTGGAGAACTTATTCCTAAAATTGAAGATATATGTATATCGCAATCAATCAATTCAGATCAACCTGTTTTGGAATTCCTTCGAAAAGCAACAATGGTTGGAATTCTTCCACCTCCACAGTCTATCCTTATCCGTAAATTCCAATGGTCTGAAGCTAGTGTAGTTTGGTTTTCAAGTCTACTATGGGGGCAAATTTATTTAGCTTCTTCAAATTATCTTGGTGTATTTAATGGTACACACGTCAAATTATTTCTTGTCAAGCCTTCAACAAAAGAAGGACGCTTGAAAAATGCTCTTGGTAATGCGGTTGGTGGAGTTCAAGGTGTTATTGATCGCCTTTCCACTACCAATACAACAAATACAACAAATACGAATACGAATACGAATACGAATACGAATACGAATACGAATATGAATATGAATACGAGTACGGATACGAGTACGGATACGAATACGAGTACGAATACGAATACGAATACTACTGCCACCACACCTAGTTCTTAATTATTACTGTTACGTTAATAAACATAAATTTAGTAATTACAATTATTTAATTTAAAAGATTCTCTTGACTGTTAAATATTTAATACTTGGCTTTATTATAAATTATATATTTTTGTTTAGTTTAAATTACTTATGGAAGAATTCATATTACGTAATATATACAGTTCCAAGTATTATATCTCGGGTATTTTACTTAATTTTTTACACATTATATAGCTTATATAGCTATTTATAATTATACTCCTTTTTCAACATGTACAAATGTTAATATAAAAGTATAGCAAAATATAATGAAAAACTTGTATTAAGTAAAAAATAAATATTAATTATTAGATACTTGCAGTTTGGTAATATTATATTACATATATTGATAATAAAGTAACATTTTAAATGCAGTATACAAATAGCTTATAAATTATGTAATATATTTGAGTATTAAGAATCAAAATTTAATTAGTATTTAAATTAATCAAAAATTTAAAATATAGGAAAATTTGGATTATTTGGATTAATTTATAAATTATATTTAATTAGTTTAATTATTATACTAAATATTTATATAATATTAAGGATATATTTCTAAAGAAGGCTTTATATCATATCTGAATACATATTAGAAAAGTGTATCCTTCTTCCAATTTTTTATATAACAATTCTGAAGAAAATTACACTCTTAAATATATATCTGGATGATTTTCTTTTACAATTGGCCTATTTTAACCAATATATATATCACAATATATCCAAATATATACTAATGATAGGATATTCTTCTTCTATTTTTTTATATAATACTTTTAAAGAAAAATACTTTAAGTACTCACCTATTAAAAATGTATTTATTCCCAATTCTTTTGCCAACTTGCTATATATTTCTTTATATATTTATCAAAAAAAAATAAATTAAGCTTTTTAGAAATATATTAAGATATATAAATCTTTACTTGCTAATACTATATATACAATTATTTCTGATCAAAATTATAAATATTTAAGTAACTCAAATAGTTATACTGATAATAAATTTAATTTGAAATCAGATGATTATAATAATTACAAATCTAATTATAAATTAGATAATAAAAAAGCTTTCTGTATTTCAATATTATTAAAAAAATCTAAATACAAAAAATAAATATTTAATAATTCTTTTCTTTAAGATATTTTTTTTTTTTTGCAAGGTAGTGCAATTCATGAGTTTATTAGTTAATAGTTATATAAAAGTACAGAAATATGTTATGTATATAACTAATCTATTAAAACTCTAAATCAGTTTCCCATCTTATAGATTGCTTCTATGCCCTACCATCACCAATATAAAATTCACCTATATCCTCCTATAGTAACTATAAGATAAGATCCTGGGCATTATATATACAACTCAGAAAGTAACTTTTTTGCAAATTGACCTAAATTTCACAAAAAAAAATCAGGTTTTTTGCGATTATTTCAGCATCCAGTAGTCCAATTTATGCAAACTTTTTTTTGTTTTGTAGCTCTCATTGAACTTTACAAAATAAAAAAATCTGCATGAATAAGATCATTAAATACCAAGATAATTGCAAAAAATGGAAAATAAAAAAAAGAGCAAATTGGGTCTTTTTTGGCAAAAAGTCAGTTGTGAGTTCTATAAGAGATGTCCAGGATCCTTATCAGATTATATAAGATCATTATTTCATATGGCTTCAGTATATACTTTTACTACCCTCTAAACAAAAAGAAAAATTATATTTGTATTTATACATCTTAATATCATTATATACCTTCCAAATCACCCTATTTCTTTCTCTAATAAACTGATCTATATATTGTCTTGTTTTTCTAAGAGCAATTGACCATTATTCATTATATTTAAAAATTTTCTTCTCTTTAAATTATATGTATTACCTTCTATTTGTTGAATTGGAATTTATTCATATACAATTAAGATTGCTAAAGAAACTAGGGAGTTTTGGCAAGTTGAAGAAATGCCAAAATGGCAAAATTTTGCTAAAACTATATGAAAATCTTATAAAAAAGTTGGTAAAATTCTGGAGAAAAGTGAAACCTAACAAAACTTTTATAAATGCCAAAATTGTCAAAACTTTACCAACACTATAATAAAATTATAGTAAAATTTTAGAAAAACTAATTGTAGAATTTTGAAGAGGTTTAGGTAGGTAATCTTATATGTAATACATTGATGTACTGGTATCTTCTTTCTTAAATCTTGCTTCTTAATTTATATATTTTTTTTTTATTAAATTTTAAAGTTTATTAATTATGACATTTAAAACCATACAATATAAGTGTTACACATCATGAAAATATAACCATCCTTGCAGTGCAATGAGAATGCATTAATAAACCTGATACTAAAGCTCTGAACAGTTCAGTTTAGTTTTATTTTTCAGTTTTTTTCTGATTGATCAGAATACATTTTACGCAATAATTTGCCATCCAGTGATCGTAGAAATCTGATTAATAATTCATTAAAATCGTCTTATCGCGATAGTTCAAATGGTACCAAAATCATCCTTTTAACATTGATAGATGGAGAGTTAATTTTGCCAATTATTCAAAAAATAACTCGCTATCTATCAATACTAGAAGGATGATTTTAGTACTATTTAAACTGTCTCAACGAAACAATTCCAATGAGCTATTGATCAGATTTCTATGATTACTGAATAGCAAGTTATTATGCAAAATAGATTTTAATTAATTATAAAAGAACTGAAAAATGAAACTAAACTGAACCGTTTAGAACTTTACTTAGTACAAATGTATCTTCGAACTAAAAAGAAATGAGATGCAGGAAAAAATAAAACAAAAAAAAAGAATTCCATATACAAAAATGAAAACAAAAAACAAAATAAAAAAATAAGAAAACAGCCAGTAATAAAACTATCTTATTATAACTACACTTTTAAAACTAAGACTATCTGAACATTCTTTCAAACTTATCAAGATGCTCCTAGCTTTCTAAGCATTGATCTTATTTCTGCTAATATACTGCCCTACAATAAATTACAGATTTGACAAAATTTGCATAGTAATTTTCACATTACATATAAGTATACGAATTTTTAATAAAATTCAGCCAGAATTTTTTTATTTTAAAGCTGATCATAAATAGTTTTTATGCATTAAAATAAATAAATATAATCAATTATAAATATAAAAAAATTTTCTCATTGCAAAATAATATAAAAATTATGAAATTCTCACTTATTTTTAGCAATAGGATAATGGGTTAACTCTTTAAAATTTTAGAAAGTTTTCTTTATTTTTTAATACATAAAAGCTATAATTGATTGGCTTTCAAATAAAAAAATTTTGATTGAATTTTATTGAAAATTTATAAAATTTTATATAGCCCGAAAATTAATAATTTTACTAGTAAATTTTATAAAAATTTGTAATTATATAATAAAATTAACAATATTAAATTGACAAATTTTAGGCTATATTAAACTTAACGAATTCCCTATAAAATTCAGTCAAATTTTTTTTGTTTGAAAGCCAATCAATTGTAATTTCATTTATCAGGCATTTACTAATTGGTGATTTATGTTAGTACAACCAGTTACTAAGTTGTATAAAAAATACCTATTACGTAAGCCTGATAAAACAGTTACTCGGCACAACGTGACCTCATAACTGCGGCACTGTCGTGCCTTACATGTATTTGCAATAAGAATATGATCAGTAAAATTTACTGAGCTGCGCTCAGTAAATCCCACCAATCATATTGCTTATTGCAAATACAACAGTTACTCGGCACGAAGTGCCGAGTAACTATTAAGTATTAAAAATAAAGAAAATTTTCTAAAATTTTAAAAAATTGATCCTTTGCTAAAAATAAGTAAAAATTTCATAATTTTATATGTTATTTTGCAATGAAAAAGAATTTTTTTCCAAGATAGTTCAAATTATATATTGTGCAGCAATTATTATCATTTACTAGTGTTCACCTGTTGTCTACGACAACAGTTAATATGTAATTCTGGCCAGAATTAAAAGATCTGCAAAGAATTTCCTTTTTTGGAAATTTGAGCAACACAATTTTTTTAATTTCTCTGAAAAGTAACAGAAGACAAAATTTCCTTTTTTGGAAATTTGCGTAACCGACAATTTCCTTTTATGGATTCCTGTGTAACCGACTATTTCAGTTTTTCGCCAGAAATAAAATTTCCTTTTTTGGTCTTGTGTAACATTGGCGACGAATAGGAGTAGGGTTACACAATTCAAATGACTTATTTATATGGTTAATCTAAACATAACGCCCACGTGATTGCAGTGTTTTTTAATATATAGATAGATAGATTAATTATATTAGAAAATCAAAAATTACCCATTGGTCAAATGTTGTATTTTAAGATAATCACAAAATTTTAAAAAACTTTGCACTTAACTTTGATGATTTTATTGATAATTAATTGTAGCTATATAAAAGCTTAATAGAATATGTAGAATTTGGTATAAAAAACGACTTTTGTTAATATAATTTTTGATGTTTAAAAGTAGGATTTTAACTTTATATAGAACCTTAATGAAAAGTTTATGATGCATTTTAATTATATATTTATAAAAATTGATTTTTTTTATTTCTATTTTGTTTATTATAATGCAAAATTTTTATAATGAAAATAAAAAGTTATAATAAATATTCAAATAGAGAAAAAAATATGGTAAGAAAAGTTTAGATTTTATTATATAAAAATTCTGATACTATTTTTGCAGATTAATTTCTCATCCAATTTTAAAGGTAGATAGACAAACTGTATGGTACGATCAGCTGAACTGTACAGTATGATTAATTATAATAAAATTTATACAGTACAGTACAGCACTTATACTGTATATATATATATACATATAAGTCTTGTATTGTACCATACAGTTAAATTGTAACAAATTTCGTATAGTACAATTGTAAAAATAAATGATTATCACGTGATTCTTATATTAAATTCACAATTAAAAAAGTTAACTTTATTAATAAAATTATAAATAAATAAATAGTTATATTAACTGTTAACGTGCACATATATTTTTATTATTGTCATTGGAAAATTACTTTATTTTACTTCGAATATGCTGCATTCTTTATAAAAGTAATTGAAAATCATGTTAAAAAAATTATAAACCTAAGAGTCTGTTTCTTTTCTCAAGCAGTGCAATTTTCCTTTCAAGCTCATCATTTGCCTGCTTTCAAATAGCTAGTGTTTCTTACGCCAAAGTATTAACTTTTCTCTATTGATCAAAACATGGATCTCCGTTTAATTCAATAATTTCAATAGTATCATTTTCCTTATTATGAGAATTACTTTTTTGTTTTTTTACTGTACTCAAGGATGAAGTTTGTTTACATTTATGCTTTTTTGCTAAAATAATTAAAATACAAATTATTACGTTAAATATATTTTAAAAATAATTAAAATAATTAATTATACTTACCCGCTCTTTTTTCAGCTTGAATTGATTGTGCCAATTCAGATTTATCTCTATAAGAATCAGGAATATTATATTTTTCATAGACATTTTTACTTTCCCACTGTCATTTATCAAAGTTACATCCTCTAAAAAAAAGGAATTTAAATAAATATTTAATAAGTTTTATATACAAACAAATAAAAAGTTTTACTAGGACCCCGGATATCTCCAAAACAGGTCATAAGTCACACTTTCGGCAGATTGGCCCATTTTTCAGGGGCTCAAAAAATCGTTTTTTGTAAATATCTCGGCATCCAGTAGTCCAATTTTGATGAACTTTTTTTTAAATTGTAGAGCTAAATGAGGGCTACAAAATAAAAAAATGTTCATTAAAATTGAATTACTGGATGCTGAGATATTTACAAAAAACGATTTTTTGAGTTTCAGCAAAAAGGGGTGTTTTTGGCCAAAAGTCCATTATGACCTTTATATTAGATATCCGGGGTCCTGTTTTACTTAACAATTCCGGCAAGAAGTGATAAATTACGTTCATCATGATTTACATTTGCATGTGCACTTTCTTTCACATTAGTATTATTTGGTATTTGATTCCAAATAATATAATCCATTTTGGTAAATACAATTGATATGCCCGATAGTACCCATGAAACACGTTTATCTTTTACTCAAGCTATAAAAAAAATACTTTAATATTTGTTTGAATTTTGATAAAAAGTTAAATTTAATGATTACCTTCTGCTCCTAATTCGCCACTAGATTGTATTATATCTAATACTATTAACACTTCTTCTTGTGTATCTAAAGTTGGTACTAAATACATAGCACTTCGAATTTCACTTGATATCTGCTTATTTTTGTCGATATTTTTAAATAAAAAAAAAATAAAATATGATTATAAATTAGTAATTAATTTAATTAGATTATAAAAAATTATTAATGCATCTAATTTATACATGCCACCCAAATTATTTTGAGCTGCCGTAATTATAAGTAAAATCCCAAATTCAATTATGGCATCCCAAATTATTTTGGCACTTTACATAGTAAATTATATATAAACTGAATGAATTACGGCATCCCAAATTATAATTATGACATCCCAAAATAATTTGGGCAGCATGTATAATCTAATTACCGCTTATAATGAATTTGACAAAGTTTATATATATATTGTAAATGTTCAACTGGCGTTAAATTTGGATACTTTGAATTTAAATATTGATCTAAACCTAATTAAAATATTAAATTTTATTAATACCTATACTCAAATAATTCGAATTTATACTATAGTTTAGCTTACCTAAAGCTTGCCCTTTGTGTTGATCTGCGATAATACATCCCAAACCCCTTCTATGAATATAATAAAAATTAAATATTTCACCTATATCTTTTTCTATGCAATTAAACAAGTCTTCAAATAGGTTTTGATATGCATCAGCCATCTCAATATTTGTAAATATTCGTGCAAAAGTTAAAGCTATATATATTTTTAAAGCAATTAAATTAATAATTATAAAAAATTAAATAAATTAAAGTAAATAAAATTTAACTCACTTTTTTGTATTCGTGATACATATACTGATACTTCCTATTCATTTGTAACACTATGAATTCTTTTGAATGCCATATCAATTTCAAAATATGTCAATTCAGGAATTGCTTTAAGTTGTTGTTTTGTAGCACATACAACAATATATTGGCCATTATCAAGAAATCCTATAAAATAAAATAAATTAAATATAAAAAATTAAATTATAATTAAAAAAGTGATATAAACGTATAACTGTAAGTCACCGATATGAGGGCTAGTGTTCTGAATGGATCAAATCAGATCAGATTTGAGATGAATCTAATCTGATCCGAATTCAAATCAAAAAAAATTGGATTTGATCTGATCTGAATTTGGATCAAAAATAATTGGATTTGATCTAATCTGAATCCAAAATAAACTTGATTCGATTCAGTTTGAATCTAATTCAGATAAAACTGATCTGATCTGAATTCAATCTGAATCAGAAATTAAAAAAATATTTTACAATTTTACAACATTTTTTAAAGATTTATTTAATAAAAAACGTTGTAAAATATTTTTTATTTCAATTTAAACGAAAAAATTGTTGCGAAACAGTTTTTAATTTCAATTTAACAAAAAAACTGTCTCGCAACGGTTTATTAATGAATTTAATAAAAACTGTTGCAAAATAATTTATATAACTAAAAAAAACTGTTTTACAACAGTTTTCTAAGTTGTTTTAGTAAAAACTGTTGCAAAATGGTTTATTTAACTAAAAAAATCTGTTTCGCATCAGTTTTTAAGTTATTTTAATATAAACCATTGTGAAATGGTTTATTTAACTAAAAAAAATCTATTTCGCAATAGTTTTTAAGTTGTTTTAATATAAAACCATTGTGAAACAGTTTATTTAACTAAAAAAATCTGTTTCGCAACAGTTTTTTAAGTTGTTTTAATAAAAACTGTTGTGAATATACATGAAACCAAAATTGGTTAATTTTGACTTCCAAAATGGTCGAAATGGTCAAAATGATTTCGACTTGAGCCCCTCCAAAAGTCGAAATGGTCAAAATTACATCATAGTCATATGATTTTATAGTAAACAATAATATTAAAATTCAAAGTTAACGAACTCCTCATCCAGTGATTTGATTTTTATGATCTTTATACGGTTTTTTTCAGCTCATCGAGAGGATTCCAATGATATGTATTTCATATTTGTAGCATCAATATTGACGGAGTTATTCACGTTTAAAATTTGGTATTAAATAGTCTTATAATTTTTATAGTAAACAATAATTTTAAAATTCAAAGCTAACGATCTCAGTATCCAGTGATTCGAGTTTTATGATCTTTACGCAGTTAGATTAAGCTCATCGAGAGGATTCCAATGATATATATTTCATATCTGTAGCATTAATATTGACGGAGTTATCCACGTTTAAAATTTTATATTAAATTATAATTATAAAAATCACATGACTATGATGTAATTTCGACCATTTCGACTTTAATTTCAACTTTTGACCTTCCCAAGTCAAAATATTTCTACTTTTAGGCTTTAATTTCAACTTCATGTATAGAAGCAACTATGCTAACAAAATAACGAATGACGCGCCCACTATTAAAATCGACATTCCATTCTGCCAAAGCTGTTATTAAGTAGCACTGTTAGACGACCTATAAAACCTGAAATGTGATTAAACCAAGTCACACTTTTGGCGAATTGACTCATTTTTTAAGGGCTTAAAAAATTGTTTTTTGTAAATATCTCAGCATCCAATGGTCCAATTTCGATAAACTTTTTTTAAATTGTAAATCTGAATAAGGGCTACAAAATAAAAAAAGTCCATTAAAATTGAATCACTGGATGTTGAGATATTTACAAAAAACAATTTTTTGAGTTTTAGCGAAAAGTGGTGTTTTTGGCTAAAAGTCCCTTATAACTTCTATATTAGTTTTCTGGGACCCTGCTCAAATAATGTGATACACTTGCATTTTTTACAATATGATTTAACTGAAAAAAGTATTATCTTTTCTCTTAAGTAAAAAGTACAAAACTACAAATGCATAAGTAATAATCAATAAAATTTAATAAAAATTAAAATTATTATTCACATATAATACTTCTTTAAACTGAAAATTACATCTTTTAGTAAAGGATGTATAATGTAACTTCTATAATCCAATTCAATAACTGTTTATTCCTTTTAAATACTATGATGTAATCTTAGACATGAAGGTAATGAATAATTAACCAAAAAAAGATAAAATAATTTACAAGTTATTTATAATATAATTATTTATAGTACATTTATTTTATATCTATATTTTTATTTAAAAATAAGAAATAAGAAACAAGAAATAAGAAATAAGAAGATAGAAATAAGAAGTAAAAAATAAGAAATTAAATTAAAGAAATAAGAAGAAAGAAAATAGATTAAAGAAAATCAGATTCTTTTAGAATTACTTTTAAGGAATTTGTAATTTTTACTGTAGTTTAGTCCTACATAAAAAGGCTGAGTTTTGGACTTGATTCTAATAGTCTTAGATTTGTGAGTTTTGAAAAAAGGCAGAATGGGTTTAATAAAGAAAAATATTAATTATTAAAAGTTATTTTTAATATACTTATAATTTGTTTAAGTTTTAATTAATGTTTGATTTATTAAATAAGAAGTTATGGAAATTATCACAATATAAAAGTAAAATTTATAAGTTGATATACAGGAAATTTATAAAAGGAAAACTATTAAAATTTGAAAGTTAAGTTATAAATATTAAAATTTAAACTAAATGAGAATAAATTAATAGTATTTTAGAATTTTAGATAATATGAGGTCTTTGCAATAGAAAGGTACGAAACTCAAAAAAAATTTTAATTTTACTTTAGGCCAAAAAAATAAAATTATTCATTTCTCATGAAAAAAAATTGCTAAATTTGACCCGGCCGCCTGGAAAAAAAATATATAAATTTGGCTGATTCCTAGAAGTTGATTGGTTGATTTAATAAATTTTTTGCCCAGGTCACTGGGTGGAAAAAAAAATTATTTTTTTATGATTATAATTGGTCAAAACTAAAATCACATGACTAAATAAAATAAATTTTTTTATCTTTTTTTAACATTTATATGACCCGTCCGGTTATGAGAAACGAATAATTTTATTTACTTGGCCTTATATGCTAATTATATTTTTTTTTACTGAAATAAATGCAAATTTAACATTAATTTAATTTTTAATTTTTTTTGAGTTTCATACCTTTCTATTGCAAAGACCTCATATATTCATTCACAGGTAGCAGATATGGAAAATAATAGAGCTATAGGGCCATAATAGTAGAATTTAAGATTATATAGATTGGAAATTTTTTTAACAGTGGTAGTTTTTATATTAGTCTTAAATAAAAAAAAAATGATAAAAAAAAGAAAAAAGTTTAGTAGATAAAAACTGGTAAGTTATAACAAAAGATATTTATAATATAGATAAAATTTTAATAAAAAAACTTGTAAAAGAATCTTGCAGAAAAAACATCATGCAAGTTATTTTGAGCTTTTTTGAGAGAAGCTTTCTAATATTTTAATCTTTTACTATTTCATGAATATTATTTAAAAGTTAAATTTCCTTTATAATTTATTCTAATGATTCAAGTAACTTTTATTATAAAAGTGTAAGTTTTAGAATTCTTTAAGAATAAAATAAAAAACTAGCATAAAAAGAAAAACATACTTGTTTTTGAAATCTAGATATTATTTCATATGATCAGAAATAGTTGTATGTCTTATATATTTTTTAATTTTTATTGCTATATTATTTTGATTTTACAATTTTAAAATTACACCAAATAATTCTCTAAACTTTAGGTCTAAAATTAAACAATTAAAATTAGCACAGTCATAGATACTACTAGTTATTAGTTAATAATCTTAATAATCTATAATCTACTTAAAAGAATGTTCTTTTTTATGATGGGCAAATTTATTTAAAAGATAGATTACAACTGCACTAGATTTCATTGTCTATTTCTTTTAAGTATTCTTATTAAAGAGGTATTCAGATGCTAATACTAATTTTTTATCTATTTTTTGAAAAGCCAGCTTAAAATTAAACATTATTTTCTCTTCATAATTTTTGAGCCCATAATCAAAATTCGCACTCTAAGAAATAAATTTAAAAAAGATGTTTGAAAAAAGGCAAAAATTATCCAATAACTGTTTATTGTTTCTAACCTTATTTAAACCATCTGGAGTTGTATCTTTAAATTAATATATAAATTATAAATTTTACAATTTACAATTTACATATTTTATATTAACATATTATAGGAGAAAAATAGATTTGAAAATTAAGACTTGAGGGCAATGCATAAAACTTAGTTATACAGAATGTGCTTATTTAGAACTATATAGTAAAATTCTATGTATTAACAAATACATTCTTGATAAATATTTTAAACAAAATATTTTTGATCAAGCTGTAGTATTTAGCTGTAGTATTTGCATTTTAATTTACTGGTAAGATGTGTTTTTATCATTAAATTGAAATTTATTGTTACCTAATATTTTATTTCTATATTGTTGTGGATTTGTCTAATAATAGTCTGTATTTTAGTTGATACTTAAATACTTGAAATTTTTAATTCAAAATTTTTATTTATAGAATAAAATGAATAAAATATATTTAATTTATTATTAATTAAATATATAAATTTTTAAGTATAATCTGCTAAACACATCACTTCATTTTATAAATGATATATGTATTTGTAACCTTTTTAAAAATCATTTTAATTTTCGAAAATTTTATTAATTGCTAATCTTATACATCTACGAATTTGGTTAATTTGTTTGTACTACCAATAAGATCATGCTTTCATGTTGTAGCTTTTGTGGATCGAGAGTTCTCTGTAAATCATTTCATTCATTTGCAATAACACTATGTCTCAGATTCGTTCATTCAAAATGGAAAAAAAAGAAAACATTTTTTATTATCAACTATCTATATAAGTAAATAATGAAAGTTATTCATTGTTAAAAATAACCCATTTATTTGCTCTATTTAAGGTATATAAACAATAAATTTTTTGTGTTCGTGTTCATATAATTTCATAGTACCCGGGTGAGATTTTTAAATTCGGGACTTTTGACAAGAAACAAAACAGTTTAAAAAAACGGTTAGGCTTGGTAAGGTCACGAGCTCATAACAACAATAAAGTTGTACGTCATTTTTCGGCTAAATTTTAATGGTAAAAATTGCGTTAGATCGTCATTGCGAGATCAAATAACAGTAACAGGTAACATAACAGTTAGTTAATATGAGAAAATAACAATCATTTCCCATAGCTTCACTAAATTTAGTTAACCGTTAAAATTGTGTTACATAAAATCATATACAAAGGCAACAAATAAGTTATCTTGAGTGTTAAAATTTTCCCCCGAGCGAAGAACGCTTATAAATTTGAATTTACCAATGACAACGACCTCTCCTCGCAGAATCCCCCGTAGACGAGATTCTTCGAGACAAGCTGCCTTCACATTTCTCACAAATATCAGCCTTGGAACTGAATCATACCCACCAAGTAATCCTCGGGCAACGGCTGTTCCCAGCCACTCTGTTACCAGCCCTTCTCAACCATCAGACGTTTCGTTAAAATCAGCTAGTATTGAGAAGCAGCAACAACCAGTCAATAATGATCATGAAGTTCTTGGTAACGATAAGCCAAGTTTGCAATCCAACACAAAGAGATCAACAACTATCTCCAAACAACCTAAGAAGACGGGAGGAAACCATGTTCTTTCCCAAAATTCAAAAACTACCGATAACGATAAAATACTCGACGAGACCTCCATAGAAACTTACGACGAAGAACATAATTTAAATAAGACTCGTGGAAGAAGTAATAGTCTTCGCGAAGAAGCGACAAACTTCTTGACGAACATCAGCCTTGATCCCAAAAAATCGAAGCCATATCACCCTTCAAGAGAAGGAAAAGCTGTCCTAGAAACTGGTGATGGTTCGATTATTGAAGTGGACATGAATCAAGTAGATGATATTATTAATGATTTAGAATGTAATAATAATTATCGCAGGAGTTCAGGTTGGTCATCATTAGAAAATAATATTAACATTACGTTGATTTGTATTTTTAATAAAATAACCATTAAGGGAATGAACTTAATTTACAAAAGAAAAATTTTGATTTACAAAAAAAATCACTAAAATTGATATATAATTTTTTTATGCCTTCTTTTTTTTTATGATTTCTTATGATTCCTTTTTTTTCATGATTCTTTTTCATGATTCCTTATTTGGAAAATATATTATTGTTATTACATTTTGTAAAAAAAATTATCTAACGACGACGATACCCAAATCCAAATGAAATTTAAATGAATATCATGTATTAGAATCCACCTATAAATCCGATTCGAGCTCATCTTCTGCCAATTCTATCCCTGAAAAATCTGCTTCTCGTAAACCTCAGCGTCGCCATCCATCTCCAAATTCAAATGATAATATTTTAAATAGTTCTAATGACTTAAATCGTAAACAAAATAATGCTAATTCTTTGGTGAGTCTGGGAACAAGTAATAACCTAAGTATTTGTACATAAAAAAAATATCTAACATATTATAACGTGTATGTACCAAATAAAGCCTTCAGGATTTCTTTCTATGCTGGGATATGATAAGAAATTTAAGCAAAAAAATCGTCGAGATTTAATGTGCGTATATTTTATTTTTAATCGATCGAAGTCGTTGAAAACTTTTTTAATTTCTAACAATCCGTTATATGTCATCAGGAAGCAAACTGCTGATTTGGAGACTATAAAACGACGAAAAGTGAGAATATTTGTAATTTTATTATGAAATAATTTTTTTTAGAAAAATTATAAAATTAACATAACATTCGAAAAATTTTTCAGGCGGAGTCTTTTGCACATCTTTTAGTACCGAGCAACTCATTAGGGTAAATGTTTAAATTGACATTTTTTTTTTAAGCTCAATTGTGCTATGACAATGATTTTTAATGTTAAAATCACGTGATCGTACCTTTTTATAATAAAAAGTCTAAAGAATGATGGAGATTATAATCCAACTTACCTTGACAATCCAAACCTAAATACAGAAAAGCAACCAGCTAATGAGGTTAAAGAAGTAAAACCAACTAAACATCGAAATGTTCTAAGCTTGTCGGGTATTATGGTAAGTATTTAATCATAAGTCTATCATATGATGATTTACATAATAAATTAATGAATTCGTATATTTAGGGTTCGTTTATGCATCATAATAACCGTCCATCTGATTTGAAGCGAGAATCAAATGCACGGTTTCGCATTTCGCATCCAGATGTTGATCCAACTTTAACGTTAAGTCAAATTAGAAAAGTGAAACTTAAATTGTTAACAGCGGCAACATATGAAGTTTGTATCTTTTAATGTGGACTATTAAAAGTAGTCAAACTCAAACTCTGAATTTAAATTATTTTTATTTAGGATTTGGATTTAGAGCTTTCGACAGTTGCAAAAGCTTATGCCTACTTTGAGAAACTAATACTAAAGGTAAGGTTGACAAATTATAAAGACTTCTATAGTTTTTATCCGATAATACAACTAATAATATTTTTTTATTTTATAGAGAGTGGTTAATAAGGCTAATCGTAGATTATACGGATGTAAGTTGAATTTACGTTATGATGTTATAGATCCTTTTTTTTTATTTCCTTTTCAATAAACTTACAATTTTGCACATCTTAGCCATATGTTTATTACTTGCAAGTAAAGTGAACGAACCTATGGGAAAGTCATATTTACCAATATTAGAGGTGAGTTAAGTTTTATTTATTTCCTTTATATACTATGATGAAGCAAAAACATTCATTTAGTTCTAATCAACAGCTTTTGGTTTTTTTTACTTTCTAATAACAAATATAGTCACTACATAAACACTTAGATGTGACAATAAAGGACATAACAGATAATGAATTTTCTGTTTTTGCACATTTAGACTTCGAACTTTATTTACCTATGCAGGAATTCATGCCTCATTTCGAACGGCTATTCCAAATAATCGGTAAAGCAATAATGTGTTATTATTTATATTTTTGGAACCTTATATTGATACAATTTTTTTTTAATTGAAATAGATTATAATAAAGAAGAATATTTAGGGAGAAATCCATTTTACGAATTTAACCTTATAGGGTGAATGAGCGTGTGGGCAAAATCAATGGAACTATTATGAAATTGTTAAGTAGAAATGTTTGACATGTATTATTATTTTATTATATTATCATTTAATAAAAAGGTTTAAGTAATAAATTACGAATTCATTAAACTACAACTCATTGGTAAAACATAAACTGATCGAGATATAACATGTCCCTCGGCACACTATACTAGTACCCGTTCACTATATAATATGAATTAAATACTTTATCTAAATCATAAAATAACGCCAACCCCAGATATTTAAATCGTTAAAGAATTTTAGCTTAAATTATTTTATTTAAGATACACTCTCATTACAAATCATCGTTATAAAAATCATTATTCGTGGAACGATGGTTAAATTTCCTCTATTTTATCATCATAATCATCAAGTTGAGATTCATTAATTTTATCGCGGCTCTGTTCATCATCTCTCATTAACAAGTTAACGAGTTTTTCTATAATTTCTCCAACATTTTCATCTTTTTCCACAAGATGCATTTGTCGAATTACCGGATAAACTTTTTTCTGTCGAAGTATATCACGCCCTTGTTTAGTTGTTGTTAAGAGAACAAGTGATTCTAATAGAGTTATTCTAAGATGTGAATCAGGTTCACGTTTCTAAATAATAATTAATATGATAATAACATAAATTTATGAATTAATAACAGTAAATACAAATCAAATTTACCTTCTCGGGAGGCAAAAGTTGAATATCATCAGGCATTCCTTCCATATCCTAAACATATTAATCAATCAGTTTAGTATTTAACAGAATGAGAATTATAGTAAAATTTTTAGAATTATTTTTTTAAAATTAGAACTCACATCTGTATCGAATTCTTCCGGTCCACATAAAGGCAAAAGAATGTATGGAAGTATGTTTATTTTTTCCTCCGATAACATATCAAGATGATGATCCATTTCAAAGCAACAATTTCTACCCATCAAAAAAAGTGGTTACATGTGAAATAATTGTAAATAAATGCGAGTTGCCATAATCCAATTTTTTTATTTAGTCGAAGTGATCATTACTTGATGCAAGATATAACACCGCCCCTTCGAATTATGTTTGAATGTTCGGTAAAAATGATCAGCTTTGATATTGGTGCTACATTATCATATGATGCACTTGAAAGAAAAAAATCACGACGTCCTTGAGGTATCTAAGGAATTGTAAGATAACCTACAAAAAAAGCTACAATCAAATATCACTGTATATATTAATACATACCATCGATACATTTGCAAATACGCTAGCTAAAAAATGAAATTCTGCCTCCTTGTTATATTTTCTATTTAAACCTTTAACAAAAACATCAACCAGTTGATCCATCGCTCGCGTTGAGTTAGATAAATATTGTATTGGTTGAACATTTAAAGACAAAATTTTTACACAAATTAGTTCATTTTTTGTAATATTTGATAAAAGCATACATGCTATATCAGCAAGAATTGCTTCCCGATTCTATTATTGTTCATCAACAAATTATCTTAGTCATTATTAATAAATTGATTAATAAAAATTAAGCTTTTATACCGTTATCGTTGTCATCAAATATTTTAAAAAATTTTCATCATTCATTTCTTTGCGAATTTCATCATCACTTGTTAGATTAACAAGAGCTTTATAAGCATTGTGCGCGGTAACCTGAATTTAATGTGAATAACATTTGATTTCCGTTTTCAAATCACAAATTATTTTGTTGAATCAATAGGCTCTTACTGTATTATCCTTACAAAGATTCTTCAAGTCAATTATTGGTCTCATGTTATTACGCTTAAATAATGATTGATATTGAGAAGTGCTAATTGTATATTCCAATAAATTTTTAAGTGCAATTTGACGAACCTGATTCCAATTTTAAGAGGCAAACATTAATATAAATTCAATATGTTCTTATATACCTACCATTTGAAGAGCTTACATCTGAATTATTATCATGCAAAAATTCAAAAAGCTTAAAAAAAAATGAATACCGTAGTAAATTTCTGCAATTATAGAAAGAATAAAAAATTATTTAAAGAAAAAAAAAATTTCTTTACCGATTCCAATTGTTCTTCCATGTATGTAAATTGGAAGGTGTACTGTTCTTGTCTAATCTAATTCAAACAGTATTGATTCAATTCTAAGTTCAAGCTCGTGTGATTATCATTATTCAACGACAAAGCGGCGGCGATTTAGATTCTATGCGACTGCGCTATTAAATGATTACGTTATCGGTATACAAAATCCTCAAATATAAATGTAACTTACAGGGCTTGAACCGTTTACTTCATTTTCTAGTTTCCAAGTTTTTTTCCTTTATACCAAATATTCAGGATATTAAATGAAATAGATATAAATATTTTAAATTAGTAACTGCCACAAAATGACTTGCTCTCACTGTGGAGAAAACAGAATAGAATATGATACTGCTGCTGGGCATGCTTTTTGCCCAAAGTGTGGTTTTGTACGTTACTTGCTAATTTTTTCTGAATTATTTGAATGTCACATAATTGACAAGTTTTGTAAATTTGTAGGTTGTCGAAGAAAGTAAGATCGTTTCCGAGGTTACTTTTGGAGAGAGCGCGTCAGGCGCTGCAATTTTACAAGGATCGTATGTTGGAGCTGACCAAAGTAAAGTCTTTACTTTTCCTTCTAAGTTGTCGCGTATAATTCTTATCATTATGTGTAAAATTCATAAAAATTGTTTATTAGGGAGAGCTAGATCTGCTGGTCCTTATCGTAGACATTCAAGCTTGGATTCTAGAGAGCAAACTATTGCAAATGGTATATATTTATATTTCTTAAAATAAAAATTTATATGTTAATAGTAATATGTCAAATATTTTTACAAGGACGACGGCAAATTCAAGCATTAGCTACTGCGCTAAGACTTGCGGATCATCTGATGGAAGCTGCGCAAAGATATTTTAATCTTGCGATTACCAACAACTTCATCCAAGGTAGAAAGACTCAACTTGTTGTCGCGGCTTGTCTCTACATCGTATGCCGTACGGAAAAGACAAGCCATATGTTGATCGATTTTTCGGACATTTTACAAGTAAATTGTATTCAGAGAAACGGTCGAAATTAAATGAATGATTTGGGTTTGTTGCCAACAAAATCAAGGTATGAGAGATTGTAAATCATATGGTTCATAGCGTGATTTACTGGCAACAAACCCAATTTTGATGTAATATAAGTATTTGGTCGCTTATGAGATTTATTTTATTTAGGTAAATGTTTTCACTTTGGGATCAACATTTTTGAAACTAGTAAGAACACTTCACCTCGTTCTTCCGTTGGTTGATCCATCATTATATATCTCAAGATTCGCGTCCTTATTAGAATTTGGAGAGGAAACTCCAAAAGTAGTGGCTGATGCATTGCGTCTAGTGCAGAGAATGGATCGTGATTGGATGCAAACTGGTAGAAGGCCTGCTGGTATATGTGGAGCGTGTAAGTATTAAATATTAATGCATATTGATTTTCATTACAATTTCTTAGCTTGATAATTCTTATTATAGGTTTATTAATTGCTGCTCGGATGAATAATTTTCAGAGAAGCATAAAGGAAGTTATTGCTGTTGTAAAGACAGCAGACATAACTATTAAAAAAAGGTATGTATTTTTAAGTTATTATTACTATATTATCAATTAAATTTTCTTTTTATATTTTTTATTAGACTTGAGGAGTTCAAAGTTACCCCCACAGGTAAACTTTCTGTACAAGATTTTAGAAATTTATGGCTTGAACAACAATGCGATCCACCCGCATTTACGCGGGCACGAAAGGCGGCAAAAATTGCCAAGGACAAACGGCATGCAATGGCCATTTCTGATTCGACATTAAATGAGACTGGTGAGAATTATAATCAAATAACGACAGGTTCATCAAATGGGGAAATAATTGGTTCGAAAAGAAAGAGGGATCTTAATGATGTGGATGGGGATGAAATTCAATTAAGACAAGGAATATCTGACTTTTATGAGGATAATTCCCAAGCAAAGACTGGAGAATCACAAAATGATGAAATAGCAGGTAAAAAAAGAAAGAGAAATCTCACTGAAGCAGACAAAGAAGGACCTTCAGCGCGTATAGACAAAGGCAAACAGCCGATGTGTGATTTTGAAGCAGAAGTAGACCGTGTATTAGAGGAAGAAGTGAACTCGTTCCTAGGTGACAAATATTTGTTGAAAGTTAGCACCGATTTGGAAGGTGAAAATAAAATTTTGTACCATTTGACTATATTTGTCGTTGTTCCTAAATCTTTTTTTTTTTTGGGTCCATTTAGAAAGAGCTCTCCAAAGTGCAAATTCGGATAGCGAAGATAGTAAATCTGACGCCGATCAGAACGAAGAGCTAGGGTCTGATCTTGATGAAGATGATGAAGTAAAAAACGCCATTTTAACTGAGGACGAAGTCAAACTTAAAACTCAAGTTTGGATGGAGCTAAATGGGGATTATTTGAGGGAGATGGAGGGTAAATATATTTTTAGTATTAAAACTTAAATTTTAAACATTAACGATGATTCTATACAAAAATAGAAAAAAGAAAACAGCAAGAAATCGATCGGCAAAATGGGATTGGAGTTCGTAGAGTAAGTAATGATTTAATAATTGAAACTTACCGACTGTTTAAAATATTATAACGTATATTATATTAAATTTTTTTAATAGCATAAGCGGCCAAGAAAAGGCAGAAATGCTGATCAGATGGTTGCGAGTACACCAGCAGAAGCCGCAAGGAAACTTTTTGAAGAGAGAAATCTATCAAAGAAAATTAACTTTAAGGTGCTGGATAATCTCTTGGAAAACTTAACAGAAAGCATTCCCAACACTCCAACATCATGGCGAGATTATGATCCCACAAGCATAAGTGGCTCAGGAATTGCACGTAGCGGGACTCCAGTAAGCAATAATAGGTGGTCTGACGAGGAAGATTATGATTGGAACCATCAATCTTTAAAGCTAAACAATAAGGATTCGTTAAATAGCACTGCAACTACTCCTGGACTGACGGAAGACGGTGATGATTATGTCGAATATGATAATAATGATATATATGGTAGCGAATCATATGAAAAATATGAAAATGACGATCATAATTATGATAATGAATATGAAGGGGATCCCTATGATGAATCCAATGAGGATGACTATTGAAGATGTTATATTGGATATGTGATGAACAATTGGTTTTTTATTTTGAAGTTTATTGTTTTATTTATTACAAGTTGTCTAAAATTTTAATATACTTATTAGAAATTTCTAAATATCTTGTATTTATCATGTAATATTATACCTACCCTCCGGCTCAACTCAAAGTTCTTTACATATAAATTGGTGCCATGTTGAGTTTCAATCAAATATGAAATTCTTAGAAAGTAACATTGGCAAAATGTAGTTAATCTATGGGTACACAATTATTCTTGAGTGATTACATTATTAGTTAATTGAATTCTATTCAGGGATGAATTTCTGGAATATATTTTATAATACAATCACTATAATGTATCCTTCAGCTTCTTGTTATATATCAAAATACTGTTTCTCGCAACTTCAAGTCACAAGAGAGATGGATTTAAGTTCAAAACACATTTCTATTTGCATAATTTGTCAACAAATACTTTAAATTCAACATTTTCATTGGAATTATCCATCTCGATTAATATCCTATATTTTGAATATAGCATCAAATTTACCTCCTCCTTTTTATTAAGATTAAAAGAATTTAACCTGTTTTATTAACTCAAATGAAATAGTACCTTTTTTTACTTTATTACCTAAAATCTGCTCAAGAATTATTAACATATATGACAAGGAATTCATCCGGAAGGTAGAATTATTTACATCTGGAAGTTTCCATATATAATCTGTCTTTTTATATGATTTAGAAATTAAACATATAAATAATAATATACAGTATAATTTATATAAGTAACAGCAATTCTTAGAAATTGCTATAACACCTAATATTATCTCAAGGCTTTATATTTATTCTCATATGAAAATATATATCGTTTTATTTTACTGTTTAATTATATAGCTAAATGATTATTATATATTATTTTCTCTAATATAATCCTTTAAATATGTATTTATACTGTTTATAATTAATGAAAATATATATGTTGTAGTAAGATACAATTTTTTCAATTCAAGATGAAAAATTTGACTTTCATGAAATATCATAATATTAATTAAAGATCTAATATAAGATCTATATTTTAAAAATATAGTTAAAAAATTTAAAATAAATTAAATATTTATGAAGATTATATTAAAAATTGCCAAAATCATTACAATATATAATTAAAATTACCTATTAGTAAAAAGACGATTTTATTTATTAATATTATTTATTAATATATCTCAATATATGAAGTAATAGATAGAGTCTAACTGTCTAAATGATTCCTTTATTTTATATACTATTTTTATTTATAGATTACATCTAATGATTACTTAAATGTTTATTAATAAATTTAAGTTTAGTATTATGATTTTAGCTAGAAAGTAATGACTTTATAATTATGACGACATGCGTACAGCTCGTGACGATGTCCAATAATAATGGCATTTCGGACTTAATAACGGTTTCGTTCATCCGTTGACTAGTACAAAACCCTTTAATCATTAATCTAATAAATTTATCAATACTTCAATTTTTCTAATATGACGGAATTGAAGGACTATCTTTGAGAATATGGTATATAAATCCTTAATAATGATAGAAATTTTAGAAAGGTCAATGAGAAGAATACTGATAATGATTTAATTGAAGAAACTTAATCAAATTATTACGTATCCTAAAAATTTTTCTACGACGATTAAAAAGTGGTCTCATGTATTTTATAGTCAAATGTTTTAATTCTTTGAAATTTGTCCTTTCCTAGTTTCAATATCTAATGAACAAGCTTATTTATATAGGAAAAATATATGTCTGGTGATGTCAAACAGATGACCTGAGCAAAAAGCAAAAAAGCAAAAAGAAAAATATTTACATCGTATAGTATAATCATGTAAGAGGAGGAGAATGAATTTAATATGACATTACATAAACAATAAAAACTTCATTAATATATTAATTTTTGTCAACTGAATTTTTTTAAAATCCTGGTGGAATTAAAGCTCCTCGGGATTGATGTTGTCCTGGTGGCATAGGTTGTTGTCCAGGCTGTCCAGGTTGTCCGTATGGATTACCTCCTTGACCCATCTGTGAGTTTAGATTCTAATTAGAATTGAAATTTTAAAAAATCACCAATAATATAAATTACCAATTGATCATTTTCCATCTGACTATAAGCTTGATCAAACGCATGCTCTCTCTCGATTTCATAAGCCAATGGCATAAATATGAGTAAAGCTGAAGTGGTCAATATCCAAGCTCCATTTCCTATAAGCCGAGCGCTTCTCACGCCGAGGCTCATAATAGTTGATATTTTGTTTGATATAGACTCACGAGTATCCTCTGGTATAATATCACGTAATGCAAGAACTCTCTCTAAAATTGATTCCTCGAGATCTTCAGAATCTGAATCATCAGTTGAATAATTTGAGTCGTTATCGGAAGGTTCTCCGTCAGAGAAGTCTTCATGACCTTCTATTACCTAATTTGCAAAGGAGCAATACTTAATTAAAGAATTTATGTTTAATACCATGAAGTCTGATGTATACCTCTTCAAGTTTGACCATTATCAAACTATTCAGACAAAAAATATAAGAATGAAGAGTTATATAATGTGTAAGATTCCGTAAACCAGGTCCATATTATTCTGCTGATATTCACCTGATATACTTGATGTGCGTGCTGATCGATCATATATTCTGGTGCAATGACGCGTCCAACTCTATCTTTTAACCGATATAATGCATTCTAATAATTTCCAAAGTATAATTTCTTTAAGGGAGAGGTTTATGTCTAAAAAGTCTAAGTTTAGAAATTCTGGAAATGCGCCATGTATTGTAAGGCGATATGAATTAGTTGGTTATATTTCTTCGTTATTTTTCACGATAAACTAATGAGCAATTGTGTTCAAATATAAGAAACAAGAAAAAAATCGGGTGGAAAATAGCTCGCTGACAAATGCTATTATACCCACTGAAACTACAAAAATTTCCGGTGACACATTCCCCCCGACCCCAACTTCGTTAAAATCGTGTAATAATTTATTACAATTTACGTCTGGTGATATGACTCCGAACTCAATATCAGATGATACGATATCAGATATCTTTAAGGAACGTAATAAATTAATCAAAAATTCTCCTTTACAAGCATTTTCCACGCGTCGATTAAATACACTACTAGATACAACAGAAACGCCATTTACTAATTCGATCCAGACAGATCAAGAGGCTAATGTAATACAGATTGAAGCAGATAAGATTGACGAAGAAATCACACCGGCAGCGTATCCTACTAGCTCGAGGCAAGAGGATGAAAAGAATGAAAGATCAAAAGAATTTAGAGAACAGTATTCTTTGCAAAAATCGATCACTAATAATGTTAACAAAAGAAAACGAAGCAACAGTCATGATAATGTAATATTCATGAATTATATAACCCTGAAATATTTGTCAAATGATTAATTAATAAAAAATGTTTATAGGTGAATGAAGTATCCAAGACTTCCAAAATCCATCCAGTTGATAAACATTTATTGGCCGAACCAGAGTATATGGATAAATTAAAACCAATTATACTTTGTACGTTGAATCAGGTTAATGAAATATAACGATATTGCGTAACATTAGTTAATAGATTTCGATTGTCATAGTTTTGAGAAGATATCATATGAAAGCTATTCATGAAGCCAAAGCACGTTCCCAAACTATCAAGTCTCAAGTATATAATTTTTATCATATCTTATTTTTAATCACAAACACAATTAACAGATTTTATTCATATACAGTTGAAATCAAACATTAATCGATACGACATTGTCCTAGAGATTGATCCAGTGATTTTGTTGGAATTGGATCGTAAATGCACTCACTATATTATTAGTTTATTTATTTAATAATAGATTATCTTTGTAACTTTCCATTTCTTTAGCAATCCTTGGATATCGCCTTCTTAATAATTTTATCGTTACACACCTAGACGAGGACTTGACTGAGGCTTGTCTTTTTATTCTACAGTCGACATTTGGACATGATGAAATACTTATGGCTGAGCAAGTTCGAAGTAAAGTTCGATTAGAATACCTCCCAGAATTACCAGAGTAATTGCATCTTTTATAACATTGGCTTTGCTTAGCTATTGTCTATAAATTTACTTAATTTCCCAATTATTTTTATTTTTTCTCTTTGTTTTTCCTTTTATAAGATATCGAATGGATAAATATTTGATGGCATTTCATAAAACGCGTCACAATAAGGATCCATTATTTGCTATATTGAGAGGGATTGTAGAATGTGTATGGATGCCGACTTTCGTGACGTAAGTGCAAAAGACGTAATATATATCATATACTTTAGGATTAGTTAATCATTATTTCGTGTTAAATTGTTTCAGCTTCAGTCGTACTTTTATTTGTGATAATCCTAAATGTCGCAATAAGAGTTACCTTCACGTAATCCCTAGTGCTCGAACAAATCGCGTAATTAAGCGTACAGAAGACAAGGAATATTTAAATACAAGTACCAGGTATTATTATTAAGTAGTATTGAATAATTGATTTTTTTTTATTTAACTAAAACTTTTTGAATTTCGTAGTGCGACATTACACAATATTGATTTATATTGTAGCCATTGTGAACAAGAGATGAAAGAAATGGTGGTTGATAGGATTTATACAAGTGTGTAAATTGTGGTGATTGGATTTACTTTATTTTCAAACCATTTTTTAAATTTCTAATTTCAAATTAGCTCGTCAACGTATTCGTTTGTCGTGTGTGGATGAAGATGAAAATGATGGTTCATTCACTAATACATTACATGCATTTGTTGAGGGTGAGACAAGAACAAGTTGAAGTATCGTAAATAATAAATATTTAATCTTAATAATAATTTATTAATTCAATCAGATGAGCTGACAAGCAAGGTTGAAATTGGTCAAATTATTGAAGTTATTGGACTTGTAGGAAGACATTTTCCTACAATGGATGGTAAAGCGTGATTACAATTTTTTTTCACCAGTTCTTTCGAAATATATGTTTTTTCCTGACATTTGTTCATTTGGAAAGATGGAAAATATTGCGCTAGATCCTGGTATGATAACGGTTTACACATTGAGGTAAAAAATTTCCCGATCTTTATTTTTCTTAAACATAAGCTAACTGTAATCTATTGTTCTAATAGGTTAATAATATTAAACGAGTAACTTTGGTAACTTTTTTATTATAAAAAAAAAATTTTTATTTCGATCGAATATTGGTTTATTTACTTTTAAGCGTTTCATATTATAGAACGAAGAAAGAAATGCAGAGAGGTTTTCGCTTAGTGACGAACATCGTTCATATGTTTTGCCAGATGTTATAGTTAGTCTTCAAAAGGGTAAGATATTAATAGGATTGCAATGAAGTTAAAATATATATTAATTATACTTCTCTAATATTAGCAAATTTATCAGCGTGGGCGTTCACTCAACGGCTTGTAGACATATTTTGTGGTAGATTATACTGTCTTTATTTAAACGGAAAGCGTATTAGTTGAACAAACTGACGTATTATTTTTTTAGATGACATTTCTCCTCGGCCTACGTGTAGAAAAATCAAGTTATTTATGTTACTAAGGTTGAGAATACGCAAAATTACATTATATCCGATTCTTGCAAATTTTAATTAAGGTTATAGTCTAGTCGCGCTTTCTGAACAACAGTCAAAGAAACAAGGAATTTCACCCAGCGTTCATCTCATGATTTTGAGTGATGGACAGAATCCTATCGTACCACGAATGATTAGACGAGTATCAGAATTAAAAAGGTTCCTAAATAAAACGCTTAGAATATGAGTATTTCTTTGCATATTTTTAAATATTTTTTTTTTAGATATGAGGAATGGACTCATGGTTTAGATAAAAAGAAACAACCTCTTTTTGTCATACAAGATGGTCAAAATATAGGGAAAGAATCTTTCTTTGAATGTATGATATTATATTTTTCATATGTTTTCTTTTTATCTTATTTTTATTATAAATAACCTTATTTTCCTCTTAGCTACAATTCTCGCAAGATCAAGAGATGGTACGCTTTTGGTTAATTTGGACACTTTGAGTAAAAAAGATGTCGAGTCATTAAGACTAGGTTGTAGATTTTAATCTAGGTGGCTTGACTATTATTCTTCCTTTAACTTATTGTGTCTTTTGTGATTGTAACTTAGTTATGAATAAAAGCTCAAAGTTATCGGTGCAAAATCGTCATCATCGAATTGGAATCAATTTGAATACTTGTTGCTGGGGATGGTCTGTCGCGAAATCTTCTAGCAAAAGAATGAATAGTAACAAAGGGGGATCTTCAGATGACGAAGGAATTGATGTAAGTTTGTAAGTTAGAAATTAGAATTTTTTTTATATTTATTACTAACATAAACAATTTTTACTTAGAGAATATGTAACGATACTCTTAAACCAATAATTGAGTAAGTGAGAGATATACTATAATAATGACTATCTTTTCGGAACCTTTTTAAAAACTCTCTTGATACGTCACAGCACATTTGACCTTGTTATTCATCTCAATGAATCAATTGATTCAGAATCAAGTGAACTTCTTGTAGATCATTTGCTTGAACAAGCCACTGTAAGTTTGGAAGAAAAGAACCATAAAGAAAAGTTGTCTACACTGGCATTTGTAGAGTTCAAGCAGGTATGGAAGAAAATAATATAACAAAACTCAAACAAATGACTGAGTGCATTCTTTACTTTCCTTATATAGTTCATTGCAGTGGCTAGCAACACTGAAGTCAAGTAAGTAGTATCTTAATTTATCAAATGAATTTCGGTTTAATCAATGTTTTGTATTAAACTAGATTATCAACGGAATGTAAGGATATCTTACGTAAATATTTCTTAACATGTCGTAAACTCAAAGGAGCAAGTCAAGGATTCGCATCTTCAACTTCTTTACTTGAGGTAATTATTGATGAATTAATTTTAGTAGTAAAGTCATGAATTTGAAGATAAACATCGGATTTTATTTATAAATAGTCCCTATTACGAATAGCGTGCTGTCACGCCAAGGTAATATACAGTTCATCTATACATATATAATAATATCTATAACTCATCTAAATTTATTTCTAATCTACTAAAACGGTATGCAAAGTTGTGTCTTCGTAGTGTTGGAAGCGTAGATGATGCATTAGTTAGTATATTAGTGATTGAGGAAACTTTAGTGGCAAAATACGGATCATCGGCTTCTGTGCTTGGATTTGTCCCATTACCAGATGATCAAGAGAATATACATAAATTATATGCAAGTGACATTGAGCCTACGTTCCCTGATAATGAATCTACTTCTACTGATTATAGTAGCATGGATCAATCCCATCAAACGAATATCAATGTGGTATGTATAAATTAGACGTCAAAGATATCGTAGGCACCATAATTGGACTATTGGAGGATTACAATAACTGTGTATTATTTTATTCATTTATTTTTATTCATTTAAGTTGGGTGAACCCAATAATTTAAGTCTTGAAGAGAGAATGTTTTGTACATTAGTACAAAATATATCGAAAACAGACGATGTTGAAATGGCAAAAATGTATCAACATTTAACACGCATTTTGCATTCATTTGGTGACGGATGTGGAGATAACCATAGGGAATTAGCATGGGACCAATTAGAATTGAAATTGAATGAATAGCTTTGATTTAATCTAATATAGTCACCTAATAAATATATCCTTATTAGTTTAAGATTGTTGGTTATTAATAAAAAGAACGCAAAAATAAGTCACGTGAGCATATAAAGGACTGATTATCAAACAAGATACTTTCAATTTTCGTTATGTCTTCAAATGAACTAGGTAAAATACTTGTAAATTATTTTCTATAAAAATGTAACGCGGCTCAGTTTTCTACAGTTTTTGTCACAGGTAATAAAAAGAAACTCGAAGAAGTTCAAGCTATTCTAGGCCCGAGTATTAATCTAGTAAATTATAAACTTGACTGTATGTACAACGTATAATAATACTTGAAAAAAAAATCCCCTTTATTAACGCGAAATTATCATTTACTATGAAACAGTAACGGAAATTCAAGGAACAGCGCAAGAAATCTCAGCTGACAAGTGTCGTAGAGCTTCAGTTGAAGTGCGTTATATATCTGTTATAAATTAGTTTCTTGTATTTATTCTAACGTTTCTTGTGCATAGTTGAATGGACCTGTAATAACAGAAGATACGTGCCTTTGTTTCAATGCATTGGAAGGTTTACCTGGTCCATACATGTATGTCTTTGTTACAATAATTTCGTTTATAATTTTAGTGTTTTTTTTCTTTTTATAATAATTCTAAATTTTATTTTATTAAAATAGAAAATGGTTCTTGGATAAATTGGGACACGATGGATTATATAAAATACTGGCAGGATTTGAAGATAAATCTGCATATGCAATATGTACATTTGCTTATTCTTCAGGACCCGATGCTGAACCTATATTATTCGAGGGTCGTACTGACGTGAGTTTAAAATATTTTCAGTTATAGATTATATAATTTATATAATTTAGTAATCTTCATTTTACTTATAGGGTAAAATTGTACCAGCGCGTGGACCTAAAAATTTCGGATGGGATCCCATTTTTCAACCTGACGGATTTGATCAAACGTATGATGAAATGCCAAAGAGTGTCAAAAATACAATATCTCATAGGTATAAAGCGTTAAAAAAATTAAAAGAATTTCTTGCTTCTCAAAATACTTGACTGAAAAATAAACAATATAATGTAATCAAACATCATAGCCAATACAACTTCTAATGTTTTTTGCAAGCTGATATATAAAAAGCCCCACAGACTTTCTTCCAAAATAAGAATAAACCCATCCCACGCATGGCAAAGTTTCCACTAAATCCTTTATACTCCAAATATCTTCATGTCTAACAATCTTATTTTGTCCGTTAAATTCCCATTTCGTGATTGTTCTTAATTCAATTTCTTGACGAAATAATATTGGTTTCAAAGGTAGACGATATTTAATGAGTGCATCGACACTAACAATGTGGTGATTTCCAGCTATCATTGAATCAGTTATCGAATATATTTCTGCAGTAACGGAGATGAATATAGTGGCCGTGAAAAAAAATTGGCGGATTATTTCGTCTTGGCCTTTTACAAAAATGATTGGTTCCTCCAAAACTACAAAAAAAAACCTTGAGAAAAACGCGAGAAAATTATCATGCAACAAATTTATTAACTCACCAGCATTAGTGTCGTAATATGTTCTAATTATATTCTGTTGTTCATCTTTTCTCTTTGAATACAATATCGCGTGAACTTCTCTTGCTATATCTTTTAAGTCTTCACTCATATTTTATCCAAATTATAACTTGAGGACTAAATTTAAATTCACCGAAGATAGATAATTAATTTTGTCATATGATGATAAAAAATTCTTAGATGTATTGCTTGAAAATCAGAAACAGAGCAATAAATTTCTGTTAGATTGTGATAGACACATATTTATCAACTTGAAAGCAATTCTAAATTTGATTTTATTCTGATAAACTGCGCCACAAATTTGAAATTCCGGATAACAATCTGGTAAATCAAGATTTTACTTATTTTATCCACGGCTTTTATCTTCGATCCGGTACACCCGTCCCAGTGTAACAAATACTTTACGATGGAACTAACCGTCATAGATCACGTGAGCGTGAGGAACGCGTTTTTACAGACTTTTTTGAATGGTCTATCATTCTATCTATATTTGATGTAATCTTATTATGTATTCCGATTAAATAAATAAGTAAATAAAAAAATAAGTTGTCTGATACCTATTTGTCACCGCCCGTAACCCGTAAGTATTGCAAATTGTTTGAATGCCAAAAAATGCAAAAAATGGTACGAAAGTGGCGCATTGGTCAATTAAGTGGCTTCAATGTGACAGTTATGCCACGGGCCATCTGCCAATCAAATGTCATTGAAGTTCATTTCTTTCACCTTTGTGATTATATTTACTATATATTCAGTTTTTACTTGTTTCTACTTTTGCTCTTTATTGTTGGGGCAAATACTTGGAAGAAAAAGATTGGCTCTTTATTATTAATCCATTCAAAACTTACTCCAAATTGTAAATTTTGATCGAGGATTATCCAGAAAATGATTTTTGTTTATTAGAAATGTGAATGTGTTGTAATAAACAGATAGATGATGATATTTTGTTTCTAGGGTTAAATTAAAAAAAGTATTTCGGCCATGTAGATATTTCTATATGTAGTTATGTTTGCTTTGGAAATGCGAAAACCCCATAAAATTTATAAACTAAATTTCCACATGCAGTAATGAGAATCCAGATCAGCTATTAAGAATTATTATTAATTCACTTCAGGAGGCAAGTTTAAACTAACTTTTGACAACTTTTATTAAACTAATTTTGATGTCAAATTTATTCTCGGGATACAATTAATATACCTAATTAATAAAAAATCGTGGCTTATATAAGATTTTTTCTTTATTTCTATTGTAACACAAGTTGTGACAGATTTCCCTTATTTAAAACTTTCGGAGTATATTTGCATAAGTAATTAACGTCGCTTCAATAATACTGTTTCTGTTTCTTACATTTTAAAGTTATATGTCCTTTGTTTTACTCCTTGCAAACCATAACCTTTATCTATAAACAAACTATCTCTCTGTTAACATATTAAACAGCACGCAAGGAATAAAACAACTTAATAAAAATTTAACCACTTTCTTTTTATTCCTACAACTTTTGTTCGCAACCTTGTGATTATTTTTGCAAACCTTGCAACGTAAGAACTCTATTAACTCTTATTATGAGCCACATGCTTGCAGATTACGAAGCAGTAAGTGTTTTTTAGTGTGTTCTTGAAGTTTCTTGTGTTTTCTACTTTAAGCCTTGTATGTAAAAGAATTTATAAAAGCTTATTTTGTGTTCGGAGTTACATATTATTTCCAATATAAAGAGAGTTTCTTTGCTTCGACAATTACTTTTCCTTCGTTCTTGATATTTATTATTCTGAAAACTCAATTACCAAGTACAACGACATATAATAAACGCAATTAGTAACAGCCGTAGTTTAAAACCCATATAAGTTATTAACTCCTTCCCCTTTTTTGTGCTCCAACAGAACAACGATATCAACGAGGTTAATGAAACAAACGAGATAAACGAAAACAATACTGAAAACTATACCGAAAATAATACTGAAAATAATATTGAAAACACAATTGAGGATATCGACCCACTCCTCTCACCACCTTATGCAATGTCCCCAGGTATAATATTATTAGTATTTCGACGCTATAACTCTATCCTTTTTTTCGTTTAATATATTTCTTATTTACCATTACAGTAGTGACCGAAAACGAAAAACAAGTTTTTATCGACGAGGTGACTATTTAAAATTCATTAATATTCAAAACAAATATTTTGTCATTAATTAAATATAAAATCATTAATTTATTTATATTAGGTCAACTCCATTAACGATACAGAAACTCTTAGACGCATGCTTATACAAAAAGAGCAAGAAAAAGATCACATAGTGAGCAATTTAGACAAAGCAGCACGTGTAGGTCTAGCTATATCAGAAGAAAACGAAGAGCTAAGAATGAAGCTTGATTTTTTCACGCAGGCCGAAGAACAGGCGTATATGAAACTTTCCGCTTTAGAAGAGGAGAATAGAAAATTATTTTCTAAAGCTTCTCGTAGCAATGAACTTGCTTCTCAGTTAGCTGCTAGTGAGGAACAAAATAAAGTTTTGCGCGAACATAAAGCTTTTCTTCAAAAAGAACTCGAGACTGCTCGGAGAGAACTAAAACGATTCCGTAAGGAATTGGATAATCTTACCGGTCAAATGAACGATATGACCGAGGACATGTGGGAATCACGAAACAAAGTAAGCACGTATGCCAAGAAGTTAGGTAAATATCTAAAATTTTACAATTGTGAAAATCCAATATGAATTTACAATCCTCAATATTAAATATCAATTTCGCTTTAATTTTCAGTGGATGTCGAACAACATCTTGCAGATACGCAAGAAATGAATGTTAATCTTTCCATACAATTGGAAAAGTCGTTGAGCTCTCAAAAAGTATCTAGTGCAACAACTACTCAGATTGTTAAAATGATTCAAGCCGACCTTGGTAGAGTAAGTATCAAATTTTTCAATAAAATTAAAGTTGTAATTTTATAGGTGTTTATTTTTTAATCCATTTTTTAGGTTGTTCTCGAGAATGAGCATTTACGTTCTAGCATCAGCGAGTTGGAAAGTCGCCAAGTGAAATGCGAGGGCAAATTAAGCGAAATGATGATATCAGCTCAAGAATATGCGCATCTTTTAGAGGAAGCACAAGATACCATACATTCATTAAGTGAGACTCGCCTCGAATCTGATATCGAAAATTTAGAGATATCACCTGGACGAAGCCGTGGACATACCGACATCGTCAAGGTAAGTTATATACATGTTTTATTTAATTTATCATTATATAAATAGCTATATTAAAATTCGATATTTTAGGAGTCTCCACCATTGAAAGGCACGCCCTTCTCAACGGAAGTTGAGCAACATTTGGAAAAGACCATAGAAGAAAGACTCATTTCACAAATGAATCCGACCCGAACTCATTTTCCACAGGGTCATAACACATCTGTAGATGTAAAGAAAGCGGCAGCAGGCCTAAAATATTTGTTATCTGCACGCGAAGTAGAAGGGAAAGATGGTGGTAAAGGCAAAAGTCCAGAAAGACGACCATTCGGTGGCCATGTACTCCATTCTTACAACGTTCGATAAATGAAATTTAGTTTTGTTTCGAGTAATTCATAAACAATCTCGAAAAAAAATGGGCGGATTAAAAGAAGACATTTTTATTATTTTTTTTTTATATATCTTTTTTTATTCTAAACATTATACTCATTATTATAATTTTTACATTTAGTTATATACAATTACGATCTATTATTATCATAATGGATAAGTCTTTTAAATTAGAAATTATGACTTTTGAATTAATTATAACGTGTTTTTCATGTGATTCAAGTCAGTTATATAGACGCACGCAAATGATTTTGTTTATTTACATTTTAATTCGCTTTTTTTGTTCATAATTTGTACATATAAAATGCCTAAGCGGTAATGATTGCCTTTTTTCCTTTCAACAACACATTACCCTAAAAAAAAAAGACATTTTAAAGCAGAACTTCTCATTAGCAAAAAAAAAAAGTTATTCTTATATATATTCATTTCTATCTAGGAATTCTTTTCTCTCTCTATATATGTTTGATAGAGTATTAAAGAATAAGGAAAATTATAATTCAGTTTCTCTTTGATCTCAAAGGTCATATAATTATTAATTGTTAAATCACAAGTACATCCCGCATATAATAAGAGAATGGTATCTTTATTTATTACTTATTTATTATTATTATTATATTTTATTTTCATCAAAAAAATTCCACATAGTGATATTTAGCGTAACAATTTATTTAAAAAATTAGTGATAGTTTAATATATTCAATGAAGAAGCATTTTAATTACAAATAAAAAAAATTCAATTTATTTTCATTATTAATTGAAAAGTACTAATATTACAACGTACATCCTACCAGAGTTTAGGAGTTATGCACTTGCACGTGATAACGTTAAACTTAACTCCGTTAATATCGTTCACACATGATGCGTAAGTTAAGGATGCTTGCCAATTTAAATAGTTCTATTTGTTCGTTATTTACTATTAAATCAGCACTACATAAGAAAGAAGAAATTTACGACCACACTGGCAAGACAAATGTAAATACTGAAATTTTATCACATTTGCTTTCAAAACTTCGGGAAAATTTTTAAAAGAAAAAATTATGTTTATATGGAAGTAGTGATATCCTTATCCCGATCGAGATTCTCTATTGTTACACGAATCACGAATTAAAGCATGAAAACGTTTTTTGCTTTGACGATCAATACAAAGTGTCTGTCTTTGAAATAAATGAAATAAATACACAAATATAAATACATATCGTACAAAATATGGTGACCTCATCAAGAAGACCATCCACGAGGCGATCCACTTCTCTTTATAGTCGATCTAGACAAGAAATACCGCCAAAAGTATATGGTCCACCTTCTGACGTTAGTGAACTAGAATCTGACGAATCTGTACCTTCTGAAGAAGACGAAGAAGAAAGAAATAAGTTAGAAGACGCTACATATCAGTCGGAAGAAGACGAAATGGACGAGGAACAGGATATGATGGAAGAAGAGTTGGAAGAGGAAGAGGAAGAAAATGAACAGGTTGAAGAACCTGAGGAAGATATTGAAGGGGAAATAGAGCAAATTGATGACATAGATGTAGAAGTAGAAGAAATTGATGATGTTGATGATGCTACTCCTGTCGATGATGAAGAAGATTTTGAGGCAGAGGAGGAAGAGAGCGACGAGGTGGATGAGGATGAAGATGAAGAAGAGGATGAAGAACAAAGTGATTATGAAGAGGAAGTTACTACCAGAAAAACAAGAGGAGGATCACAACGAAGTCAGCAAGGTCAAAAACAACAATCCTCATCTTTAAAAGGAAAACTAAAAATACAACCTGAAAAACAACCATCTTCAAGGAAAAGAGGTATGTGATGTGCAATCAAAATTTATGATTTACATCAACTTTGACATTACTTTACTAACACTGCAATGTTAATTTACTGTTTGTAAATAGGAAGGTGTGATAAATTGAATATTTCTTTTTGACAAATTTTATTATTTGATTAATGATATTAACTTTAATGAGACGTTACTTCGTATAGCATTGCTGAACCGTCTTCATATGGTCACCAAATACTTACAAAAAGACAGAGAGCAAAACTTAATGAAAATTACCAGCAGGATTTACTACAGCTTCCAATGGGTAATTCATACTTTTTATTTGTTAAAAGATATATTTTTTTATTTATTTTATTTAATTAATTTAGAACCAATGAAAAAGAAACATATGACAGAAGAAGAAATTGCTTTAAAAAAATCTGAAATCGCAAGACGAAGGAAACATCAGAGTATACAGCGCGCTGAACAGGACAAGGTAAATTTATATTTTGAAAATTTTGACGATAGTTTTTCCAGGAAATAAAGCTTATTATTTTATGTAAATGAAAGATGGACACTATAAATCGCCTCTTAAAGAAGCAAACTACAAAGAGACGAACAAAGGATCAAGAAGATACGGATAGTGTACATAATGACACTAATAGTTCTAGTATATTGCCACCTTCATCGTTTCATTATGTGAACAATGCCGAGGGAGCAACTTTGTCAATTCCAGCAGGGGTTGAAATACCAATACGGTTTGGAAAGGGTCCAAAGTAAGAATTCTTAACAACTATTTTTTGTCTTTAATTATATTTGGTGAAATTAAATATCTTAATTTATTTGTTATAGATATCCTCCTCCTATACCAGATTGTGCGTTCCCTGGCTGTAATGTTCCAAAAAAATATCGTAGTGTCAAAACCTTTGAATATGCTTGTTCAATGGATCATTTACATAAATTAGAATCTAGAGGATAGATATTAGCAAGGAATTTTACGAATGGTTTAATTCTGCTTAATTACTTCATATTTGACTTCCGGGATGTCATTTAATTTAAAAATTTACATTAAATAGCTTTAATATATTTAATATTAACATTGTAAAATAATTATTTAAATGTGAAGATTCAATTATAACTTTAAATTAGAAAGCATTTATAATGAAAACCAATCCAGTACTTTTTCTCCAATATCCACGGTATATAGTACAAAGGAGGTATTACAGCATGGGGGCAGGACAATCCATAATTATGGGACGAATGTATAGGTAGAAAAACACGTAACGTAATTGTTAAGTCGGTTTGATTGATTTAGCAATATAAAATCAAATTTTAATATTCGATATATGCATAATAAATAATTCTTATTAGTGAATAAATGAAATAAACAAATAACAGTTTATTTTCCTAAGTTGATGTTATTCATGTCTAGAGATATGATTAAGATATGATTACAAATTAAGAAAACATCGTGATCAGAAAGAATATAGACTTTGATCTTTGAGTAAGCATCATTGGTGTCTAACCTCAAAACAGTCGTAACTCCTTCACAGTGAATTCGCTCTCACTAGATTCGTGTACGTAGCAAATTGTAGAAATTTTAACTGCCACTGTATTAAAATCTTTTTTTTTCTTTCATTCGTATAAGTACACAAAAAAAAATATCAAGTTTTATAACGGTTTTTTTCATACCTTTTTTTATAATATTTCGAAAAGAATCTCATTCCCATTCTCATGAAAAAATTCTCATGAGGCTTCAAAAACTTCACAAGGATACAAATTTTTTAACTACACTTCCTTATATAACATATTTTACATTTTTCATTGTCACTTTGCGCTTACAATAGTAAAAAAATGAGATATCTCGACAAGTAACAAAGATAGTTAAAAAAAAAAAAAAAATTTCACGAAATGATAATCTTATTTATTTATTAATTTATTTTATGGATAGTTAGGAGAACTACATTGATAATTTGTAAACTAATTTAAAAAATTATAAAAAAACACAATATCGAACTTCACTCAATTAAAATCAAGCCCTAACTAGAATTATAAAAGAAACTATCAAGAAACCCGACCGAATCAAGACAGTAAAAAAAAGAAAAAAATATAAAAGGACTATTCTAGCTCGTAGGTAAACTAAACCATAAAAACGATCGAACGTTGAGGAAAGAAAAGTAGAAGCCTCTGCAGACGACGAACCATTGTACGATAATTTTCCAATCAGGAATACTATGAATGTCAACACACGTGAATTTTGAATAGTCTGCATGTGATCGATGTAATTGATTTAAATCCAAATTCAAAACTTTCAATGCAATCAATATGATTTCGTCCGTATCAGAACCTCCATACAAGTTAAGAGCAAACTTGACACCATATCAAAGAATTACAACCACATGCTTGTTAGGAGGAATATGGGGTTTTATATTGGGTAGTCGAGAAGGAGCAAAACGGTCCTCCTTGCAGTATTTAGCAGAACGTGCACATATATTACCAAAAACCAAAGAACAGTGGTACTTATATCATAGAAATAAAAATTATAAGGTTATATTAGGAGCGGTAAAAGTTGGCTTACCTTATGCTGCAAAAATGAGCTCATTGTGTTTTCTGTATAGTGGTTTAGAAACTACGTTGGATTTTATTAGAAAAGAGAATGATATAATTAACAGTTTAATAGCCGGTATTATAAGTGGTACGATTGTTTCCGGAATATGTAAGTAAATTTTGATTTTTTTTTTTTTGTTTAGCTTTTTAACTGATTAACGAACTTATTTGCAATTTCTTAGATCAATTACCGAAGCAAAGTACAAAATATGCACTTATGGTTGGAGCGGGTATTGGTTTAATAACTGGAGGATTACAAGATGTCATAAGATACAAACAAGGCCAAAAAATTTGGTATTTAGAAAGGAAATAGAATGTTACTTTAATTAGGCAATGTATATTATGTTATTAAAAATATAATAAAATATGATATTGCTCGATTTATTTAAGAGCTAATGAGACATGTAGAAACACCGTAATGATCTGTAAGAATAAATATAAAATATAATTAATCATTTCATCAGAACAGAGATAATAAGGTTTTTTTTAGTAATTTTATATACCGGATAATTGAGTGACTGAAGCGTCACTCACGAAAAATTCTTCAACACGAGTTCTCTGAATATCGATTGTAACTCGTTTTTTTGATTGATCTGTGCCAATCAAGAGGACGTAATCCAAACTGGCCTGAGCAAGCAAATCATCTTTTCCTGTTAGAACTGTTTCTTTTGGACTTACAGTTCCATCATCAGCAACAATTACATCACCAAATGTGATTGGATGATGTTCATACCGCTCTTTAAGCACATCTTTTACACCAACTATTTTGGAATTATTATATATACGTTTATCAGGAGAAGCTGATGCATCAATTTGATTAGCTTCAATTCCTTCACCGCTCAAAATTTTAATCATGTTTAAATATTCATCAGTATCTCCGTTGACATTAGAAGAATCAGGCTGTGGACGTGAATTAACGTTCAAGTCACCAACTAGAATAATCGGTTCTTCGGGTAATGCATTTAAAGTACATTTATCAATAAATTTACGAAGAAGTGATAATTGTTCCTGACGAACAAGTACGGATTTATCCGTTAAAGGTGGTGCTGATACATAAGAAGCTTGAGTATGGGTCATAAAAAGATGGATAACGTTGTTTTGAGCCAACTCTATTTTTGCATACAATGCTCCTTTATCAGAAAATCTTGAACCCATTAATATTTAAAATTAATATTTATTAAAAAAATATAAATAATAAAAAGAATTAATTAATAAAACGTACCTATCAGAATGAACCCCACTTGGATATATAAGTATATCTCTTTCTTTAATAGGGAACTTGCTCAGCATAACTAACCCGCCATCAATAGCTAAATTAAACACTGTGTTGCAAGGTGAGGTCAGAGAATAATTAAACCCTTCTTTACGAGCAGCTTCTAATAGTCGAGTACGACGACTACTTCCAAATTGAAACATTTCTTCCAAACATATTATATCATATTCTTTTAATACATTCCTAATAAAATATTCAAGTCTAAATTCTTTATAGTCGCTAAAATTATTTTTAATAAGTGGGGGTCTCATAAAAAAGTTGTATGTCAAGAGACGCGGCTCATTTCTTGATTGAGCACCACTTTCATCATTTTTATGAGCATTAAACATTATTTCTTACTAACAATAAAGAACATTTTATACATTTGATAATTTGATATTAAATTTGATGCGGATTTCTAAAATGGTAGAACAATATCTACATCTTTCTACATACTCTACTCACGTGATCTTAAAAATAAGAAATATGATTCATTTTCACCAAGTGATATATAACGAGCATCAGTAGTATAGCGGTAGAATACTCGCCTTCCAAGATACTTGAGAAAGCGAGTGGCCCGGGTTCAACTCCCGGCTGATGCAGTTAAAATACGAAATTTTTTTTTCGGTATCACTTTTTTCGTGTAACTATCGTATTAGTTACACGGATAAAAGAGTTAAAATTTTTTTTGCTTGGTGATTTTAATTTTTATAGTGTGATGGCCGATATACCGGAACCAGATTTATATATTGGTATGATATTTATCTATCTAGTAACATGAAATCTTTTTATTAACAAAATTTCGCTTAGATTATAGGGTATTTTTATCAAATAATTTTGATCCAAAGGAATACGCTAATTCTGCAATTAATGCGACATCGGATGGGGATGGAGATATCACCATATCGCTTGCAAAGTTATCATTTAGTATAGATAATTTAAATAAACAATTACATGATCAGGTTTGTTCCGTTCGTCGAAATAAATGCTGATATTTTTATATTTAACTGAAGTTTTCTATTTTAATTGTAATAGGTTACCTCTCATTTTGAGGATTTGATATCACAAGCTGCTGGAACAAGAGATTTGGAAGTTGTGTTGAATACCGTTAAAGATGGAATTCAATCACTTAACACATCGTTAGACAGGTAAACGTGTATATAATCAGTTAAAGATCAGAGATAAAATGCTGACGATACTTAGCTTAATCTTTATATAATAAATAGACTTAAAACAAAAATATTCGCGCCTTACGCGCAGATAAAGAATTATACTGTTCAATTGGAAAGATTACAAGCTGCATCAGAATTATTACGTAATGTCGAAAGATTCTTTTATTTATCAAGATGTTTAGAAGGTCAATTGTCTAATATCGATAATGAAAAGGAAAAAGGAATTGAATATACAAAGGCTGCTTTGAACCTTGGTGAATTAGGTGTGAAATTATGGAACACTCTTTGTCTCCTAATTTTCATTACAGTTTTGATTTTAATATTTATTTATGTAATTTACCAAAGAGATTCTTTTACGAGATGTAAATTTTGATGGAATTGAACCCGTTCAAGATCAATTACCAGTAATCCATCAAGCCAGAAACAATATAACTAGAGAAGCACAGCGATTATTAGATGATGGAATAAATAAACAGGTAAAATGCTTGCTACCTAAAATTCTTGTATTATACAAGGATAGATCATTGCCTCAGATTTATTACTTGAAAATTTGAATTTCCATATAGTGACCAAAGAAGATTTCGATGTATTATCTTCTGATTCTAGCTAGTAAATCCAATATAAATACTGGAAATTTCAACTCTGTAATACCCAAACTTAACGAGAAATAGTTGAATATTTGGGGTAATTTACATATATATTTTTTAATTGATTAGAATGGAGCAGATATCTCTCTTGGTCTCCAAATTTTTCATAATCTCCATGAAATGGGAGAATATGTTTCCAAATATATTGATGACATATCTAGAAAGTTACTGGATCAGATGAAAAATGCTGTTGATGTAACATCATTACAAAAAGAAGTTAAAGGTACATTAGGTACATTGTAAGATTTATTAAAATTTCTATGATTTACAACTCCTTCGATTTATAGATTCTGGTGTTATTCCAATAAAAGGGATTCGCCGGTTGGGATTAGAACCATCAACTGGAACAACAACATTATGGGCCACAGCATTGTGGAAACGTATGGAAGCATTGATGGATGAAATTGGTGAAAGCTGTAGTAAGGTCTTTTTTCCTCGGTTTTTTTTTGTGTATTTCTTCAAAATTTACAACGGGATTTAATTAGAATGCAATTTTATTTTTTATAGATTTACATGTTAGAACGTGCGTTGGCTAGCGAAAAAGATACAATAACTCATAGCACATATTTAGATGAAGTTTCTAAGGTTAGTCAAGCTTTTTTTTTTCTTAATTGAATATTAATCTAGAGAATTCCGTGAAATAATTCCGTGAAATAATTGCGTTTACTTCTTTTAGATATTAGATGGGGGATTGGTTCAACATTTTTGGAAAATTCTTTCTTTAAATTTTGAAAAAGAACTAAAAGAAGCCACCAAAGGTAGTTTATTTCTTAAAATTCTTAATTATCTAATTATCTTTAGAATTTACAAATATATATTTCAATATTTATTCAAAGGATCAACTTTTTTACAACAAACATTTGTCGGTGGATATCCGAAGCTATTAAGGTTATTCCATGAGTTTTTTGCGAAACTTGAAAAACGTTGTGATCTAAAGTTGGATGGTGATTTTCAAAGGCAAGCAGAAAAAATCAATTAATTTTAATTAAAAGAGATTTGAAGTCCTTGAAATTTTTTAAATCTGATGGAGATTAGTTAAAATTTAACAGCCAGGAAACTTTAGTTATGCTTCATAGTATATCGAGTTTTGAAGCAGGTTACTTGGCGCGTTCAGTGACGAGAATGTTTGATCCAATTAATATGGCATTTCCCACTGGGTTATCTCGTGCTCCCCCAACTAAAAGTGACGTTACAAATATCATAAGAGCTATTTCCAGGTAAAGTAGCTCATTTTTATCCAATATATTCATCCTTGACCTAATTCAATTAATTTTTGTTTAGTGAATTGGAAGTAGCCAAACTTGATTCAAATTTGTTACGATCAGTGGCAAAGAATGTTGTTAAAGCTTTGAATTTGTATTGTGTCAAGTCTGAATCTATGGTATTTATAAATTATATTTAAGCTCTCAGAAATAATGATTCATGACTGAATTATAATTTAATGTAGGTTACAGTTGATGCAACAGCATATCAAATATTTGGACCTGGTCCAGCCACCGCCTCACAAATTATAAATCTTGAACTTGTTACGACTTTGTATCAATTACATCAATCAGTTTGGAAAATATTAGAAGAATACCCTGATGCTGTTACTGAAATAATATTTGATGCTGTTGAGGTAAAAATTCATTATATTTCTACTTTTATGTTTTTATTTAAGAAAAAAGAGAGAAATTACAAATTACAAACATTGGTTTAATAATTGGCTTAGCATACAAGGAAAGTAATGCTTAATATAGTTGATCCATTGATACAGCATATTAAAAAGGAGTTAGAAAATACATTACTTAAAATTCATCGGGAAGATTTTTCAAGGTTAGAAAATAGTTATTTTCTTTATTTATTTTTATACCATGCAACTGACAAACTTTTATATGTTTAGGCAATCATCAAAAAGTTTTATACTTGGGCAACAATCTGAAGGACAATGTAGCACATATATGATTGAACTCTCAAATAGAATCAAACATATACAAAATCAATATTTATCAAGAATTTCTTGTGGATTAGAAAGTAAAGAATGGTAAATGTAAAATAATTGTAAATTCAAGAAAGTGATATTTTATAATACTTATAATTCTTCAATTAACTTCTATTTCACGTTTAAATAGGATTAAAGGATTGGGGAAAAGAATACTTAGTTTTTGGTTACTTCATGCTAGTTTTGTACGACCATTGAGCGAAACAGGAAAATTGAAATTGATAAGTGATATGTCACAATTGGAATATTCTCTAAATCAATTGCTTATTGATAATGGACTAACTTTAGCAGATTTAGATGAAGAATATAAAGCACTAAAATCTTTTAGGTTAGTTTTATATTAAATTGTTTTAAATTGTTAACCATAAGTTTACACTGAAATACTAAATTTATTTTCTTTATTTTATTTTTTTCTTCCAGACAATTATTATTTTTAGATAATTCTCAATTAACGGCAGCACACCATACAGCATCACTTCCACTTATAATATTAATTCATCATATTATTGTTCGTTCATCTTCAAATAATAATAATTTGAGCATATTACAATTACCACATAAAATTTATGGATGGTCGGAACTAGAATACTCTAAGTGGCTTGATGAACATAATGAAGATGAGGCTATTGAGTTAATTAAAGGATGTTTAAGACCAAGTGCAGAATTAGAAACAAATAAAGAGGAGGAATTAGTTGAGGAAAAAATGGTTAGAAATTTATTAAAAGAAAGAGCTGGAATTGAAGTTTAATTTAATAACATACAATTTCAAAAAAAAAAGGCAAGAAAAAAAAAAAAAAATATTAATAATCTAATATATAATTATCGTTTTTAGGCTTTTTTATATTTAATAAATTGAATTTGTTTTAACAATGTTCCAATAATTGGTTTAAATATAAAATATACTAAATTTAAGATTTCTGATGACATAAAAAAGTAACCGCTGACTCTATAGTGAAAATTATATTACTTATTACAAAATTGTAAAAATTATAATACATTAAGGTTTGGAAAAGAAACATTATTATCATTCATTAAATTACAAAGTGATTCTCTCATCCCTTCATCACAACCATGGTTCATAAAAATAAAAGAATGAATGATCGGTTGAAATGTTTGTTTAGTTGGTCGAAAACCATGTTCTTGAAATTTAATAACAGTTTCAAGAGCAACAGAAGAATTTCGTGCACGACATAAATTAACAATTATTTTATTAAACGATATTATATCTAAAGGAATTTCATTATTAGCCATTTGATGAAGAACAACTAAAGCCTCATTAAATTTCTCATTTCTTAACAAACAACTCATCAAGTAAATATACATATGCTTTCGAATTTCCCTTGGTCTCATTTTACCCAATTTTAAGTCAGAAGATATGTCAAAATCATGGTCATCAATTTCTGAATTTGTAGTATCTTTAAATATATTATGCATTGCATACCTCATACTCAAGAAAGCGCTTAATCCGATTCCAGTCACAGCTAAAGTATTAATATCCTGTACAACTGTTGCAAGGCTAAATATAAGCCATTTGGCAATGAGAGCACCAATTCCTAAATGTATCATTGTTTTCACCCAAACTTTTGATTTTAGAGAGAAAAATATTGAATTTATTGAAGAGTCTATTGTGTTAAAAGCTTGATCCAAATCTGATTTATTGGCACAAGCAAAAATCAATGATTTATAAGTTCTAATATCCAATATAATGAAAGTCTTTAACATCTCATTATAAGCAGCGAATGCAAGATCAGTTCTTTTTGCTATTCCACATACCAAAATATACGAATTATAAACATCAACTGTCTTACAATTCTGATCCAAACCTTCAATAATTTGATTTGCAACTCTTATTACATCATCCGTTGTTGTATGTGTCTTTGATGGTACGTCTATCCAATATTTTGACATATCTTCACTTACTGAATTCATCGAAAAATCATTTAATGGAATCTTATTTTGTTCGTCAAGAATTAATCTTGAACATGCCTTAAACGCTTCTCTAATCGTGTGTGGATGTGGAATGTGATATTTATGAAAAAGTCGAATCACTAAATTCTCAAGTTGTGTTATATTATCGCAATTTTTAAACAATTTATCAAAACTTTCTGTTGAATATTTATTCTTTGGTATCATAAAAAATGTTTGTGTTTCATCACGTAAACAATTATCTAAATTATCGTTAATAGACGTAAGTTTTGTAAATTTTCGGGTTTGTAAAAATCTAAGAGTAGGATATTTTGAATGAAAATTGATTTTCGTATAACTTTGAAACCTGCCATATATCATCTTAACATTTGCAAAGTATATTTTTGAAAATTTTGACATGGTTTCATGAAAAAAAAAAACAAAAAAAGGATAGAAAAATTAACGTTAATGTTTAATCTTTGTACAAGAAACAAAACTTGGCTAATCATGATCCAACTAACCAAGTGTAACCGCAAATCTGCCTCATACAAAAGATGCATTTTTTTACACAAACTATTTCAAATAGAGAAAGTGAAAATCAATTTTTGAGTTAAATGATGAAATTTATTAGTCATGAAAATTTATCGATTACCATGAGCCTAATTGATTTTTTTAAAACAAATATAGAATTTAATATTGCTGTAAAATCAACAAACTCAATACATTTTTTGCGAGAATTTGTAATTCTTTTTAATTATTTAACTTGGTCATAAAACATACACCATTCTTAATGTACATTATTTTAATTGCTGTACAGGTCGACAAAGAAACTACTCAATTCCATAAATATTTCATAATTTTACCATCTCTTGAGTTTTTAATACAGCACTTCAAATGTATAAAAAAAAAAACTTTCACGAAAATATAACAATTTATTCAGTTATAGGATGAAAAATTTTCAAAATTATGTGAAAACATTGAATGGAAATTCTAATTTTTATTAAAGCGGATAGATATAAAGTTTTGATGACGATATCATTAACGAAAAAAAGCAATTTTGATTCTAAAAATTGATTTGCAGGATTTGAATCATTTACTTCTGTTGGTTAAATGATAGTAAAAATATTTTTTGCTTATCATAGATGAGTACAGTTCATTTTGAGACATACTCTAACCCGATATTGAGATTGGAAAAAATGGGTAACAGTTCAAATTTAAAAATATCAAGTAAGAAATAGAAATTTGACAAATCTAATCCATCTATTCAATTAAACAACTCATTACTCCATTGTCAATATTTTTATAAAATATTTGTTCATAATGCATTAACATTAGAAACCACTAACCGAAATTAAAGTAGTCCTACTTATGAATGTAGAAGTTTATTAGAAGTAAACACGTTTTTTAAAGTTATTCTCAAATAAATAAAAGGTGTATTTTGCTCTAAAAGAAAACCAAAAAATAAGCAATGTGAGCTATTAAAAGAATAATAGAGTGAGTAATAAAATCCAAAATACCTACAATATCGAATTGACAGAAAACTGCGGCACAGTTATTTTTAGGGAATTGGTAAACCTATTATTATTCTTTCTAAGTGCTAAATGTCCAAAAAAAAATATCTTAATATATAATTAAGTTTTGGTTTAGTTTCTTCAAATTATTACATGTGCTGCATAATCTTTTGATTTTTAGATTGATAAATGATAATTGGGATCAATTTCCTCGTATATACTAAGTATAAATGCAGTTCAGTATATTTTGTACGAATATGTTTAATCGTTTCTCTGGTTTTCTCTGGTTATTAGGAGATCTTGAATTTTCGAGTTCCAAGTAGTTGACCATTTTGAGAAAGTTCAAAATGCTTTTTTTAGTTAGATAAAAAAAAGCAGGGAATTATTGTTTATGCACTCGTAATCGATACACCATGTATAGTTGAGTTATTTATATCTTAGATCAAATGTATACAAAATCGGATAAATTACTTATCACGCTAAAGAAAAAATATATATGTATATCACTACATGGACATATCTGTGACTTTATTTAAAGGACACCCATAAGTTTGTTTAAAATTACTGGAATTAGTTTTACTTTAAATCAAATTACTAACATATACACTAAATCTGTTAGGAGTATAAGATCGATAGATAATTATATATTATCAAAAGTTTCTAAAATTTTAAAAAAGTACTAATGACTTATCATTAACCAATGATTGAGAATTTTTGAATGTCGAAATATTTATTAACTATTTGATGATAGCTCATACCTGGAAAACGCGTTATCCACATATGGTTTTTTAAATAAAACCAATGAACCAATAGATAAAATTTTAAAGAAATTAACATTTTATTAATTGTTAAATTGTTCTTCATATATTTTTATCTTAAAAAGGTTAAAACTTGTTATTTATTACCTAATATTATTAAAACATTTTAAATTACTAAATTAGAATTATTATTGGCATAAAAATGGCTTTAGGTTTTGTTGAACTTCTATACCCTTGTATTACGTCTAATTACGTTCTTGTATTACAATTTGATTCCACTAAGAAATTTCTAAGCGGCTGTTGACAAATATTGAATTATTGATATTAATAATAATAATAAACTTTAAGGGATAAAAGATAATATGAAGAACAAGTTTCCATTGTCAAAAAAAAAAAAAAAAAAAAAAAAAAAAAAAAAAAAAATGTAAACATTATTAAAAATTAAGGCTTTGCTAAACGATAGTCGGAATTGTCCAGGTTTAGATTGGTTAAGGCGAAGCAAATCGATTCGATATTTAACTTTATTAAGTAAAATGAGAAATGCAATTACGCCAGTAATATGAAAATTGAATATGAATTAAAGAGCGAAAGAAAAATGCCGTGGCGCAGAAATAAAATGCGCCAAAATATATTCATAGATTGTTATATATAATAATAGAAGTAACGTAACACAACTAACATGAAACTGGCAATGCAGGGATGTTTATAAATAAAATGTGCATATACGGTTCTAAAAAGATAGATTGAATTTTCCCAAGTATAGAATTTACAATAAAAACGTTTAACTTTTTAAAATCATTCTCTCTAACTAATATAATTTTTTTGATTGTTTGATTGAGTGATAGACCTCGTATATTAGGGTCAATTTCATGCGAAAGGAATATGAAATCTAAAGTGAGAACAAAAAAAAACCTTTTCGGAATACAACGGGTGTTCAATTACGTCACAATATTTAAAATTCAACTACAATATTATCATATAAAGAACAAAACAATTTATGCATGATTCAAGAATCACATTTCCTAATTCAAAATATGTAAATAAAGGTTAATCAGGCCATAAATGATTGTTTTATTTATGATTACCCTTTATGGAAAGGTTTGAGTTCGAAGGCGCCATAACGGAAGATCTTTGAAAGCGGGATAGAAAAATATCGAAAAAAAAAAAAAATTCACGATTAGTGGCTTATACTTTTTTCTCCCGCTTAACCTGTTTTTTATTTCATTAAATTAAAATAATTTTTATTTTTTTGTTAGATCTGCAAATTAACGGGTAAATGGGTAAATTAACTGATAGTTAAAGTAATATAATAAGTTATAATAATTATATATTTAAATTTTTTTTTTTTTTTTTATCGTTAATTTATTTTTAAATTGCGACAATGAACAATTACTTAATCATAAGTTAAGTAATTACATTTTAATGTTTCCCTATTTATTAATTATTATCCGATTACAATGAAACAAGATAAGCCGATGATCATCGCCTTTTAATTATAGCAAAGTTCAATTTTATTTTTGCCAAAATAAATCTTATTTATATTGTTATACAGTTCTTTTTTTAAAATAGTAATTTTGTTAAAAATATTACCCGAATTATTCTATGCGGGTAGCTTATTTAATATAAAAAAAATCTTCCTGTGCATCCGAAATAACCTTTTAAGTAAAACTCGGAAGTAACAATCATTACATTGAAACAATTTCATATAAAATACTATGAATCTTCATTTTTTTTCCGATAAAGTTTCTCGATTTTTTGTTTCGAAAACTTTTTTCGGTTTTCCATTTCCTTTTTTCTTTTTTCCCCGAGTATAATATTAGTAATAAAATAAATAAAATACGTAACGTTTTTTATTTATTTCACGTTTTTCTAAATTATATTCGAGAAAAAAAAAAAAGAAGGGAAATAAAAAAATATATATATATATATATATATATACATATAATTATTTTAGTTGCCACTTTATTTATTTTAAAGTGGTTAATAATATGATCATCAAAAATGATGTATAATTATAAAGAATTAAAATTATCATTAATAGCATTTATTTTATTATTTCTTATAATAGATGTAACAAATTCACTTACTGAAGTATCATATCATGAAACAGAATCAAATTTACAAGTACTTGAAGGTGATTCATTTTCGGATAATAGTTTAATACTTCGTCTTGTTAAACCATCTCAATTAGATAATTGTTATGAACCAAAATTATATTTAAGATTAGTTAAATCTGATGGTACTGTACAACCATTAGATCTTGGTGATGATATACCTCAAAATAATTTTTGTAAAATTGATCCATTAACTGGTACCTCATTTCATAAAAATAAACATCATAATCATTGTCGAAAAAGATGGGATAATTGTGATGATCATAACAACAATAATGATAATAATAATGATAATAAAAATAATAATAATGGAAGTAATGGAGGTCCTAATGGAGGAAATAATAATGGAGGTAATGGAGGTCCTAATGGAGGGAATAATAATGGAGGTAATGGAGGTCCTAATGGAGGGAATAATAATGGAGGTAATGGAGGTCCTAATGGAGGGAATAATAATGGAGGTAATGGAGGTCCTAATGGAGGGAATAATAATGGAGGTAATGGAGGTCCTAATGGAGGGAATAATAATGGAGGTAATGGAGGTCCTAATGGAGGGAATAACAATGGAGGTAATGGAGGTCCTAATGGAGGAAATAATAATGGAGGTAATGGAGGTCCTAATGGAGGAAATAATAATGGAGGCAATGGAGGTCCTAATGGAGGGAATAATGGAGGTAATGGCGGAACACCAGGAGGAGCACCGGGAGGAGCACCAGGAACACCAGGTGGAGCGCCAGGTGGTGCACCAGGAACACCAGGTGGAGCGCCAGGTGGTGCACCAGGAACACCAGGTGGAGCACCGGGAGGAGCACCAGGAACACCAGGTGGAGCACCAGGAGGAGCACCAGGAACACCAGGAGGTGCGCCAGGTGGAGCACCAGGAGCACCAGGAGGAGCACCGGGAGGAGCACCAGGAACTCCAGGTGGAGCTCCAGGTGGAGCACCGGGAGGAGCACCAGGAACACCAGGAGGAGCACCGGGAGGAGCACCAGGAACACCAGGAGGTGCGCCAGGTGGAGCACCAGGAACACCAGGTGGAGCACCGGGAGGAGCACCAGGAACACCAGGTGGTGCTCCAGGTGGTGCACCAGGAACACCAGGAGGAGCACCGGGAGGAGCACCAGGAACACCAGGAGGAGCACCGGGAGGAGCACCAGGAACACCAGGAGCGCCAGGTGGAGCACCAGGAACACCAGGAGGAGCGCCAGGAACACCAGGAGCACCAGGCGGAACGCCAGGAGCACCAGGTGGAGTACCAGGAGCACCAGGTGGAGTACCAGGAACGACACCAGTTCCTTTACCAGCAATACCTCCAACAAATAGTCTATTTGATAATATACACGTATATGCAATATCAAAAGAATATATCCTACTTACATATTATTGTAATATACCTACATCAAATGAATTATGCGGTAAACTTATAGATTTTAGTGGTGCAACAAAAAAGTAAGTAACACTTTGTTAAACTTTATTTCGTTAATTTATAACTAACTATTATTTATTTTTTTAGTATGACAGTATTTAATAATTTTAATGGCTTATGTACGAATCCTAAAATTATCAATAGTAATTATGATGATGGTGGATTTTTGTATACTTGTTATAAACAAGATACTGCATCGATAGTATGGACATCTTATTCAGCACCGTAAGTCCCAAACAATTTTTTTTAATAAAAATACAAACGCGAAATGATTTAACATTTTTTCCCTAAATAATTTAGGAGTATTATTGATGGTACGATAAAAGAAAAATATAGCGGGGAAGTAGGAAATATTACAAGATATGATTTAACATATATGTTCCCAACAGAAGGTAGAGGATATGCAATAGTAAATGGATTTCTTAGTAATACGCAAAGCACACTATCACAGTGGGTAGTATTGGCAAATTTCATAACAAATGATGGACAAACTAAAGGAACTTTTGTTATTTTTTCACAATCTACTGAAACGAGTGCAATCAAAAGTATACCAAGGTGTAATATTGCATATCAATTATATGGATATAGTTGTATATTATATATCGAATCTACTGAAAAAACTTTTATAAATATTGATTTCACATCAAAAGGAGCTGTATTGAATTCACAAATGTTTAATGTGAGTCAATTAAATAATAATAATCAATTATATGATGTTAGAAATCTTTGGAAAGGTGGAGAATGTTTTGTTATTACTGAACAACTAGACCAAAATGTACGTGGATATGTGTATAGTAACGACGGAATATACAATAATACTTGGAATTTACCCGATACTTATACTTATACTAGTAAAATTTTTGGAATATTTCCTGATAATACAGTTTGGGCTATTGCTACTGGTAGCTCCATTGCTGCAAATCAATGGATTACTGTTTATTCAACTGCTTTGACAACATATTCAACAGTTCAAGGAGATACAGGATATGGCTCATATTCAATATTATCAACAGTACCAGAAAGAAATGCAGTAATAAAACCGGGTCTTGATCAAATTACGATAGCATATGTAATGAGCAACATTGAACCATCAACAGGTTATATAACAATTAGTCAAAAGAATCCAAATGGAATAGGTAACGATTTCGTTAGAACCAAAATACCCGCAAGTTCATCTCCATCCGGAACCACAAATAATGCAAATAACGTTACTATAAATGGATCATTAGTGACTGTTAAGTTAGAAGATTATATTTTTGATAGAGGAAATGCTACATATGTTGTTAAAATTGATGATGATTTTGTTGAAGTTAATGGACAGAATTTAATTGGTGGCTCTTGGCAAGTTTCAACAGGTAAATATTTTTGATTTCCATTTTTTATTTAATAAAATGAATTAACTTTGATCTTTCTTTTTTTTTAAAAAAAAAAAAAAATTTTAGAACCTGGTAGTGGAAAGAATGAACCAGGTAATTTTTTTAATCATCATCATTATTACCATAAATTTAAGATATCGAAATATTTTTAATTATTTTTTTTTTTTTTTTTTTTTTNATTCTATTAACTCCAGATGGAACAAAAAATTATTTAGAAATTAAGAAGAAAGATGATGTAAAGACATATGTTAATGGATTGTCTGATGAAATTTCAAGGGCACTTGCGATTGAAAAAGGGCGTATTTTTATACCGTATGAGAGATATCAATATAATAGAAACACACGTGAAGATCAAATTTTGTTACGCGTAGACGTTAAAGACACCAACATGCCAGATCAACCAAGTTCGAATGCATTAAGAAATAGTTTAGATAAAGCTGTTTTATCCAAAGGTACTTCATCAATACCAATAGGACCGTATACAGAAAGTTTAGATTCAACTTATGGATCTCCAGAATCTCGTAAGTTTATCAATAATTTTTTGAGGGAAAGGGGAGATTTCGTTTATTTTAAATATTATTTCTAATATGTACGTTTAAAATATTTAAATAGCTCACTTATGGCAAAGATATAGATACATATTAATTGGAGTAATAATTGGATTATTTTTATTAATATTATTTGCCTTAATTGCGAGAAAGAAGTTCCAAGGGGGAAGAAATTTCTTTACAATTGTTGTGTTTCCGCTTATTTTAGTAGATTTTGTATTAGATATTATAGTATTAGCAGTTCATGGAAGAGATCTAAAATGGTTCTTCATTTGCGGGTGCGTATTTTTTTCTTTTTTTTTTTTCTTGTAATATTATATTCTAAATATACTAACAATTTTTTTTCCACAAATATATAATTATAGTTGGGTGTTCTTTTTAGTACCAATTCTTTTCAATATAATAATATCATGGTTCCTTATTGATTATCAATTAAATCATTCAAAACCTACTGAACATTGGTGGAAGGAAAATCCAAGGACCGCATTAGGATTTACACTCTTATCATGTATAGATTTAGAAGCGTTAAACGTTGTATCATCAAGATGTGCAGGTTATAATGCATTGAATGCAAGATTTACAGAAAAAGGAAGAAAAAGAGTTTTAATATCCATTTTATTTATAACATTTATTGAAGATGTACCACAATTAATAATTTATGCGTTATATCAAAAATATATAGTTATAACAGAAATTATACCAATATTAGTGTTATCATCATCATGCATAATATTATTATTTAAAATAATTTCATTTATTTATTTAATGTTCATTTATAAACCTCATAGAACTTTAACAAGTACGGTGGACAAAATTGATGATACAAATAGTGATACAGCTAGTGTAGAAACAGGTGGAGGTGGAGCACCTACATCTGAAACTACAGCAAGACGTCAAGCCGGAGTAACAGAACTTGGTAATATTGGTAGATCAAGTGAAACTCGTACTGATGATGATAATAACGATAACGAAATAAAGGCAGAAAAGGCAGGACTTACTAAAGGAGGATTTTTAGCTGGTGATATTTATGGAGAAAAATCTCAAACTAGTAAACAAACTACTGAAGAAAAAATTGTTGAAGAAGATTCTAGTGAAGAAGAAACTTTTGAAGAAAAAGAAATTAAATATACTGAAGAACAACAAGAAACTGGAGAACAAGAAGAAACTACCACAACTACCACCACATATATTACAGAAGATGTAAGTGGTGATACTACAGAAATAAATCCTAATACTGGAATTTCTTCATCACAATCTGAAGTCACGGAAACTGTAACAACCGAAGATGGAGATACCACCACTACTATTACTAAAACTTTTTATGAGTGATGGTGAAAAGAAGACTTTACGTTTCTCATCTTTTTTAGAGTAGTAGTTCAGATAGAGATTGAATCAAGAATGGTGAATCACTTTATATATATATATATATTAAAAAGTAAAAAATAATTATTAGAATCATTAGAAAGTTTAATATAGTGTTGGTAGAGGGTTAAATAATGTACCTTATGTTGTAATTTTTTTTTTCTTTTTTATATAGCGTGTGTGTGTTATTTAAATAATTCCATTAAAAAAAACATTAATTTGATACGAATTGCTGGACAAATGCTTTAATTTTTATGACGAGTCTTTGCACTCCTATTTGCGTAAATTATCAACGATAATTTATCATGTAATCGTATATTCACAATATGAGCGTCCCAGCATATTTAAAATTTACAGTATATTTCTGCGTTATAAAGTAAATCTTCTTTTATGACACGTGTAATTTGCGTTTCCCAAGTATAATTAAAAGGTATTATTCTCAAAGATTCTTAAAAAAATATTAATTGAACATAAACACTGACACGAATTGCTGGATAAATGCTTTGCACTCCTATTTGCGTAAATCATCAACGATAATTTATATATTCACAATATGAGCGTCCAGCATATTTAAAATTTACCTGACGTTTTTAATTAAAAAAATCATTAAAGTATATGTCTGCGTTATAAAGTAAACCTTCTTTTATGACGCGTGTAATTTGCGTTTCCCAAGTATAATTAAAAGGTATTATTCTCAAAGATTCTTAAAAAAAATATTAATTGAACATAAACACTGATACGAATTGCTGGATATATGCTTTAATTCTTACGACGAATCTTTCATCGTGTAATCGTATATTCACAATACGAGCGTGATGGATAACCAACTTTTAAACTCCTTGAGTTTAAAATTTTTATGTCAAGTAAAATCATCCTTTATGTCACATTTCCCAAGTATAATAATTAAAAGGTATTATTCTCTAAGATTCTTATAAATGAATATCAGTCATTAATTTAACAAAGCATTCGATTCTTCATAATTATTCACAATAATGAAGAAAATGAAGAAAGTTAGCATCTGACAATCTATAATTTTTATTAATATTTGTTTCTTTTTTTTTTAATATATTCTTTGTTTTAAAATCAAGGTTTATCGGGTACTACATTTCAACTCAATTGTTTTTGTTTTTGAACTTATATCCTATAAATGATAAACAACGTTCTCATGAATTAGAAATTAAATTATTAAAATTATATTTTATTTATTGTTTTTTTTCCATTTATAAAATGCCAAGCGTAATACTTAAACATATTTAGTGTTGGTATGTGTTCCCAAAGTTCGAATTTTTTCTATTCTTTTTATTCAGGTTCTTTCTGCATTTTAAAAAATCTTTGTAAAACTAAAGCGTTAAAGAATCTAAATAAACAAAAACAACACCGGCTTATTCCTAAAGTAGTAAAAAAAAAATTTCTATGATGTTGCCGATTTTCAGTAACCGTACAGTTTACTACAGTAAATATAATACAAATAAAAATGCACCAATTTTAAATTATCAAAAGAATCTCAAAAGCATGTGTAAAAAATTTGAAACATTTTAATCGATCTCTGCGTCATTACTCTCTTACATTTCATTTTAATACTTTAAATTTAATATTTTATATTTCGAATAATTAATTTTTATCACTAAAATTTCTCTCTCGTAATTCACGGTTTACGCAGGATCCAGGAATAAAATGCTGTCTGGATTACGAACTCTTCCGAATCTGGCAATTCCGTATATATCGATATGTTGCTTGATAAGTAGCAGGTTTTTTTTTTTTTTTTCAAAAAAAATTATTAATTTGTCCCGTCTGTACTCTGTAGTGTAATTATGTATATTAATGAAACCGCTGGGTTCGAGAATGTGGATGAGTGTTTGTGAACCATAAAATTAAATAGTGGTACCTCACGTACGGTAAATGTGTTTATTTGTTGATTTCTTTGAAATAAAATTAACGTTATACAAAAATAATAAAAGACAAAGGTATTAAACTTTTATCCAAATAATATTAGTTGCTTTGTTAAAATCTATTAATAAAATAATGTAATTAATTTCATGTTTCCAAAAAATTAGTTAACGAAAAAAAACAAAAAAAAAAGAGTTAATATTTATATGAACTTTATTATTAGTTTAATTCTTATATATCAAATGATTTACATTTATTTGTTACATTTTTAGTAAATTTCATGGAAACCTAATCCACAGAGTAAAAATAATCTTAATACTCGTGATGTTTCTAGCAGATTTATTTATTTATTTAGTTTTTTTTTTTTTCTTTATCCAGGCAAATTCTTTTTTTTTTATATTGATACCCGAAAATGCAAACAGTCCTTGTTTTTTTTAAACCGACGGATTTGTGTCTCCCGTTATTATAATTATTATGATAAATATAACCCAACTTGTTAACATCCTTATTTTTTGAATTTTTGAATTTTGAAATATTCGAAGCAAAAAAAAATATCGCCCTTTTTCCCATCACAAAAAAAATTCCTACGAAATTGTTCAAATTATCCCTTTCAACCAGGAAGGTAACGATATTTTATGGGGAGTTTTGCTAACTTGCCCGGTTGCCCCCTGGGTTAAAAATTACCTCACTAAAAATTTATATTTTTACGTGATTTTTGATTTGTTTCAAAAAAAAAAAAAAAAAAACCATTTGTTTTCACTTTACATAGATTTTATTTATTTGGACATTATGGAAAATAATGACCAAGTTTTCTTACATTTTTGATAATGTCCCTTACGTTTTTTGATTGTGGTCATAATTTACGTATTTTTTTGGAAAAATTATATAATTATATAAGATTTACTAGTTGAACTACTTTCTAAATTATGTCGATCATCCTATATTATATTTTACCGAAATTTTAAGCCAACTAAATATAAATTTTTATAAATATACAAAAAACGATAATACATGAAACGATATTTTTACGATTTGGGGGGTAACGATTATATAACGTGACAGAGAAAATTGAAAATGTTTTGGAAGTTTCAAAGTCATTGAAACTTAAGATGGAGGATGGTAAAAAATTGAAGGGTAAAATAAAAGGTAATAATATTTTTAAACGATGATCATCGAAAACCATTAAAAAATTGATTGATTTTATAATCATTTGAGGTTTGTATAGGAAGAGATATAATTGTATTAATAACTATTTGTTGAACGTCGTTATTAATAATATTATTTCTCACAAAGCGGTGTCGTCTTCTCTTCTTTATTTCTCTTGAAATAGTTTTTAATGATTTCGGCATTTTTGAAGGAAAAGCTTATTATTATTATCTAAAGAAACGTTGACAAAGGAATTTATTTATTCGATAATGTTCTGTTGGGCAGCCGTGTAGCAGCTGCTTTTATAATTTTTTTGAATTTATGACAGATGCAATATGCATAATAACATCATATTATCTTTCTTTTATTGGTGTACAATTAATCGAATTAATCGGTCCCAATGTCTTCTTTTCTTTTATATTTTATATTATTAACGGCATTTTATAACTCCCTAAAAAAAAATATTGGTTCAATTGGTTTCACGTAATTTTGAAGTTAAAAAAAGGTAAATTAATCCAATAACTTCTAACTTTAATTGTTAAATACATAAATCAAAAATTTTTTTTAGTAAAAGCTAACTTTTAACATGATAAGACGTATATTGTGATACTGTATTGGTAAGCGAATAATATAACCGCAGTTTTCATTGGATTAACGCGTAAAACGAATAAAACCGTCTTTTAGAATAAAATTTTCAACAAAGAAAAAAGGAAATTCTCAATCAATGCAAGAATATTAAATTGTGGCTAATTTTTTTTTTTGAAAGGGTGATATATATATGATTTTGACTGGTTTATAATGCTTTGTAACAAACTCGTATTCGCCGAAATTTCTATATTTTGTATCCAATGAAAGTATAATTTTCTATTTTATTGTATATTTAAATGTAACGCATCATATTTATTTTACAGCTTTCGCCAATTTTATTTATGCGGAAGTTTATTCCGATAATTAAAAAAAAAAAAAAACTGCGTACTACAAATCGGAGATGGAATAAATTATTAAAAACAATCCCTTAAAAATTTAACAATGAGTTTAATCTAATTTAATATAATTTAATATTGTAATACGGTGTGACTATTTATATATATAATTTTTCGACGAGAATATAAAGAATATAAGACTTGTTTTTTGTTGTGATACGTATGATATCAAAAATGCAACACGCGATCTATTGATTATCAATAATCAAAAATCACGTGAATACAATATGAAACATTGAACTCCGATTAAAAATGTGTATATATGAATTGTATGATCCACTAGAATCTTTTATTATGGAGATAAATCTCCATACTTTCGCAATTTAAGATATGAAACCCGATGTAATTAATTTTAATTGAGTAATTATTACAAGTTTCCTAATTACGTATAATGTTTGGTACAATTTTATTTCGTGTTATCTATTATTTATTTGATTTTTTTTTTTTATTTTAAATATTATTCGTTTATTATTATTATTATTATTATTATTATTATTATTATTATTATTATTATTATTATTATTATTATTATTATTATTATTATTATTATTATATTATCTCATTTATCAACTTCTTGTGTAAAAATAAAAGATGACTGGTACGCGTTATCTCTGCAATATTTAAGTCTTATCTCTGCATCCCGTAAATAATGAATTTTTCATTAATTAGGAATTTCTTAATCTCCGAAATTATTTCCAACATGTTCACATATCATAATTGCAACATCAGGTTGGCCCCCAAAAAAAAAAGTAATATGATACAGCAGCAAAATATATAATTATTTACGTAACTTTACATTATTATTGAACGAAAGATGTTTCATTTACTTTATAAAGAAAACAAAGGAAATTAATATATTATTTGTCATTTATTCATTTGTCATTTTATTTGCTTTTGCATGATTAAAGATGATTGTAATAATAAAAAAAAATAAAAAAAAAAATTTTTTTATATTTATATGTAATTGGTCTATGCAACTCAGTGACTAATGACTAATGTAATAATGCTATTATTTGAGAATAAACATGTATAAATAAATATTTTCATTTTTTCATTCAATATATCATTCATTATAACCTAACCCAATAATGATAGCATTTATAAATCATTTAATTCGACATATATACTGTATACTGTATATATACATTATATTCAAAAATAATCGGCGTAAAAGATTGATAAATATGATAAAGTTTATAAAGTTACCAATTATATTCTTACGCGTTATTGTATTAGTTTTATCATTAAATTATTAAATCAATTTATTATTTTTTTTTTTACTTAAAAAAGTAGGAATAAAAATAAAAATAAAAAGTTGTAATAAAAAATAATTTATATTGAAATATGAACATATTATATAAATATAAATTTTAAAAATAAATATTAAATTAAGATGAATATCATAATCATATGAATGCTAAATTTGTAATAAATTAAATATATTGAAAATATTTAAAGAACGCTTTTTTTGATATAAAATCCGTAAATCTGTGATCAACATTATATATATATGTCAATTCGAGATAAATCATTGTATCCAGATTTGGAATATCCGCTTCATATTTAGCAGAATATCTGGTAATAAACCGGAAAAGAGTCATATATTATTATGTTATCCGGATAAAATATAACTCAGGATGGATAAATGATGTGTCAAGCACGTTCATCTTTTGTTTTCACTGTTTCATATCATAAACTTGTAATACACTAGTAACACTAATCTCATATTCTAATTTTCAAACGGACTAACCTCCTCTTATTTAAATACACCATCTATTGAAGATTCTAAAAAAATAAAACAAAATTTTTTTTAAAAAAACAACCTACTGTCTATGAAATTGTTTTCTGATAATGTGCTAGCTAAATATAAAGGAATTGGGCATTTATGGTCTATTTATCAAATAACTAATAAAATAATAGTTTTTATATATTAATAAATAGGAGTTAATGGATATAATTTATTTATATAGCTCACTTTTATTTTTTTTTTAAAAAAAAAAATTCAGAAAATCAGAAAAATGAGCTTCGCGGATTTCTAGTTAATTAGGTTGATGATGATCTACAGGCCCTTTTCATCCATCATCCAATGAATTTGGTCCCAGTAGACTATAATTGAATTCATTAAGCATATTTTTACATATCCAAAAATGATAGACCAAATAGGAAAGAAAACAATATGTATATCTGTAAATTGGTAGAAATAGGAAAGGATTTCTTGCTCGATATATATTAATCCTTCTTAAGTTACACTTTTCTATAGAATATGTTTGAATTTTATGACAAATGGAAATTATTACCGATAAGAGTTCTAATTCAAAAAATCTGTAAATGCTAATTGGAATTTAATTGGATACAGTTGGTAGTAGGAAAAGGGTACATAACAAAACCCTGTTATTACGGGTAAACGTTTAATAGATTTTTTATGACGCCTGCTTAACAATCTGAAAGGCTTGAAAATGTATGTGTTGCAATTTTAGTTACTTATTTATATTTAAATTTGTTTTAAATTACTTTTTCATCTTTATCGAAAATAAACGACTTTAACAACTTCTTTGACAATCCTATTATCTGCATTTGTTCTACCACTGTTTATGAATAGTATAATAATTTCAAATGTTATTAAGTGTATTTTATTTTTTTAGAAGCATTTCAGATTCCTAAGATTTAAACTTACAGTACTCCTTCTAGAGCGGTAAGGAATCACAATCTGGAAAGGGGATTAAAACATGATCAAAATTGTCATGATTTTGACTAGAATCATCAGCAATACTGCCAATACATCAGTAAATTTTTTGGGTATGGAGTCCCCGAAGATTCCCTATCAAAAGATTTTTATAGAATCCTTAAGGACATTCTTATTTGTATTTATTGTATAAACTATTTATTGATATAATTCATTTACTATTATTTTAAATATTTATGTATTTTGTATTTATTTGTTTACTACATTTAATATGTTATTTTACATATTCCTCAAATTAAATAAGACGTGAAAAATAAATAATAGTAAATAATATAAAATAAAAAAAAAAAATAATGAAAAATAACCATGGAAGGTTGCACAATCAGGTCAACGTCTATCTTGCGATAAAAAGTGGCACAACATATCTTAAGATGTCATACGAAAAAGTATTATTTCCATCTGTTTTGCTGACAAGAAAATGTATCCAACCAATAAATCCAATAAGTCGAAATCTAAATAATAAAAAAAAAATAATAATAAATAAATAAATTAGTACTGTAACAGGACTAAAATTGAAACAAAAACAATCCCTAAATTAAAAAAAAACTTACTATGAGCTGTTTTCAAGTTCATCCAGTAGCTGAGAATAAAAAAAAAAAAGTTAATTTTAGTAGTAAATGAAGCAAAAAAAACAAATTAATTATTTGCATGAAAAATATTTTTAGTTAATATATAACATACTTGTCAATATTAACTTTTCCAAATTTATCAAAAAGTAGTACTACGTATTATCTCCAAGTATTTACTTAAGTGATCGCTATAGGATTATTGCAAATATTATTTGCAGAAAATATTTTCTTCCACACCTAAATGTTTTCCTATGAGCCATCTCCAAATGTTGAATTAAAGTAGTCAAAACCTAAATAATAAAAAACATATATATAAAAATTTGGTAACAAACTACAATGAATTTAAGAAATTTATTTCAACATCCAAATCTAGTAGCCAAAGCCTAAAATAATATGAAAAAAGAACTTAGTTAATAAAGAACGAAATTATAAAAAAAAAACAAATGAAATAAGCCTAAAGAAAAACTTACGGTAACTGAAACTGTTACCAAAATCCAAATACACTTAAATATTAAAAAATAAAATTAAATAAAACCAAATATAAACCAAACAAAAGGGCCTCCAAAATCCTAGAATGAAATCTACAATAAATAAAAAAGTTTCTTTACCTCGTCAGCATAAAGTCCAGTTCATCCAATTTAACTCCAAGAAGCTGGTGACCCTATAATAAAAGAAAAAAAAACATTAGAAAATGTTTCTCATAAATTAAACAAAAAACACCATCCCTTTACCTTGTCAAGATAAAGTCCAGTCCAAGAGTCCGGTGTTCATACAAAAAGAAGAAATAACATTACAAACGTTCCTTAATTAACACATATTACTCACTCCATTTACCTGTCCCATTCATCTCAAGTCCAGCGTTCTACAAAAAAGAAAGTGTATCTAAAAAATAATAAATAAAGTATGTATTTATTAAATAAAGAAAAATTTTAGCGCAAAAAAACGAGAGAATAAAAAAAAAAATAAAATGATAATTTTAAACCGAAAAGAATTAGAACATTATAAAAAAAATTTCGTTTTAAAAACCGAAAAAGAAAAAAAAAAATTCAACCGAAAAAAAATAATATAAAAAATATTGATCAATCGCCAATACCGATCATTTTTCGCAGGTTATACCATAAAGTGGTTTACTTATTTTATTAACTTGCTAGAAAGGTGAAACAGGATTACTCGTTTTTGTTTACCGGATCCTGAATCCAACGAACTCAACAATTTCTTTTCAAAACATAACAAGATCCTTATTAACAGTAGGGCCTTTAAAATAGTTCAACACCTACCTGAAAAATACGTCTTCTCAAGATTTTCTGATGAATAGTGTAAAACTAAAGAATATATTCAACAAGAAATTAAAGGAAAAGGTGGAATGCGAAGCGAACAACATCTTACAAATCGTAATTCGTCATACTGTCCTGGTTGCATCGAATTCTATGGATAGATTATCAATATTATCATTTCAATCACCTCCTCTGGTCATGGTCAAGGATTTAACAAAATACATTCCTATGGACTCGTGATATTTTCAAACAACTATGTGTATTTTAAATGTTGCTCAAATACACCTACAAATGAAATCTGACATCCTCATTACTTAACACTCTGAAAACGATTCCAACATTTACACGTAGTACTTTTAGTGAAAGATAATAACGGCCTATTATTATCATTCTGATGTTTTTATTTATTTTTTTTTAATTAATGTGAAGAATGCATATCTACTCTTCATAAAAAATAAATTTTAGTATTTTAGTAAATATAGACAACCACTTTACCACAAAATCCTGACAACCATAATATCAACAGACCAAAATCCAAATCCCTGTGATTGACAGTCAAAATCCTGAAGTTTTTTTTTAAAAAAATATATTTTCCAATTAAGCATGTAATTTTAAAATGCTGTGGTTCTTAATTATATAGTTAAAATATAATTTAAATTATTTGCAAAATATTTGTAAATTTTATTAATACTAATGCAAATTGTATTAATATTAAGTCAAATTATTTGTACATGTACAATATATTACTAGATTACTATGTAATCTATTCCTTATCTTCTAAAGTTAGAAACAATAAATTGTCGGCATTTCAGGAGATCATGATTTGTATCTATCGGATTTTTGATGTTGGGATTATAATTGTTGATATTATTGTCAGATCCCTAGATCTCCTACCATGGATAGCTCCCATAATATTATGGTTGTCAGGATTTTTGGGAGATCCTCCACCGTGGATAGCTCCTCCATGGAAACTTGCCTCTTGTTACTTAAAATATTATTGCATATAGGTGTCGCTAAAAAATGGAAGATATTATTTCGAGGTTCGTCACATATGGTTCATTATTTTTTTTAACATTGATTATTATTTTTATTATAGAATACTAATAATACGATGCACTAAGACTTTATCAATGTATTTCTATCCCAACTATCTATACTCTATTAAATCCTATTCTAACTACATTTTTTATTTTATTTTATTGTTTAAATTGGGGTGATCATCCTGGGAAAGTTCCAAATGGAGCAACTCCGAGTACCGGTTTGTATTAAAATTATTAAAATTATGATCACTAATTTAAAGTCGATAATCGTCACATTTCTGTCTTCTTTATTTATTTCCACATTCTTTTATATTCCTTTTTATCCAAAATAAAATAGAAAACAAAATAGGATCGAATTTCCATAGTGTGAGTTTTATAAACAAATGAAGAGCGGCTTAAGTATATCTATGCAACTGTAATCATATGATCAAAAAAATTCGTTTCACTATAAATAGAAGCTGTTGTTTCTTTTCCTCTCGCTAAATTAATCATTAATAATAATAAGTAACAAGATAGCGTATATATAATACACAGATCCAATCTGTAAAATAAATCATGAAGTGCCTATTTACCCTCTCCCTTGCCTTACTTTTTCTTTCCTCCAAAGTTTTGTCACAAAATCCAAACATGTTTGATTTTCATATAACTTGTAATGATAACGCATCACCAGCATGCAGTGCCATGGATACATACAATCGAGCTGGGCAAATCATTTCCGATAATTTAATTTTAAATACAAAAATTATTGTGGAAATTACGGTTGAAAGGAGGCCTGAAACTTTCTGGGGTAATTATGCTTTTCAATTAACATTTATTATTAAATTATTGCTAATTTCTGTCCTTACTTCCACTTGCTTTGAATGTTTAAATAGGTGCTACTTATCCAGCGAAAGTATTTAACAACTTAGATGATATTAGAAGATATTTTCCTACAGCGCTAATAAAACAAGTACAGCCTGGTTTTCCACCTACGGGGACAGATATTTTCATCACAATTAATTCTAGTCGTGATCCAGATACGTATTATCCTGGAACTGGTCAAATTCAAGCTAATCAACATGATTTTCTTGAGTTAGTCCTTCATGAATTACAACACGGACTTGGATTTGAAACAGTTTGGTATCAATTACAAGGCAATGATCTATTTCCGGATTTTGATTATACTTTGGACAATAATGGTGTGGTTACATTTCAGTCTTTCAAAGAAAATATATTCGATTATTTCCTAGTTGTTCATCCTATTGGTAGAGGTGTTGAACGTACAACACCCTATGTACAGGCCTTAAACACTATGGCTGGTCCATTCGGTAAAACTTATAATAACATGGGTGATTTTTACAATGGAGTCATTCAACAACAACAACAACAAGGCAAATCATATACCAAATCTATGTTATCCATGGCTACATTGCCATATAGAATGAGCTTTATGGCAAACGATGGTAATGATCCTATTGCGCTAGAAACGACTTATAATCCCTTTAAACTAGGATCAAGTATTTCTCATTTTGCCAAAGATGTTTATTCAACCACGTCAGACTTTTTATTAATATCGGAAAGCCAGGCAGGTAAAACATTAGAAGACAAAGTTGCAGCTTATGGAAATGATCCGGGAGAGGGTATGGGACCTGATTTGAGGTCGTTGTTGGCAACTATGGGGTATATATTTTCAGCTGGCACCTTTTTTATTGTTTGGTCATTTAGCATGCTTTTTATTAATTCCATCTTCACTTTCTTATTTATAATTAGTTACGAACTTCGCATTCCTGGCAGCCCTCCTGTCAAAAGTTCTAACAAAATTACTACCAATAATTCCACTGATAGTAAGCTCAAAAGTGTTGTAAACAATAGGAATAAGAAAAAACGTATTGTAGCATTGTGATACTCCATATTTTTGGTCCAATTCGTTCATTTTATTGTTATATTAAATAAAAGAAATTGGATGATAAATCATATAGTATACTGTAGATTATGAAAAAAATAAATGAAAGATTAACATTAGGCCGGACCAATTGATTCTCTGTTTAACAAAATCCCCCTTTCAAAAATTTGATTTCTTACTATACATATTAAAAAAATTTTTTTATTTAATATTCCCCCACAATGGAAATCTAATTTTTAGATTTCTTTTTTTTTTTACTTTTTTTTCCCCCCCTTCATATTTTCAAAATTTAATAATTTAATAGTAAAAAAAATAATTCAAAAAATTTTGTAAATTATTTTTAACCTCCTCCTCCTCTCTCTTTTTTCAATAAAAACTCTTGTTGAACAGAAAATCCTATTGGCCTGGCTTTACATACCTGTAACTAATGTTCTACATATGAATATAAGCACTTCGTGACAAGCTCCTTGCCGCCTAAACCCAAAAAAAGGAAGCGGTTGTTTACTTTTTTTGGGTTTGAGCGGCAAGTATAGCTGGGTTAAATGCGAGCAACGATTTCCGCAGGAAAAAGTCTTAAAGTTCACAATGATTTTAAATAATATATTTCTAGAAAAAGTAATAAGCTTGAAGAACTCAAAATTAGAAATAATTTTTTAGCAACTTGTTGGTCGAATTAGTCATATTACATTGTAACATATAATTGGTTTTTTCGTAATAGAAACAATAAATTTTCGTATCTAAACAACCACCAAGAGAAAATTTTCCCTGGGTAAACGAAATCTAGTCACATGTTCATAATCGTGAAGAGGAACTTTTTTGCGAAATCAAAATCTATTGGAAGATGGGAGAGAACGCTTAAGCAATTTGTATAGTCTGTCCAATGTAAGAAATCCAACATCAATGCTTTTTATCTTCCGCAAATTTTGAGCCTTATAGAATCGCCATATAGTACCAAGGAACTTCGATGGGAAATATGGCCACGTGGTATAACGATTAGTGATGCAATTGAGATAGAAAAGCTCTGGTGTGGATTATTATTTCAAGAAGACTCAATAACGGATTATTATTCAAAGATAAAGAGATATAATGATAACGTCAATCTGCGAAAAGCATCTCGAAAGAGAATTTATTAGAGAATTATCACCAAATATTAAGTGTTTCGATTTAATGGATTTTGAATATAATCACGACAGTATTCAAATAAAGTCAACTATTAAATTCTTTAGATCAAAAACTAGGTATCCTCAATTAAGGTTGGTTGCCGTAAGTAACGATTATTATATATCGAATTACGGTTGTAAAAGCTGTAAATTGGCTGTAAATACTACACCATTGTGATCCCTCTTGACGTATTGATTCAGGAAGAAAACGACTAAACAAATCTTGCAACCATGCTTAGACTTTATATCACAACAGCAAAGATTGGCTAGTTATATGTCTCCGATCGGTACATACCAAATTCTTGATATAAACAAGAAAAAATGAATGATAACTGTAGACTGTCTTACATTTAGGTAATTGGCTATGCATAGATTCTCCGGAGCGGTGATCTTCAGCTCGGAAGACATCGCACAAATTTCTGCGCAATGATGTAATAAGTGACACATAAAAAATGTATATATATATGCAGTTTTCCCCGAACAAATGTGAGAAAAATGAGAGAAAAATTGTGAAAGAGTGTCTAGTTGCAACACAGAGCTTACCCTATGAGTAAATAGTGCCGACAAAACCATATGCTATGAAAGGCTGAGGACTTTGCAATTTTGAGATCGCCAGGCGTTAGTCCAACTTGGAGTCTTCAGGTAGATCTCCATGTGAAAAGGTATGAAGATTCCGTATTCATGTGCTTTCAAAGCTTTCTTGACAACATGCGACAATGCTAATCAATCTTCTTATATCCTTACCTTTTTTCCCAGCAAGATATAAAGTGTGTAGTGTATGCTCTATAAAAAATTTTTTAGAAAATTGATCACAGAGTTTTTTTGGAATGAAAACTAAAAAAATGATCATTTATCGGAATTTTTCCAAGAAATTTTTTTATAGGGATGTAGAGGTTCAGTCAACTTTCCCGTGAATTTTTTAAGGTATGTATAACATATTTGGTAGAAATGATGCACTTTCACCGACTACGTTTCTATGGTGTAGGATATGACAAATAACAATTACCCTCTGCTTTCGTTTTAAAGATGATGATGGCAGTAATGATTTTTCACTCAATATTAACACTCAAATAACGCAAACTGTTGATGATCTTAAGGATGCGCTTATAAGAGGGAGGCGTGTTACTTACAACAATGTTACAACAATAGATGTTAGAGATTTTTTCCCTGAAACCCCGACATTAATCAAGCACATGTTTTCATATACATCCATAGTTAGTACTTTTATTCACATTATGTAACCGATATATTCGCAATTTATGCATTAGTTGCTACTTCCGGTGACAATTTAACTTATCGAATGAAAAGCGGGTCACGTACAACGATGCAATGGCTATGCGACATAATAAGAATCATGAAAATGTTACCGTGAACAGACTCAAAGAAAGCTATCAAGGAGGAAAAAGCACCCGAGTTTGATAATTTCGCTGTAGACAAACTTAAATGAAGAAAACGAAAACTCAAGGTGGATACTGGAGAAACTTAGCAAATATTTCCTTCCCGCCAACTGACGAGCACATACATATAATCGTACAGCGCCTGTTGAAACGAAAGAGTTTCACTGCACCGCAACGTATGGGCGTAAGAGTGTGATTTTTCAATGGACAGTGACCCGAGAAATGGTGACGTTGGAAGATTTTAAGAAGAAGCTTGTGATATTTAACGTTTCCGGATGGGCATATTGTAATAGGTCGTGTAATAGGTGGCGCTTGCTTGAAGAATAAATTTCAATAGATAAAATGCGTAAAAAATTAGACCAGGCAAGTTCAAGTTCCCAGAGTGCAATAGTAGAAAGTGACACGGTGGTGATTGCGACAGGGCGTAAAGTTATTAAATTTTCTGCTGACGGGGAATTATTGAGCATTATCTGGACTGCTAACCCAAAGGTGGATCTGGAAATAGTTTCTCCTCGTATACTTTCCCAAAGATGAAAGCGCTTTTTGGTTTGAAGGCCGACGATTATAATGAACTACCTACTTTTGTTGGAGGTGAGAAGAAAACACCAAAAGAAATCCGAAATCTGGTTATAGGTGAATTTTTGAGATTGCACAAGACATCCCAGCACATCACGAGGAATTTATTTCCCGTGTCATTTATGGTGCGGCGTCAATATATGGAGGTGAAATAAAGGTTTATCCCCAGTATGAAATCTCCGGAAGTCAGGGCAAAGGCCCTAATGTACGGGATTGTATCAACTGCTGTAGATTGGGTAATGATCAAGCTAGTTTCTAGCTCTGATAATAGTGAAGTAAAAGTGGATGTATTGTTAAGTTCGTTGTCGTCTTTCCATTACCAATCAACAAGGCTATATTGGCCTTGGTGGAGCCTATCAAGGACTTGTTTGGGTAAATCAAGTGGGTATTTGATAGCCAGATTGAATCTCAGGAATTATCGAAACGGATAATTAGGATAGAGTATAGCATATTAGAAACTTCGTCATGTACTAAGGGCAAAGTCCCGATCCTTTGCATTTATTTTTCGCATGTATTAATGTTTCTTGAAGTTATAAGAATAAATTTGAAGCATTTATGTAATCAAGGCAAGGAAATTAATGAAAAATCTGCCCTCCCGGTAAGCTGTACTTACGAGGGGAATTTTTTCTTGGCAAAATTTCAGCGAACTCGGTTCGCACAAAATCACGTGTTTTATTTTATTTGAATGCTTGTATATAGGTGGAATCTGAGATTGACTTAAACAGGAAAATGCCAGTGAGTCTGGGAAGGCCGAGCTTTTAAAGCAGGTTGCGGAAGAGAGAACCAAGCATGAAGTTGAGAATGCCGAGCTCAAAAGTAGAATCGAGGAGTTAGAGAAAGGTAGGACAGATACTGTTGCTGAGAATGGCGGAAGTGGGGATGACAATGAGGAGAACAAACAGGAAATCTAAGATATTTTTCCCGAAGAGGTTGACAATATACCTAGCTTCATTATAGACCAGTGTGACAATGCCACTTCTACGCCATCTTGCGTGGGTGATCATAAGTCAATGCTTTCTTGAACGAGGTGCATAAGAAAAGGGCTAGTGACGAGATTAGGCAGAGAAATAGGGAAAAAACTTCAGCATGAATCAATTACCTCTAGTAACAAGGTGTCAGAATACTGCATCTACTACTTCTGTTCCCATGAGCGAAAAACGAACAAGGTTTGGTTCGAGAAATAATTTCATTCATGGAAGAGAAACACATGACTGGAATTGTTCGCCCAAATAATGAGACTTCAATAGAGAGAAATGAGTCTATATAAAATTGAATGTGATACTAATGTGATGCGGAAGTAAATGCAATCGAAGCTAATAAAAAAGAAACATTGCGTTGGTGTTTCTATGCTAGAGAATTCAAGAGCATGTATAAAGATTTTATGGTCAGCAATAAAGTTGGGAAAAAGAAAGCTAAATGTCAGGGTATATGATTTTATTATCAAACAGCTCCCCGACATCAAGCATGTAAGAAAAACACAGAAAGCTTTGAGGATTGACAATTTATTCGAAAAAATAGGAATGATCAAGATTCAATACATCAAAACATATAGTGCCGATACTATTTCAAAATTTCTAATTCTCAGATTCAAACGATTATAGACCGAAAAACCAAATATGGAATTCACTGGTGATCCCAAGGATGAAAAACAAGAAGATGAGCAAAGTATCCCGATCACGCCAATATTTATGACGAGACAGCTAAATGGGGCGAAACCTATACCTCATCATTTTTTTTCGAATCTGCATCATGTGAGCAGTGTATGATGGTACCATGTGCGGAAATTGTGATGGGTAGTGCGATACATGAATAATTTTTTAATGGTGTGCAAAAAAAATTTTTATCACCGTATTATGTAAATTTAGTTATTAAGTTTTTTTAAAAAGAAGCGCAATGTAATAATTATAGTAGTTATACAATACTTTTATTTTTCTTACAAAATTGAATGTTCTTTATTACAGCTATTTGCAAAAATAACGGACCACCCATTTCTCCGAAGATTCATACGCAGTCATACGCAAAGATAATTGATCGGCAGTAATTCTGGCCAAATTATAATTTTGGCCAGAATTATAACGGCTATGCCGATCATATCCTTTTTGGTGATAGCCGTTTCACAAATTTTGCTTTTTTCAAAATTCCCTTTAATATTTAATTTCCTAAAATGGAGATTGTAATCCGGTCAAATTTATAATTTGGCCAGAATTATACCGCTCTTGTGCGTATGACTGCGTCGGAGAAAAAATGAATTGGGTGGTCCGTTATTTTTGCAAATAGCTGAAAACAATAATTAACGCCATTTCTTTAAATAAATATTAAAAAAATATATAACTTTGTACTCCATCATTCGTATTTACCTTAGATTCTGATCCCACGTTCTTAAAAAAGTAATTTCAATAATTATTAAAAAATAATTTACAACTTACGAATATATTAATGTATTTTGAACAATTAGAATAATTATATTTTTTCTTTCTTATTTAAACATTTTAAATCAGCGAAGATAATTAATTTATTACGTTAAAACAGATAGTACAAAAATAAAATATATGGCATTATTGATACGGAAATAATAAACCGAGATAAAATAAAAAATTCTGTACGATACAAAAATTGTACGAAATTGAAGAAAACTTACTATAAACATATAATGATATAAATGCTAATGGTATTACAAATAAATACATTCGTTTTTATCCTTATATTCTGTAGTACCTAGGGGTTAGATCAACTCAAATGTTACACAGACTGATCAGTGATCGGCTGATCGCCAGATTATGTAAATTACTAATTCCCTAATAAATATATTAGCAAAAACCTTTTTTTTCGGTCCCGAGGGGTGTGACTATAAAGGGGGCCGACTGTATGTATTTGTACTGTACAGTGTGTTGCAAAAAAAACCGGAATCATGACGATCTCACCAAATTGTACGTAAAATAGCTTATTTGAAAGATGGAAACCCATTGATTTTATCAATAATAAATTAATATGGAATTTATTTTAGTAATTTTTCTATAATTAAGCTTATAATTATATTTTTCTTATTTAAAAATTTTTTATAACTATTTTAGAGCAAATTTATATTTTTTTTGCATAATACTTAATATTATAAAAAAATTTTTTTTTATTCGCAATTTTCCCATTTATCTTGATAAAATTTGAGAAATTTCTAGTGAATTTGCATCCATTTTTTAATTTAAGAATTTCATGTCAAATTTTTCTTTAAAATCAACATTTGTAGTTAATTTTCTCAAAAAGTAAAAATGTACTAGAGTCCTAAATAATGTCAAAATGTAGCCCCAATATTCAAGTTTATTTTGCATTTTAAATGATAAAAATTGGTTTTGTTTTAAGTAAACTACACGCATTTTTGTAATTTGAACCATTTATTAGCATTTTTTACTATATACCGAAATTGTGATAATTTATAGAATAAAACTCTCATCATTTTATCATAAAGGTTTATTTATTGCAATTTTTTTTTGATATTTATTTTTTGGCATTATTCTTAATAATATTTGAGTATTTTAAATTAAATCTAATCCACCAATGTTTTATAAACGTAATTTAATTTTCTGTTATATTTTTTAATTTGAAATAAATAATTATTGCTGATTTTTTCAAAAGATAATGAAATGTTTATAACTTCAAAAGATATCAAAATGTAGCCTTGGGTCTCAGGTTTATTATACAATTTACATAATGTAAATTGAATTTATTTTGGGCGTATTAACATGCATTTTTATTACGTGAACAGTTTTCCGGTTTTTTTTTGCAACACACTATAAATTACTGTGTTTAAAGTGAAAGATCTACCGATAATCAATATAATCTATGAAAAAAAATGATAAATCGGTAATGAAACTGCACGAAAATATTACTTTTTTTCGAAATATTCTGTCTATATTTTTTAAAATTTTGGATCGGCTGTTTGAAATACCTCAAAAACATATAAAATTTTATTACACACTTGAAAATAATACATAATAAAAGAAGAAAAGGCTATTTTAAAACGTTTTACATAAAAATATTTAGTATATACTTGTTGAAATCTCGAAAAAAAGGATATAATTTTATCTTTCTATCATAAAAGAGTAAAAAACATATAAAATTAAGAACAAAGCAACCAGTGATCTAATTTTAATGAAAAAACTTCGCCTATATAAAGCTAGTGTTACCGAATAATGACAGTAATTAAGGGACGAATGGCGGATGACTTATATCGTATAACTACACGAATACCAACAAAATTCTTACTCAATACTACCTATCCAAGGTACTTCCGGTATTGTTCGTTAAGAATCGTCAAGGTAAACACTATAAATACGATAAATGAAAATACGCAATGGTTATAACAACAACTGTTATATGACTGTTAGAAACAACGTGTAATATTGACCAAATATAACGATTTTATTAAACAGGTGTAAATTCGGATCTTTACAACAAAGTGATAAAAAGTGACAGAAAGGGATAGGAAATATATCTTAAAGATATTTAACGACAAAATAACTACAGAAAAATAGCTATATGGTAACTACTCTATCAAAGAGTTGGCGGAAGGTGTATTTATATCTTATTTTATCTAACCGTCATCTCTTTTTCCTGTCATCAAGGCAAAATCTAATCTATAGATGTCTATTGATGGGTTATTGATTTCGTAATATATCAATACAATTACAATACGATTATAAGCCATTTTTAATAAAGTACAAATGATAATTTTAGACGGTTAATTACTATTGAGCTGGCTCTTCCTATTGCATCCGCTAACGTTTGATCCCCAAAGGGCTTTACCGCCATATAGAGCTCAGGTTGCAATCCAGAAACAAATTTCCTAGCTTGTAAATTATCGGGGTAGGCGAAGGCGGCATCGTTAACTCGTTGATATAGTTCCTGGATAGACGAGGCATACTCATCCACGCTTTCGTTCGGTTGTTGCTGTCTCTGATCTAACTCAGTCGCCCACATCTCTACCATAGCCGCAGTTCTGAACCGAGTAAGGAAGGCATGTTCGAAGTTGTTAACGTTGGCTGCTGCTGCCCAAGCTTTAATAGGCGCCAATACCGCTGCTTGATACCAAACGGCAGCTGGTCCTTTTAAATAAGCGGGGACAACTTGTAGTTTTCGTGCGTCGTTCCATCCATTAGCCGTCGCAGTTGCATTAAACTCGTTTAACCAGGTGATTGGATCTTGGTTTCCTCCGTTAAACGTCGGTACTTGCGCAACGTTATGGTTTCGGTTTTGTAAAGCATTGTTATTCGCGGCTACCGTTGCGTTTAACGTGTTCATTGCGTTTCCGAGATTATTAGGCGCTAACATTTGTCCTGTCAAGGCCTGTACGGCTGCTGTCAAGGCTTGTATATCTGCTTGGTTGACTTGAGGAGCTTGGTTGAATCGGTTAGGAGGCTGTCCTTGACCTTGATTATTCTGAAGATTCGACATATTTTCTTCGTCAAACAGGTATTCTAGGTATAACGGTTCGTTAATAAAAAGAAAATTTCTGGGATATCGTAATATCGGAGAGGTCGGTGGTGTTATAAAAGACAACTCGTATCCTAATGGTTCGTCTTCGTGCTGATAACAAACAAAAGGGTCAAGGTTGAAGTTCTGAAACCTTTCACGAGCTGTATATATCTTGATGGCTAAACGGTCGTAAGATAATGAGGCGTTTTGATATCTAATACTTGATATTAATTTTCGTATAAGATATTGCTGTCTTAATACCGTTCCTTGGCTATATTCGTAGAAATATTGGACTGTTTTTGCAGAATAAGATAACGTGGGAATCTCTAATGAATACCAGTTCCAAAATCGTAGGAAATATCGGTCTGGTATTGTGAGAACGGGATGACAAATACAACAAGAATCGTCTGCTAATTCAAATAGGTGAATATTAGGGTATATCCGGTGTAACTGATCGTGGCGTTTCAGGAGATTTCTATTGTTCATACAATAGGAAAGATTATCCTTTGTTGTCAACTCAATTCAGGGGTAATCACACGGTCTATTTTTGTTAGTTTCTGGCAGAAGGCACCAATTGTTACCGAATAATGACGGTAATTAAGGGACGAATGGCGGATGACTTATATCGTATAACTACACGAATACCAACAAAATTCTTACTCAATACTACCTATCCAAGGTACTTCCNTTGTTGCCAAGTTAATGTAGAGTTGCATTTCAAATCATTTACATCAAAATCAATTCCATAAACCTTCTTGTTTAATATATTTATGATCAAAGAAGGGTTTAAAAATTTACAAGTAACATGTCGCGTATTAATAATATCATTTGGAATCTTGCAAAAGAATTCGTAATCGTAATCGATATCGCCATTTTGATCATAATTTTGTAAAGTAAGTTTACAAGTAATATTATAGATGTTAAAATCATCTAATGGTTGATAGAATAGTTTAAATTCATAATCTTGCTGTGTACTTAGGATTTGGTCTATTGAAGTATTCGAGGGGTCGCTAACAATGATGAATGGATAAAAGTCAATTTAGCATCAAAATAAACGTTAATACCTGTCTCTTATACACATCTAAAGAAAATAAATAATATAAATAAATTATCTAAATAAAATAAAATAACTATAAAAACGATATATAAGTAAATCTATCAAACAAAATCAATATCTTTAATATAGTTAACCGATATACACAAATCATATATCGGCGTAAATCGTCTCATAACACCGGAAATCGACATGTACACAAATGTACCGAATTTCATCGGATCACCATATAATATCGGAAATCACATGCGCAAAAATTCGCGTAACACTAGCATATACAACCTTGACTTCTGGGATAGATAAAATATGTGGAAAAATTAACAGATAATATAAATAAGATTTGTCACTTTATTTATTTATAGTTTTGTACATTATCTGTTATGCTTTAATTACATATTAATTATTATTTATTAACTATTCCGAGGTATTACTTAATGGAAAAACTCCCCAACTAAGCGCCACAGCTCCTTTAACAATTCGATTTTCGACTTTATGCAAAAATGCTATGAAACAATAATTATTAATTATTTTGGATAACAAAAAGAATACAACTATTAATTAATATTTTCTTTTTGAATACCCGTGTAACTGTAAAAATGGCAAATTTAGTTAAAATCGTGGGGATTTACAATTAACTTTCCAGAAATGCTACGTTCACGTGATTTGGTGCCGATCATTTATCTTCCCCAGTAACACCACCTAGGGGATAGATAAATAACGGGGCCAACTCAGCGTTACACAAGTTAGTGGTCATGACCGAACTGTAAATTTATAAGAAATCATAATGTTTTTAAAGTGGAAGATCGACCAATAATTTATTTTAATTTAATAAAAAAATTTTTCTGCTATGCAATTTTTTCAAAATATCGTTTCTATATCCTTTAAAAATACGATCAAGCTTTTAAAATACCTCTAAACCATAGAAAATTTATTATACATTTGAAAATATTATAAAATAAAAGAAGAAAACCTATTTTTGAATGTTTTAAATAAAAATAATTATATGTCACCGGTCACGTGGAGTGAAATTTTATAAAAGTGACGTAGGTGAATCCGATCATTTCTAAAAGTGTACATCAGCTCTTCAACGAACGCTCCGGTTTTCATCTCAAATTCGCTAGTGTTGGTAAAATTTCGTTATAAAGAGAGTTCTTTATATCGAGAGTTGACTGTATACTCATGATAATCAGTAGTTAATATTTTTATTTTAAAATTAAGACAATGACGGGAGCCATACAAGTCTGGAGCTGGGCGTGGTCACGTACAAAAGATGCTAAGTTCTAACACCAAGTATAAACCCAACCCTCGCGAAGATCGTACTGTACTGCCTTAAATGATAATAGTTAATACCTATAATACTGTACTTAAGTACGTGCGAATTTTAAAATCATGTGGAATGCTCTAATCAACGTTGATCGACAACGACATGGTACAACTCAACAAGTATTTAGGTTTTATTTTATTTTTCATAAATTCAAATTTTCCGTTGCTTTACGTTAACATGACCCTAACTTTTATCCTATATTATTAATAAACTGGTTAAACTGAGACTATTAATATAATATTTATATTTCACATTACAGTACTTTAATGTTAGTATCACAAAAGTTCTAACGGAATAAAAGCTAGAATTTTTTGATTACTTTAAAAATTGTAAGATAAGATAAAAAAAAAAATTTTTTAGTTTAATCCAAAAAATAAAAATTTTTTTTTTTTTATTATAAATCCCTACTTTTCGCACTATGTAAAATTTTCTTCTATTTTTAATATGCCTCATTTATAAAATCATGAAACTATTTGAGTTTACCAAAGTTTATTATTATTTTTTTTTATTTATTTATTATTAATTTTATTGAAAATATACAATTTTTAAGACTTACTGATGCCAAATTTAACGAACTCAACGTAACTTGTGCATCATATGCAGTAATTGTATCACATCCGTTAACAAAGGTATTGGAGTTTTGTTATTATAACCGAATATTCTAAGAAACGAATAGGGTCGATATGCTATTGTCATACCTGTCTGATGAGATGGTAAAATTTGGTGGACATTAACAAGTTAATGATCATAGTTGTCAGCCATTATGACGTAATCAATTTCATCGAGAATTAGTAATCAAAATTATATATAATGAAAATTTTGTGATTAGTCATATGGTGAGTGATTTGGCAGATTTCACTTCATAACAAACCTGTAATAGTGAAGACTATATTGGTGATGTTTTTATATCAAATTACGCGTCAAGATAATCCCACATCCCACAAATTCCATTAATTTAGAATTTCTATATTTCTATTTCTCGAATTTATCTTAACTACATATTATTGAACGAAATTTTGTTTTCGGTCTAATTATATATCTGATTCCAAAATAATTGTGTAACAATTATACTATATTCACATCATAGTTCAATTTCAGAAGACAAGAAGACAACGAACTATTAACCAAAAGATTCTGAAAAAATTTGTACTAAAATATACATTTGAACTAATTACAAATCCCAAGTTTAATAAACAAATAATATTTGGGACGAGCAAAAAAATATCTGACGTAAGTTTTGTTACTCCAAATAAGTTGATGATATTATCACTAATGAAATGAAAAAAAAGAACGAAATTTATATCTTATTTTTTTTTTTAGAAAGGAGTCATTATTATGCTTTGTATACCTCATGAGAAAGTTCCTTAATAGTAGCACTATCAAGATTAAAAAAAGACTAATTGCACGATATACTTTTCCTAAACCACCTTCTCTAATTTCCTCTATATTGCTAAAATGCTTTATATTCAAATATTTGTTGTTGAATGGATCTTCACAATCACAGTTAAATGTTACGCTTCCTATGTACATATAAAAAAAAAATTTTTTATGGTATCACAAAAGTTTCTAACGGAATAAAATGCAATTACACTATTTACTTTAAAACTTGTAAGATAAAAAAAAAATTTTTTTTTAGTTTAATCCAAAAAAAAAAAAAAATTTTTAATACTCCTTTTGCTCCATTTATACAAAATAAAAAATTCCTCTGGGATTTTTTAACATAACTCATTTAAAAATTCTTGAAAATTATTTGAACTTTACTAAAGTTTTTATTTATTTTATTTTATTCTCTTTTTTATTTTATACTATTCTTTAATTTTATTTTATTTTATTGAGAATATACAATTATCCGTTAGCAAAAAAAAGAGAAAGACAATTTGTTAAATGGATTTCCTATATATAATACAGAAATGGATTGTATCGATTCGATTCGATTGGTTCATCATTCAATGCCAATTGCCACTTCAGCCACATTTCCTCTTACGTAATAAATATAATTTGTATTACTATTTCTTATTATCTTAATTTTTTGTGTGGCAAATTTGTGAAACTTGACTTGAGTTCCTTTTTTAGTCAAATTTTTTTTTTGGCTTTGCCACCAAGACAAAAAAAGCATACGTAACGTAAATCACGAGTAAATTAATATCTCGTGACATTTTTATTTATAGTAAATATGTGAAGTTTTACAAACGCAGTACTGCAGGAGTATGTTACATGAAGTTTCATGTTATCTTCTTTGAATGAAAGTGTAACATCTTAAAATGGGATATTTTCAATGAACTTGAATGAGCCCTTATGAACCAAAATAAGCGTATTGAATGGTTTTCTCTGAGTAATTTTCTCCGAGTCACATTTCAATGTATACAGTCGATTGCTCATTTGCAGATCTAACGATTTTTTAAAAAATCAATAATAATTTACAAAGATTAAATGACATGTGACGCAATGCGTCATCGTTATATGTTTATATAAACTAACATGTTTTGTCAAATTCGATTTATATATTAAAAATTTAGTAAGCGTTGAACTTGCCCAAATTTATTTATTACGATGCTTATATTATTTAATATCAAGCTGGATAAATAATTTAATAAACCAATTAATATGAAATATTAGCCTTATCTTTGTATGTTATTTTGATGCATCTGTCACTACAGTAATATGATTACTTGAGACCAAATTATATTGTATTTATTGTATTTAAAAAGAATAAAAAAAAAAAAAAATAATAGAATGACAAATAAAAAAAAAAACATTATCTACTTGAAATAAACAGATAATTAATGTTAAATTCGCTTAAGTTTTTTCTTAAAAATTATATATTTTTTTTATCACTTACAATCTTACTTTTCATTATACCCTCGTTTTAAGTCTAATAAGTACAAAGAAAAAAAAAGAAAAAAAAAATATTATACTGTATCGAATTGAATTTTGACTGAGTTGTAGTATCGCGGGATGATATTGTCGAAATAGCTATGAAAAGAAATCGTATATCAAATTTAGTTCGAGATTTAATTTTTGTTGCCAAGTTAATGTAGAGTTGCATTTCAAATCATTTACATCAAAATCAATTCCATAAACCTTCTTGTTTAATATATTTATGATCAAAGAAGGGTTTAAAAATTTACAAGTAACATGTCGCGTATTAATAATATCATTTGGAATCTTGCAAAAGAATTCGTAATCGTAATCGATATCGCCATTTTGATCATAATTTTGTAAAGTAAGTTTACAAGTAATATTATAGATGTTAAAATCATCTAATGGTTGATAGAATAGTTTAAATTCATAATCTTGCTGTGTACTTAGGATTTGGTCTATTGAAGTATTCGAGGGGTCGCTAACAATGATGAATGGATAAAAGTCAATTTAGCATCAAAATAAACGTTAATACAAGTTTAAAAATTTTAGGACACGAACCTTTTTAAAATTTTCTCTTGTAGAAAAGGAATATCTTGTTTTAAATTGAGCTCGAGATTTAATTTTTGATACCAAGTCAATGTATGTTTATGTTTCAGATCATTTGTATCGAAATCAATTTCATAAATTTCCTTATTCAAAATTTTAATAACCAAAGAATGTGGTAATAATTTGCATGTAACATAATAACTAGCATCTAAACTCCGATAAAAGAATTCATAATCGTAATCATCGTTGTAACTTTCCGAAAGTTGTAAAATCATCTTAAAAGTAACATGATAATAATTATTATCATTTGGTGGTTGATAAAATAATCTAAACTCATTCAACCGTTGCACTGGTTGATAGTTTTGAATAAGTTGAACTCTCATTGTTGATTGGTTTACCAAATCTAAATCAAGTGCTGCGGTAGAAGACATTATGTTGCCTTTAGTTTCCGTGTTGACTCTTTGTATGGTTTGAACGTAAAATATATTCGTATTTAATTTAAAAAGGAATTTATGAGATATAAAATAATATCTTTTTGAGGTAATAAAATTATGAGGTTGCCAAAAATAAGGGAAATTTTTTTTTTAAAAAAAAAATAACAAAAATAACGTCGAAAATATTATTACGCGCTAAGCGAATGAGACGAGAAAAAAAAAATAAAATCTGATATAGAGAATAAAAATATTGAATGTTTTAAAGGTTCAGAAACCAGACCGTTTGAAAGTTTTATGTTCTATTTGTGAATAAAAGAATTTTTTTTTTTTTCATGCAAAAATGATTTTGAATAAGGCGTAAAGTTTTTATTGAATAGTTATAAAGTAGCTCGTGTTAGGCAAGTGGAAAAAAAAATAAATAAAAGTAAAAGATTTATTGTATTTTGGAAATTTTTTTTTTTTTTTTTTTTGAAATTCGTCGCGACGGTCCTTAACTCCTTATATAAAAGTTAGTATAATGTAATACAAAAATACAAAAAAAAAAATTTTTTTTTTTTATACACATGATAATAAATTAAAAAATCATGTGAGCAAGAAGGAAATGTGATGTACACTAGCCGAATGCTATGAAATTTATGAATCCTGGTGGATAAATATAGCTCAATAAATAAATTTTGATAAAATTTATTTAACCTTAATCTTTTAAAATATGTGGAAATATTTTAAAAATGTGTACATTAAAAAAAAAAATTTTTTTATTTCCGCTTTATTGTGTATCCTGCCTGTGCCGCCATGTCGACTAGGCTACACCAATTTTTTTATCTGTTTTACATAACATAAGGGATCATTATTCTGGGGATTTGACCAGAATTATCATTAATTTTGACCGGAATTATAATTGCATTAAAATTTTTTTTATGATACAAAAACTTTTGGCCAAAATTAAAAAATATCTTCTAATTCTGACCTAAATTATATGTTTATTAAACACTGCAAAATTTGAAAAAGGGTTCCAGATAGCATTATTTCTTCGAGAACTCGACATAACGAAACGAATCCCCTTTATAAGATGTTTTTATATAAAGAAAAATCTTAAAAAATCGCTTTATCGTAAAATTCAAGTTCTGACTGAAATTTTTGCTTGTGCCAATTATTATAATACCCCCATAAAATACGTATGTAAAAAATAATAGAAATTAGTAAACCAGTCAAATTGTCGAAATGAGTACAAAAATGTCTTACGCGAGGCGAGAAATTCAGATTCAATAAGACGAATACGAGTCATCCAATTTTAATTAATCTGCTCTATCGATTCTACTGTAGTACCCTGGTTATAGCAGTACCAGATACATACACAAGCAGTGCTTTATTTAACGACAAGTGACACTCTGAGGTTAAAAAATAAACTGAATTGATCCACCTATATTAAACGAAATTAATTTGTTTAATAATATATAACACATGATCTATTTTCGTTTCCGGAATTGTGAATAATGTGGATATGAGTGGTACAAAATTTTTTTGGCAAAACTATTTTCCCCAGTGTTACTTACATAGCATCTCCAGTAATATTGATTTACTCTTTTCCCCTTTTACTCCTTACATTGCCACAATGTAAACTAACAAAATAGAGCTTACAAAATGTATCATGTTTTTTCAAAACTATGAAGGATTTCTAAATGAATAGAGTGTTGCCTTAAAAAAGCGCTTAAATTCGAAATAAACTTAATACAGTCAGACTAACCAATCAGAATCATTGAAATTCCTAGATCGATTTCTTTTTTTCAGGTAAACAAATGTTCTTAATGCACCGAACTTAATAATACAATTTTCAAAATGTATTTTTATCAAAAAAATTATTAATAAAAGAAGTATATTTATGTAAAGATGCTTGTAAACCTTCTCTACTAATAATTAAAATTTTATAAAAAATTCAATGATTAAGATTTATCAAGTGATTTGCTGTGCACTTAATGTTGACCAATCTAATTTAATGCTGGCCAGAATTAGGATAAAATCGAATAAACAAATATGGCTGGTTTATAAATATGACTTCGGTATAATTATAAGTAGATGTTTAAGAAAAAAGTTTGTTATGAGTCAAAATCGGGTTATCCCGAATCGTTATATCGAGTTCTGACTGTACAACTCTCAAAAAATAAAACTTGGGCCGGATAGGATAATTTGCTATAGTGATATCTACTGAAGTCGTATATTGTATAACTTTTTAATTTCTTTAATAATAGTCACTGAAAAGATAACGAGGAGGAAAAAACAATACATGAAATAATACGAATGTATCTTATGAAGGAGAAAATGAAAAGTTAAAGATGAATATTTGTATAATTGTATTGAACTTTCATCTTTTCTTTGATTATATTTTAGGAAAAGATGTATCATCAAAGAAAATTATGAAATTGAAGCTGCTCATCACAATTTACATCTAATTCAGAGGGCGATGATTTACCGTAACAAGAACTAAAGAAAAGGTAAGATGTATCCATTTTAATATATTATATATGTACAGCAGATTATGACTTAAATATTATTTTTACCTATTAATTTCAGTTCATCTTGTGAAGGCAACTTGGTGAATGTAGTTTGCATTTTGTTTCAGTCGGAGACTTCTCAAAATTGCAAAATAAGCGTTCCAGTAAGTAGTAACTCAAGATTCAATTGTTAAGCATGAAAATGATTATATTATTTGAAAGTGATGAAGAGATATACATATGAGCAGATTTGACTTATTTACATGAAATCTTGGACAAATTACTTATAATTTTGTATATAATGAGAAGGTTCTAGTATTTGCATTTTAATCTTTATTAATTTCTAATTGCATTTAAGGCCAAAGAATTGTTAGAAGAACCACTTAACAAACCAAAAGGTCATTTATGATTAAAAAATGTTCAAATGACATTATATATAACACTAGAAATAGAATGTATTGGGAATGATAATTAAATTTTATAATCGAAATAAAAAACTGTTGAATTCTTTTATATTAAAAATTTTATATTTACCGCATATTTGAATTACCAAACTATATTTTAAATAATAATAAAAAATTAATTCCATGATTGGATAGTGTTTTATGTCAAAATTTTTTTTCCATATATTATACTAAAATTTTATTGGTTAAATAGTTACCGAACAGCTCATATTATGATGCAGCGTCTATATACGAACCAAACCTTTTGGAACGGAGAGTTTATATGTTTATATTCAGTGGTGACTGTAAATTGGAACATTTTCTAAATCCTCTAAAAATAATCTTCTCAAAATATCTTGTCCATGTTTCATAACACAAAAGCCAGAATCAAAAATCCTCCTCCTACCGGTTATTAAAAATATACATGCCATGTACCGATGATGTACATGACTTCAATTTGGAACATGTTTTAAATCTCCATTCCAGATTGTGGTTCCTTAGTGGCCTTAAACCGGTTAAGATTTTTAGATCGGCTCTAGAAGTAGTAGGTTTAAGTCTTAGGAATCTGAAAGTCTTGAAGCATCCTAAAATTAAAATATAATTAATTATATCATCTGACACTATATATTAATTATTGTACTGTTTTAACAAATTAGCGGTAAAACAGATACAGATCAGATTATTATTTTAACTGTTGATTGTAAAGCCTTTTATTTTCGATAAAGATAAAATTTTATATTATCTTATAAGTTAAAAAGAGAAGTAATTAATTAAACAAATACATTTTCTAGCCTTTCAGATTGTTAGGGCGGGGCGTCATAAAAAATTTTTTAACCGTTTTACATGTAATATCAGAATTTTTGCTACATATAAGTATATAACACTTTTCCTACTACCAATTGTATCCGATTACAGTCGGACCTCTATGTACCGATACTGTTGTTTTGCTTGGGAATTATATCGGTATATCAAATTATCGTTACATATACCGTCATCAGTGAATCATAATACGGGCCAAAATCCAATTCTTGCCAGCATTATGCAAACTCCAGATAGCTAATATGTTTAAATGTCATATGATTTGGATTGGGCGTACCATTATTTGATAATTCTATATATTATTTTATTTAGGTAAATTAGATAGTGATACACTTTAAATATAACAAAATAATAAATGATGTTTTCAACTGATATTCTTTGTCTAACCCTCGTTATTTCAACCAGAAATTAGTGTTACGATCTGATGGATTCGTCATCCATTTAATAACCTTTATGCTAACTCTGGCCAAATTATAATGTTGGCCCGAATTAATACCAGTGTAACCTAAAGTAAGTACATCTTACTTTATGCAAGGAAAGGTATGGGTACACGTTACATTGATATCGTGAAACTATATATAATATCGGTACAATGAGGTTTTTTTATTAATTGTGAAACGGGACAGAAAATTAAACCATTTTTTGTAGTAAATTTTAATAATAAGTGATAATAATCGATAAAAATCATATGTATGTACCTCGGTATTTTGGTTTGTTTTTTCTATATCGAACAACTTGAAAGTAATAAGCTTTTTTGTGTGGATAGATTTTGTTTTTACGATTATTTTCAATTTGTCAAAACTTTTCGATGTTCGGGTTAATTGATTTCATGATAGCACAGATCGTGTTTACAGGTTTTGCACGAGTGATCATTAATGGACTTGCACGAGATTTTAAGGAATCCACATTATTTAACACCAGTTTGCAAATGTCGGTGATTACATTTTTCATGTGTCATATTTCTTTTTTTAAAATGACAATTTTTGTTAATTCTGAGTGAAACTGAGGAAAAAGAATTTTCGTTGTCTTTATATTTTAATTTTTCACTTCAATTAAATATCATTATAACCTAATCCGATAATGATAGCATTATAAATTACTTAATTTGACATTTATATATAGTATTCCAAATATTAAACAAAATAATAGATTGAAATACGTTTATAAGTTACCAATTGTATTTTTATGCGTATTCCCATTTTATATTAATTTTGCATTTAATAAACTTTACGATTTTTTTTACTAAAAAAAAAAAAAGTAATAAAAATAATTATCAAAATGTGAACATTACTGTATTATTAAATATAAATTAAAATGATAATCATAAAAATGCCAAAAACGAAAGATCCGTGACAACATTACATGCAGTATACTGTATATCAGATATGTCAATTCATTGTATCAAGATTTTATATTATCAGATATCCAGTAAGCCGAACATGA